CCTCGCACTCAAAACGCCCTGACTGCAGCTGACTGCAGCATCTCCTTGGCGCCATTGACCACTGACATTTCGACCTGGCCTCCTGTGCCTCGCATTAGCCGTTGTGCCTTGCATCGACATGCGCAAGTGGGCTTGACCACCCAGCAAAACGGACCTGACTGTTCGGAATTGTATCCGCTGAGATCTCAGGGTCTACAGGTTCCCCAGTTGAGCATGTTCTGGGCCTGCTACTGGGATAGTGGACCAGACCGGAGCTTTGAGGACCGGGGATGGCTGGCCGGGCCGTGGACGGGGATGGAGAGAAGGCCGGACACGGGCATGGCCGACTACGGGGTCCCGGTCGCAAGTATAGATCACCGAGTCTTCGCCCGGAGACCACAACCGGATGAGGCTCTTCGCACGAGAGCCACATCGTGGTATCAGCAGTCTTATACGTGGGCGGATCGCATATCGTCAAGGGTTCTCCTAGGGTATTGTGATGAGCTGCACACAGTACAGTGTGCGCCGGATCTTCCGAGCGTCGACTGCCCCGAGGGACGCGATTCATGACACGGCATCGAGACTGGGGATTCCAACTTGCAGTACCACGGACACCGGCTTGCTTTGAAGTCCGTGAGTCCATCAAAAAGCCTCGCGAACCCTCAATCCAGACTTAAATACGAGGAGCTACGACCGATGTTGTCTCCACCGGTTGTCAGTGTCAACTACGGCGGTTGTTCAACTGGCGGGCCATGACAAGATGGGAAGCTTTCTCATTTCGTTACACTTTGTCGAGCCCGCGTGAGTTCTTGCATGGTTCTTGCACGCGATGAATCTTTTGGAAACGATCGTGTCTCATGAATCGTGTCTCGGCTCGGTGATACCTGGCAATGTAGGCTTCCATCTCCCTAGATCACCTTGGCGCGGTCGAAGTAATTTCATACACTTCTGCGAGTCAACACTGAGTGCGTAGGCGAGAGCTAGCAAACGCGAATAGTCCAAGTACTATTTAGAGCAGGAAAGTTGTAGCCAAGTGCCGGCTGCCCAGCACGTGGTTACTATCCCCGGAGAATGAAACACCGGCTTGGGTCCGATGGTCTGCTTCGTCGACTTCTTGATGAACGTCATTGTAAGTCTGGCGGAGGCGACCTGTTTAAAAGGAATGGCAGGTTTTGGTTATTGATGAAAAGGCTTTACATCGTCAGCCATGTTCCGCCATGAATATGCCATCATAATGGGAATGCCTCACAATGGGAGCGTAGTGGATACGCATCTGTACATAACACAACTCCAAAGCCAAAGCTATCACGGATCATTGATCCTTCACGAAGATTCAATTGAAGGCGTGTTCTCACATATACACATGAATATCCGGATGTTTTCAAGGATATTGAGTAGGCCACCATCATTGAACGCGTCACTTGTAAAGAATTTCTCATTTTGTACATCCGAAGTCTTCAGTAGCAACTCTGTAGACTATGGTGATTGGCTTTGTCTTTTTCGAAACGAGCCGCAGTCCTCACTTGAACTGTGAGATGCATCCCGTGTGTAAATTTACGTGGCCAAGGATCAAGCTCACAGGCCGGTGATATTAAATGAAGACGAGCGCTTCTGCCACTCTTACTTGAATCTCAGGAAACTAATACTGAGTAAGATCTCTATCATTTTCCTTATGAGGGAAAAAACACAAAGAACGGTAACGCAAAGAAATGGCGAGCACTTGCGCCTCCAGAAAGCTCTTCATGCATGGCTCACGAGTTCAGCCGCCTTCTAGCAATTGGACCTCTGAGATGCCGTCACCATAAGAGACGATGTCAATCACTTTTGGAAGGAACAGTTATAAGACGAAAAGGAGATGGTATGGAAAGGGCGGGAAATGCAACTTGCATTTGATAGTTCCTCCGCCGACATATGTTTGGGCAGGATTGAAGTTGTGAAGAAGCTTGCAGTACGCACTTCAAAAGCATCGTTAAAGTAGTTTCCTGGGAAAACAGAAATGTCAGTCAGCCGCAAGAAACACCCAGTGATCACATACCTCATCCATTACTTGTCCGTTGCTATCAAGAGAATGGAGCAGAGGTGTTCAGAATATCAACACGTGATACATGGCGCTATACTTGGTCAAATGACAGTATCAAGCTCAAAAGTAGCTTCCGTGTAACACCCCAAATCATCAGTCCCGGTATCCTATCTTGGCTGAAGAACAACCCTGTAGCAGGATTTATCATTGTTTAACAAAGGGTTGCTTCTGTTGAGGTACGCTGACATCGTCGCTAGCCGGTGTCAAACAAAAAGCATATTACTATAGTCATGGCGCCGCAAGACGAGTCCGTCTGTTCGAAAATATATTCTCTATCGCAAAATATTTCTTTAGGTACTGGCTAGTCCCCGTCAATATCCCTTCTTGTCGTGTCGACCTTAATATCTCCGGCGTGACCGTTCGGCTTCCAATCTGGGCATTTAATATCACCCTACTTAGAACAGTCATTAGCATGTAGTGAGACTGAAAGAAGATAAAGGCACATCTTAACGCCTAACAATTTGGGATAGCTCATTTGAATTCAAATCACATGATTCAATTCTGAAATATACCTAGAGATCATCACGCTTCGGCACATCCTTCATCTCTCACTCGGCTCTTGCGCTATCAGTCCGGAGCGGCAGAAGTAAGACAGGAACTTGACGAAATCTTTTCGCGAAGTATCGACTATGAAACCACATTCTCTAAACCATACACGGCGCAGCCTCCAAGAATATTCGGCGGACATCGAGACTCGGGCCTTCAGAACATAACGAGCTCAACGTAAGTGTAAGCGCCCGCGGCTCATGCAAAATCCATTTGCACGAACAGCCCGACTTTGTACTGATCCCGCCGTCTATGACTACTGTGTCGTCCTGGATATTTCAGATGGTCCAGGACATCTACACGTCATCTCCAGGGTTTTCGAAGTTCCAGCATTTGCGAGCATGGCCAAGCCCTTGGGTCTGCCTCGGAAGCAGAACTTCGGGATGGCTTATTACGCAGGTAGTCTTGCTAAAATTCACGTTGCATTTCGAGTCTAAAAATTTCAGTCAGAGGCACTCACTTGTCTGTGGTGATCTCTAGAAAGGCATACGGAGAAAGCCAATTTGGCATCTCGGAAAATGAGCTGTTCTGTTTGCCACAATGTGCTTCTAGAGGTTCCGTTTCCATTGTCAACTCAACCTCGGTCTCGACAAGCCCCAGAAGAGCTCCCCAAATTCGCGCGGGCAATCTCTTGACAAATCGCAGGGGTCGATGATCGAAACTCGCGGGAATAGGGGTCACTGTGTCGTCTCAAAATGCAATGCTCTATTTCAATGTTGGTACAGACCAGCGGTCGTGCTTCACTTAATCCATCTAGTGTCATCATCCTTCTTGAAGAACCTGTGCAGCCTCCGCATCTTTATGTGTCCACGTCCATCTCGGTCTCTGCAGACACCTCATGCACGTCAACGAATTTCAGGATCTCGTCCTTCTTGATGATCTTCTCGTTCAGCACCGCGGTTGTACCCTTGGGGAACTTGTATGACTTCAGCTTCTGGCTCCTCTCGTTGGGCTTCACGTAGCCCCGGTGCAGTGTCGTCTTATCCGCCGTGATGACCGCAACATCAACATTGCTTCCTGATCCCAGGTCGTTAAAGATACCAGCCTGGATGGCCTGGCTGCACAGCTCCATAGCCTCCTCCTTGGTCAAGCTAGCTTTCCACGAGCTCTCAAAGACGCTCATGGCCGCCAGCGAGCCGGATCCCATGGTCACGTAGGGGAGCTTGTCGGTACTGCCGTGGGCGTGGACGGTGAACAGGTGGGTGCCAGTGGGGTCGACACCCGCCACAACGAGGTAGGCGCCGATGTAGCCTTGGTATCGGAAGAGATGTTGCTTCAGCATGGTCATGCAGGTCACGACACGCGGCTTGCGGCCGGTGGAGAGGGAGTGCAGCTCCAGGTTTGAGGAGATGATGGCGGTTGTGAACTCGGTATCTGCAGCGGTACCGGCACCGGCGCACCAGATCTGAGGGGCGATGTAGTGTAGCTTCTCGCAATTCTTGTCGGCTACGATGGGGCCCGAAGTGGCTCGGGTATCGGCTGCGATCTGTTTGTTGCTGGTTAGTCTCAACGTGGACGGTCGGGCAGGGTGTCGCAGAAGAGCAGCACGAGAGGCGAGCTCAGCGCGAAGTGAAAGCCACAGGTTGAACAAATGAAGGCAAAAGCACTCGAGAGCTCGAGCTGAGCGGTACATACCACCACACCCCCGTCAAATATGCATCCCACGATGGTGGTTCCTGTGCTGGTGGCCTTGGGCAGTGGAACGCCTCGCGCGTGCAGCGCCGCATTGCGGTTGTAGTTCGAGAAGTCGAAGCCCGGCATTATGGCGGCAGCTCGTGTCGGAGAAGGACTGGCTTTTGAAATGGATCACGAAAGCTGTAGGCTGATGGGAAGGTATCGCAGAGGTTCAGGAGCCAGGTATTGATGAAGGTCGTGGGACGGATGGAGGTGGCCGGGAAGCTGCTGCGTGATGGTCGGTCGTTTGGCAAGGCAAGGCAGAGGAGCTGATGGGCCGGATGACGAGGCTAAAAGCTGCCTTCCAGCTGCCTCCCAAGCGCAAGCGCCCCAGACTGCTATGCACTACACGCCCCCCTGTCACAAGAGAGCTGGGCCTCGTTGGCCCAAGCTTGGAGGGGGGGGGGGAGCTCTGAGCAACAGGCAGGGATCTTTTTTTGGGCAGGCAGCGTCGCGATCTTCAAGTCACGGTCAACCTCCTGCAACCAAACCACATTCATCTCTCTTTGTCTTCCTTTGCCTTGTCCATACCCGCTCCTCTCACTATCTTCCCACCTATTTTGCATGTGCAGCATATTGCCTTCCCAGCGTCTTCTGAAAGCCTACTCGCAATACTGCTGCGGCGGAGTTCTTGGTTGCCCATCTGCAATTCCATGCCCAGAACCTGAGTAGGGACTCGTTTGCCTGGATCCGTCGCGACGGCCAAACGGCACTCGGCAAGATGGACAACGGCGCAGATCTTGAAGTGATTCAGACCGAGGTAAGAGTTTCTCGCTTATAGTTTCCTTACAAACTCGCTGACCATAGCCCGATGTGCAATAGAGTCTCGGATTCCTCGCCATCGCTGGCGACGCGAAGGTCCAGTTGACGCCAGCATGGTCTCCACCGCCCGCTCCGACAGCATCCCTCCTCAGCGTAGCCTCTCGAAAGGGCCTCGTGGCTGCCGCTGGTCCAGATGCCGTATATATTTCGTCTACCGAGTCGGCGCGGAAGGCCTTCTCGGGCGAGAAGACTGGGGACACAGAATTTAGAGCCTTCGAACCCCAAGTCAAGATACCCATGTCCATGCGGATATCGCACCTCGCATTCACCCCAGACGAGCAATACCTCATACTTTCAGCCGAACAAGGCGGCGGACTGGCTGTCTATGAGACGCAGGCGCTGCTACAAGGATCTTCGCAGGCTGCCTTTGAGATCTCGACTAGTGGTGAGAGCATCAGAGCGCTGGTTCCGAATCCCATGCCCGAGCTGGCGGAATTCTGCGCCGTTGTGACAACGAATGGCAACCTTTTGATAGCCAACCTGAAGGAGAAATCGCTCGTCAGCGGTCCAAACGGCCCGGTCGTTCGGAACCAGGTGGCGTGCAGCGCATGGAGCACCAAGGGCAAACAGCTGGTCGCGGGACTGTCCGATGGCACCGTCGTCCAGATGACTCCTGACGGTGCCGAGAAAGCTCAGATTCCCAAACCAAGCGCGTTCGGGGACGTACACGTGTCGTCGATATCTTGGTTAGAGAACCATGTGTTCTTGGTCATCTACACCGAGAACTCGGGAGAACCTCCGGCCTCAGAGTACTGCATCATCACGCGGCGCGCGCCACCGGGCCAGTCACCCTCTTTCGAATCCCGGAAATTGGTCGACCCGGTTCTCCCTTTTGGGAACGAGAAAGCGCCGCACCACACCGTCCTGCGCCTGCGAGATTACCCGCCAAACATCCAAGACATACTCATTGTCGCATCCACGGCGCATGACGGGCTCGGTCTGCTCACCCGCGCCAAGGCACCTTTGGCCAGCGATGCACCTGCGGAGGCCATCACCAACGTCTTTACCACAACAGAATTCACCGATGACTCCAGGAGGGCTGAGGTGCCTTCAGATCCCACCGATTATTCTGCTACGTATCCCATCGGAGTCTCTTTGGATCTGTCTGGCAAGGAGAGTGTCTACAGGCCGATCCCACAAGACGAGGAGTACGAACAATCCCCTGGGCCCCTCCCTGCGCTGTGGGCACTCAACTACAGCGGTGTCTTGTCTGCTTGGTGGGTGGTGTACAATGACGCCATTCGAGAGGGCAAGACATATCCCGGCATGGCCGTGGCTGAAGGTCAGCCCGCCGAACATCCAGCAGCACCTGCCGCCAAGCCATCGGCGTTTGGATCGCAGGCAGCAAGCTCTCCTTTCGGCGGATCATCAGCGTTCGGTACCACTGCGCCTGCTCTGGCTCCATCGACTGGAGCGTCAAATCCTTTCGGAGGAGCGGCGACTGCTTCCTCGGCTCCCAAGTTCGGAGCGCCATCGTTTGGCGCACCAAGCGCACTTGGAGCTCAGCCAGGTGCTTCATCCTTTGGCCAGTCTGGCGGGCTAGGGCAAAAGGTTTCACCTTGGGCTACGGCCTCAGCCGGTGGAGCTGCGCCGTCTTTTGGCTCCCCGGGATTCTCTAGCACTGCGGCGCCGGCGGCCGGGACCTCTGCGGGTGGCAAGGTCTTTGGTAGTGCAGCCCCTGCCAACCCTTCAACGGGTGGCGGTTTTGCGTCATTCGCCAGCAAGGGTGGCTTTGGGTCTCTGGGCGGTGATAGCGGCAGCGGCAGCGGCAGTGGCAGTGGCAGCATCTTCTCCAAGCCCTCCTCGTCGCCGAGCCCGTTCTCTGCGAACGCAAGCGGACAGAGTGTTTTTGGAGGCGGTGGACAGAGCTCTTTTGGGAGTGGGCAAAGCGCTTTTGGGAGCGGTGGGCAGAGCGCTTTTGGGAGCGGATCAGGCACCTTCGGCTCCCGGGATACGTCAGGCAACAACAACACTATATTCCCTGCATCAAGCTCGACCCCGAAGGAGAGCTCTGGTCTCGCCTCAACGCCGTTCGTCCTCGGAACCACTTTCAAGGCAGATCCTGCCTCTGCCAACGACAATGAGAAGCCCAGTGGCAAAGGTGGATTTGGTCTTGGAGGTTTTGGCCTGTCACTGGACGATGCTGCTTCGAAGTCGGCTGATTCAAATAACGCGTCTAAAGACGAAGATATGGATGCGCAGACCACTCCGGTCGAGCAAGAGAAACCGAAGTCCATCTTCGGGCAGCCGCAGCCAAAACAAGAACCGAAATCCCTCTTTGGTGCGCAGTCCCAGGAATCGACAACACCAACGTCCACACCCGCGCCTTCGAAATTCTTCTCTACTGACTCCACGGCCTCCAAACCTAATCCGTTCTCTGGCCAAGCCAGCACGAGCAGTCCTTTTGGATCGGCATCTGCAAAACCTTCCATCTTCGGATCCAACAACGACGCAGGCAAGCCAACACAACCACACAACCCTTTTGCGTCGATGTCTGGCAGCAAACCCAACCCTTTCGCATCGGCGACTCAGAGCAAACCAAACCCCTTCGCGGTCAAGAGCGAGAAGGCAGAGACTCCAGAGGCCGCAGAAGATGCACCTCTGCCGCCAGAGTCAACAAGTAAGGCCGTCTACCCGTTTGGAGATTCCTCGTCTTCTTCTACAGCTTCCGCTAAATCTGCAGAAGGTACCAAGAAGGCTACCGACAAGGCCTCCCTTTCAGTCGAGGACGTTCCACTACCGCCTGGTTCCCCATCGAAAGCTAAGGAGACACCAAAGGATGGCGACGAATCCTCGTCGCCCCTGTCAGCACATGGGACTCCTGTTGTGGAGGAGGCCCCTCTGCCGCCCTTTCCCACGAAGCCCAAGCCTGAAGCTACATCGTCCTTGTTTGGTTCAAAACAAGCTCCAGCGGTCCCTGACGGCTCTGATAGTGCTGAGGCCAGTTCGCAGGAGGACGGAAGCCAAAGCGAGGATGAAGGAGACGCAGGCGAGGATGAGGATGAAGAAGGCGACGGTGGAAGCGAAGGCAGCGGTATCGATGTTGCGAAGGATCTCAGCCCCAACTCGACAGGTGCTGGCCAAGATCAGGGCACTACGCCTCAGAGCTCGTTTGGAGGGATGGGCGGAAGCACCTTCTCCATGGTCTCGAGGGCGGAAGCGCCACAGCAGCCGCGCTCTTCGCTATTTGGCGAAATCAATCGGAGTGCCCCGGTGTTTACGAAGCCTGCCCCACCCAGCCCGCGCTCCCCAAGCCCCGTTAGGGGAGCGATCCCACCGCGCATGTTCCCTGCTGATGGTTCGCGGTCAGTCAGTGCTCCTGGAATGGCGTCACAAATTTTGGGAGGCTCTCGGGCGCAAAGCTCGGGACACGGTGCCAAGACGATCAGCACAAGGCTGCAGCCGCAAGAAGACCCCAATGTTGCGTTACAGAGGCAGGCACAGCAGAAGCAGGCCGAGCAAGACGTACAGAGCTTGGAGGATGACGAGTTCGAACACGTACAAAACTTGCTCGACAGCGAGGTTCAGCCGTCGCTGGACATCGGCGAGTTCAACGCCTTCAACAGCGTCGCAGCAGACGTCCACGCCTCTACAGTAGCTGCTCAGGTAGAAGCCTTGTACCGTGACATCAATGGTATGCTGGTGACCTTGGGCCTGAATGCCCGAGCGCTCAAGGGTTTTATCAGGGGTCATGAGGAGCTTCACGGCGAGAAGACCAAGGACAATCTCGCCAACCCTGATGACTGGGTACTCTGCGAAGCCGAAGACCTCAGCCGTATTCTCGATGACAAGCTGGCTCCCGAGTTGGAAGAGGGCCGTCTCCAAGACGTTGACGACACCTGGGACATGTGCCAGGGTCTTGTTCGGGAGATGCCTAAGCTCCGCGCGAAACACCAAGATGTCAAGCGCGTCCTCGACAGCGTTCTGGATCCCGACCACGCCGCAGCCCAACGGTCCATGCCCCTGAACGCCGAGCAGGCTGCGCAACAGACGGAGCTCCGCCAGTCTTACGCCAAGATGATCAGGCTCATGACCGATGCTGAGGGCGCGTTGACCATGCTTAAGACGAAACTCGCCTCGCTGGGCGGTTCTTCTGGCAAGTCTGCCGCCGTGCCAACGGTTGATGCCGTCATGCGCACTATCACAAAGATGACCTCGGCGGCCGAGAAGCGCAGCGGCGATCTCGATGTGCTGGAGAGCCAGATGCGCAAGATGCGATTCAGCAACTCGGTCGGGCCTCCTAGTCGTGAAGGCTCTCCATTCATGACGCCACCATCCAACAAGAGGCACTCGCTCCTCATGAGCTCGTCGTCGACTCAGTTCACCCCGTCACCGCGCAAGAGCCTGATGAACTCGGTCGAATCGCTCAACGGCAGTGTGCGGGCCACCCCCGGGCCGTCGCCGCGGAAGAAGATCAGTGGGTTCACAGACGAGGACAAGGATGTGATCAGGGGCAAGATGCAGAAGCGGCAGGCTGTGCTGGATCGCCTGCGGAGCAAGTTGATGGAGAATGGACCGAAGATGTCGAGGCACGGGGGTGGGAGTTGAGTGCGGACTTAGTCGACAGGCGTAAGTCGTCATTCGCGGCACACTTTGGCATCAAAGCTGTATGATCGTGCCAGGAAATAGTGCCATAGCACCTACGGGTGAGGAGTTACTGCGGTTCACTGCATGAGATACTGGATGATGGGATGAGGTAGATTAGGATGGCTAAGCCCCTATTCTAGGTAAATGACCGGCATACAAGATGAAGGGCCAGCAGACTCTTAGACTGCTCGCAAGCTGTGACGACTGCAGCCTGGTGGTATTCAAGGAGATCTTTGTATTACATATCTAGAGCTTGACGACTGCTAATCATCTAATCAGTCAATATGGACACCTTCGGTGTAAGCGCAACCCAACCCCCTTACTGCTCACCACCATTCATGCTGTGGACGAACAAGCTTGCCATACTTGATGCGCATGAGGAGCTTTTCGTAGTGTCTACATCATTCCAGTTCGCCCTGCGCTACCACATGTAATGCGACTGGAAAGCTTGAGACGTGGTATTGCTACAAGAGGAGACAGCAACGCCCGCCTTCACTAACGTTGCTCTTAGAAATTGCTCCAAGCTCGTTCAAAGCAGCGGTCACGACTACAAATAAGGTCTCTAAACTTAGCACTTGCCCTTCAAGGTACAATGTGTATTCTAAAACGCTCCAGTGCAGATAATGCAAGCCAAACACCCACGTCATTAGACTACTAGCAGAAGCAGCCCGCAGCGACCAGCCCTAGACTTGGATGGGCCCGGTTTATCTGAGAGAGCTGATTCAACTCGACTCTTGGGGAACCAAGACGGTGCTGCCCTCGACCTCACCATTCTTGTCCTTGTCACCGTAGAACTTGTCCAGATCCGAAACCACCTGCCGGCCGTGCCATTTCTTCATGATCTTATGCCCGTCCAGCCGCAACCCATACTGGTACCAATGCGGCATGGAGGCGAGGGCCGTAAGCCCATTGGCAAATGCGGGTGCGATGATCTGACCGCTCTTGCCGCTCAGCACTTGTCTCACGATGGCCTCGGCAACGGTCTCGGGCTCGAGCGTCGGCATCAGGAAAGGCGCTCCGTTGCTGTACCCATCGAAGAGAGGCGTGCGCGTATATCCCTGGTTTACAACGACAGTGCGGACCTTGCGTGCCCTGTAGCGAGTGGCAAGCTCGGCGGCCAGGCCCTCGTGGAATGCGAGGGCGGCATGCTTTGAGGCAGCGTAATCAACCATGTTCGGAACTGTACAGTTTGCTTAGCTATGTATGTTCGACGAGGATGCCTACAAGCAAATGTCACAAACTCACCCGCACACCATGCTGCAATTGAGGCCACAGTCACAACCATGCCGTGGTTATTCTCGATCAGACTCGGGAGAAATTCCTTGATCATCCAATAATGCGCCAGGGAGTTCACATCGAACGTGAAGCGGATGTCTTTCTCAGAAGAGTCGAGGATAGTTTTACCACGGGCCACGCCAGCGTTGTTGATCAACACGGTGGGATAGCCGACTTTGGAACGGATTTCCTTGGCCACAGCGGCGATCTCCTTGGGCGACGTGATGTCGCACTTGAAGTAGTGGACATTGGAAGCTACCGGAAATTGTCAGCATTGAGGCTCTAGTCTGAATTGTTGAACAAGGGAAAGACTTGCGCGCTTCGAAGGTCAGGGGCTGTATATCCAGCACAACGACCTTGATGCCCTTCTCGCTCAGGAACTTGACCACGTGCCCTCCGATGCCCCCAGACCCGCCGGTGATCAGTACAATCTCCCTCCCTCGCCAGTCGTACTGGTCATCTTGCCAGTTGTTTACTACCTTCGTGGAGTACCAGCTGCTCAGCCGGCGTATGAGCCCCAAGTAGAAGAGGAGCTTGACACGCGAGAAGGCCTTCTGGTGAAGGATGGAATAGTTCTCGCCCTTCTTGGTAAACCTCGCGAGCAGGAGGAGAGGCAGCGTGAAGGCGGGGTTGAAAGCCGTGTTGCCAAGGATGCGCACCACCGTGTCTGCCTTGAAGCCCTCGCGGGGCAAGAGGCCGTTGTGCATCGGCATGTTGGGCCGATGGGTTGCTTCTAGTTTGCTTCACAGACGCGGGATTTCGAAGACTTAGAAGAGAGGCAAGGAAACTGATACCATCACGGAGGTAACAGGTTGTACATGAACGAAGAGACGAGACACCGGGTGGAGCTGAAACGGGATGCCTCGGTGTTTCTGGATGATGGGGGAGCTGCATCCATGGCGGTCGTCGTCCACCAGCACGTTACCGGATTCATGCATGTTGCTACAGTAGCCCGCTCTGATCCCTTCAGATGGTCGTCGTAGCACGTCCCAAGCAGTTGGGATCTTCATATGCTACCGCAGCCGAGGGACAAAAAGTGCGGGGAAGACACAGCTCCCTTGAGGTGTGGAGATCGAGGAACGCTGTTGGGGACAGGTACATCACCAGGGGAAGAGACTCAATCGGGCAGCTCATGCATTGTGAGTCTCCCCGATCCGACCTAGCGGGCCGGTGGCAGCATTCACACATCTAGGTAGCTAGTCTACACACTCGGCACGGCTGTTTCCCAACTCCCACCGACTGCAGCAGAGCCCTCAAATGCCATCCTGCTTGGTAGCCAGCTAGTTCGTCATCTCCTCCTCCCCTCCTACCAGCGACATCAAGCCCTCTCCTGCCCACAGGCAGCCAAAAGCTTCTGTCCCAAAGCCCCTAGGTCCGGGCTCACGCTCAGGTGGCTCTTGAGTGTCATGACGGCCGCGTTCTGCGCGACATCAACCAGATCCTCCGCCCTGCCTCCCAGGGCCAAGCCCGCAACCAGTGTCCCGAGGAACGTGTCGCCCATGCCATTGACCGATATGGGAGTGCCGACCCTCTCTACAGCCGGGTAGAGCCTCATGTAGACGGCCCCAACCGACGGGTGGCCCGGCTGCGCCCTGGTGAGGATGTACCGCTCATGCTCGGGGTCGAACAGGCGGGGGTCGTTTGGCTTCAGGATCGTGGTGAGCAGGGCGCCCTTGTCTCCCATCTTTGTGATGATGGTAGGTATGTACGGCAGCAGCTGGATGCTCTGCACCGGCAGCCCTGCGTCCGTGATCTCTGCCGACGTGAGCTGTACAAACCTCTCCCTCGCGCCGCCGTGCATGCCGAAGGCGTCGATGACCTCGAACCACGGTATGCTGTCAAGGTAGCCATTGTCCTTAGCAGCTGTATACATGGCCGCCAGCTCGTATTGGTTCGGCGTCGCAATGGTGACAGCAACCTGTGGGAAGAGAGGTAGCTTGTGGCCTTCGGGGAACAATCCTGCCGCCTTGACAGTCGACACGGGCTCGTATGCGACTTTCGCACCACTTTGGCCTCCGGTCTTGATCCAATTGTGGATATCCTTTGGTGACCAGTTGCCATCCACCACCAGCCAATTGGGCTTCGTGGCCTTGATGATGGAGGCCCAATACGTAGGGAAGGAGTGTGCGGTCAAAATGGCCATGTCCGCCATTGCTGTGAACAGGCTCTTGTCCGCGTCGTTGACTGCAACGTACTGGGCTGTCCGTGCAGAGGCGTACTCGGGGCCCAGTTGACGAATGAAGTCGGTATCGAGCCCATTCTTTTCCATGCTTGTAAGTATGGTTGCGCCAGCGCTGTCAAAAGGTCGTCAGTCAACGGCCTGTTCTCTGCGGGGCAGGGTGGCGGGCTTACATGTCGCTGCCAATCATGCTACATAACTTGACCTTGAGGCCGCGGTGTATACTCTGCGCAGCCAGCGCAACGTTGTGGCCGACGCCGCCTATGGATTGGGTGATCCCCGCAGGATTGGACGTGTACAGTACGGGTGAGACAGGCTTGGGATCAGTGTATCTGTCGTTATGAAAGTTGCAATTGAGGTCGAGAGCGACCGAGCCAGCGACTAAGATGTCGGCTTTGGATGAACCATCTTTCACCTCTGGAAGTCCCTGCTCCTCCTGCCCCTGAGCATGTAATACTGGTGGAGCTGGTCTGAAATATCTTTCAGCCTTGATGTCCTAGTTGCTTATGATATACATGGGGCTCCTTACTGGTGGTGTGACCTTGCAGTCCCAGCTCCGTTCTCAAGTTTGTAAAGCTCAGAAGCAACTCTTGCTGCCCGGGCCACATTAGACTGTACAAGGTGCAAGTTTGCAGGCGCGCTCCGGTCATTGCTCAGCTCCCTGATCCGCTTGAGTATGAAAGGAGTATTCGCACTCCCAGTGAAGCCCTGCTCGTCCGCATCACGCACCGCTGTGTCAATGATCTTGTCCATCACTTCCCTTGGTATCTCATGCTCTTCAGGGATCGGGTTTGCAAGCAACATTCCACTCTCGACCCCGAGTTTCTCCTGGGCCAGGATTATGGCAGCGGCCTGCTTCTCATCATGTACCGTAAACGGGCTCCTGATGCCGCTCTCTCGGGCCCAGAACGCAGGGAGGTCGACGTCGCCGCTGCGTCCGTCCGCAAAGGTAGCAACGAGTACACCCTGCGTCTCCAGATACTCCAGCGTTCGTGGGATGTCCAAGAAGCCCTTGGGCCCGCTGCTGATCACCGCCACCCTGGTGCGACCAAGCTCCGTCAAGTCTGCGGAAATGTCCATCGAGGTCTCACCGCCGCGGTGGACACCTCCAAGCCCGCCGGTGCCAAAGATGCGGATTCCAGCAGCCTGGGCGAGCAGCATTGTTCCAGCGATGGTCGTGCCTCCGTGGAGTTTCCGCCCCGACATGCCCGTGCCGACAACGTAGGCGAGATCCCTCCTCGAGATCTTTCTCGCGCCCTCTTGGACCATACGGTCAATCTCGGCGGGGCTGAGTCCGACCTTGGCCACGCCATCGAGCACACCTATTGTGGCAGGGACTGCGCCATGCTCACGGACGACAGATTCAAGGAGCTCCGGGAGGTCTCTGCCTAGGGCACCGTGGGTGTAGATGGTTGACTCGAGTGCCACCACTGGCTTGTTTGTTGCGATGGCATCTTGAACCTCGTCTGAGACTGTCAGGAACCTGGCCAGTTCACGCGTTGCTGAGCTTGCTGAGCTTAGATGCAGTGTCTGGTTTGCCTGGAGCCGCGACAGGCAAGTTGACTTGGGCAATGGCCTGGCACAAAGGGCATGCGGAAAGCGCCAAAGGCATGAACGCCGTGTTGAGTGTCTGAGCAGTACCATGGTTGTGGTCTGCAAATGGCTGTTTTATGCTCGGCAGAGAATCCTGGGGGCCCCTTTCAAATACAAGCGATGGCTCGAGAGATACTACCGAGGGTAGGACTTGTTTATGCTCGAACGTGCGTTGGGTCAGTGCTGCATCCTGACAAGCACGTTGCAATTCAGCACTCTGCTTCCACAGCCAGTTTTTGTTTCCAAACAATGCCAGTCGACATCTGTCCGGACCAGAAATTGTCGTGAACTTGGCGTCCAGTGTGTCGTTGGCGGTGGAGCTGTGGCTGTCTGATATCGGAGCTGGCCGATCGAGTCACCGGCCAACGGCTGCGGAGCCCTCTCCGACTTGCCGATGGGTGGATCCTTGCGCCAACGTCGGTTGATGACAAGGATTCTAAGGTATCCACCAATGCCCACTGTCTTTGAAACCTGAGTTGCATCACCGTGCTTCCATCAGACAACCCTTTCCCATGATTTCACGCTGTCACGTCGATCAGGGCGATGGAAGTTGATGCTGTTCGCTACCTGTCCACAGCATGACAGGCCCCGATGGAGTTACTGGCCAGCCAATTTTGTCGTCCCTGGCACGCGCCTAGACAGGACGAACCAATTGACCGCGGCGGAACCGTTCTTCTTGTATACCCGAGCCAGCGGATTTCGGTAATTATTCCAAGTGTTATTGCTGGACAACCCCCCTGCCAGGCGAATTTAAGCTTGTCATGGGAGGGCAGAAGGACCAAACTCGAAGGAAGACTTCATCATCTCAGGTGTCTGGTCTATGCCGTTAACCGGCCCTGTTCCCTTCCCCAAGTCTTTTACGCCAGGTGTCGGCATCCCTCATCTTGTGCCACGCTTGGGTTCATCTCTTCTTGCACGCATCTTACTTTGACTGACCATAACGCGCTCTCGCTTTTTGCTACAGACATATGTAGTTGACATACCCCTCTGGTAGTTTGAAGTCCTAAATTTCATCCCATCTAGTACCATTACTATAACGAGTCATCCGTTGTGTGTGGGACTCTGTCGACCCAAGCAATGTTTTCGCAATTCTGGTCAGCGGCCCTGCTGCCGCTTCTCTTCACTTCAGCCCTATGTCAAAACTTCACCATCTCCAATGGGCAGATCTTCACGCCTGGCTTTGCGGTTCTCGACTCCCCGCAGCCGGGCACGCCGATGGGCGGCGGTATGGCTCATGCCCACCTGATTACATTCCTTCCCACATTACCCGGCTGACTAGACATAGACACGATTGAGATCGCTCTGGACGTCACAGCAAATGGCGTCCTCCCCCTCGACGTTGCCGATGACAGCCCCAGCCGGATAAACAATATCACCATCTTCATGTACAGCTTTGACACGGGCCGCAACTTCACTGTCTCCAACGGCACTGCCTCGGGTAACAACGCCAGCTTGGGGGAGATAATGCTGCAGGAGCCTGGCAGCACAGTCAAGCACGTCAAGTGGACCTGGCCAGCGTGCTTAGTTGGCGACGGCCAACCGGCGACGACTGACAGCGACCGTGGCATCTATAATATCTCGATCAGGCAGAACTTCGTCATGAACAACACTAACCTCTACACCATCTTCGACGTCCCGATCTCTGTGACGAACAGCATCCCGAGCTCGATAAGCCGAGCCCAGTGCGATGCGCTCAACAACCCCTTGCTGACGCCGGAGCAGATCAACGCCTCGGCCGCGAACAGCGTCGGCGTCCTGTTTGCGCCGGGGGGCTCGCAGGTGGTGCAAGTGAAGCTGGACAAGGCGGAAAGCGGCCAAGGCCTTGGAGGTGCTGGTATGCTGAGCTGGAGGAGTGGCGCGGAGTGGCTGTGTCTGGCCACTCTTGCTATGGCCTTTGCTTTCTAAGGCCGGTGTGTCGAGCACATGTTGGGCCGAGTTCAAGCACGGACAATTCAACGATACCCCTTTTTGGTTTCTTGCACTACAGGTGTTTCATCGGCAGCCTCATATACCACATGTAATTACCTGGAAATAGACCTGTCAGTTACTCAAATTCAAACCTGGATAGCGATGCATATGGCCGTGTGATTGCTTGTCACGGATCATCCACAACTGTGATGTCTGAGTATGACTGCGTCGAGACTAGCCAATTTCTTGAATGAGGTTGACCTGCCTTCGAAGTGACCACAGAAATGAAGCCGTTTGACGAGTAAGTGTAATAGAAGCTCGATTTTTAAATGCCAGAGCAAGTTTGCTTTGGGGATCCATAGCGAGCTGGGCGCGGCTGACTTAATAAAGTGGGTCAAGATAAGAGCATCCAGTCCTGGAGAGCCGATAAGCTCCACCACTGCAAGGCTGAGAAAGCGAACCTAAATTTTCTGAAGGTTCTTGCAATTTCGCCGATCACGAACGGCGACTTTCCTCCCATCGCACCTCACTAACCACATCCTCAAAATGTCGCGGAAAACTCAAGATGAGATTGTTGATGAGAGCTCATCGCAGAATGAGGATGACTTCTCCGGTTTTGAGGACGAGGACACTCAAGTGAAATCAAACGACCAGATGGATGTCGATGAGCCCGATTCAGATGAGGACGAACTTGAGCGACTCGTGCTCGGAAACAAAGCAGGGTTCCGGGCCAATCTCTTCAAGAATGTCGCTGATTCTGACGATGATGAGGCTTTGAAGAGTCTGAGATTGGACGATGACGGACAAGCACCTGGGACCACCGGCCATGAGGACCTGGACGACTCGGCTCTCTTCATGTTCGACACTGGCTCGGCGCCAATCGATGGAAAACAGCTCACTGAGACGGCCACAACTGTCGCTAGAGTCGACGAGCCTCAGCCTGCCTGGGTCGACAGCGACGATGAGAGACTGGTGGTCTCGCTCGCCGGCGTCAAGCAGCTGCGGAAGCTGCGTGAATCGGAGGCTGATGACCTGGTCAACGGGACAGAGTATACCAGGCGCTTACGACAGCATTACCTGCGTCTCAACCCGCTTCCCTCCTGGGCTAAGGATACCTCGGAGCGCAAGACAAAGAGGCGGCGAAGATCATCTGCTGCCTCGTCCGGCTCAGATTCTTCCTCGGGTTCTGAACTCAGTGGCGATGACGAGGACATCGCTGCCTTGCCACTGGAAAGATTCCTTCGTGATGCCGGCGCTCTTCAAGGTGATGGTGGGAGGAGAAAGAAGCGCAAGCTCCGGCCCGAAGTCATTGACATCCAGCGCACCCGCGACATCGCCGATACGCACAAGGGCCCCGTCGACTCGATTTCATTCCATCCCCAACACCCAGTCCTCCTTTCCTCATCAAAATCATCAATACTGTATCTTCACCACATTGACCCCAGCGCGCACCCCACGCCAAACCCACAACTCACTTCCGTGCAAGTCAAGTCCGTGCCCATCCGACGGTCCGCCTTTTTGCATCCCAGTGGCGACGAGATCATTTTCGCAGGGCGGCGTCGATTCTTTCACAGCTGGAACCTCTCGACTGGCATCGTGAAGAAAGTCACCAAGATTCAGGGTCACCAGGAAGAGCAGAAGACCATGGAACGGTTCCGGCTCAGCCCTGATGGAAACCACATGGCCCTCATAGCGACGAGTCGGAAAGGTGGTGGCATGCTGAACATTGTCAGCGTAAGTAGCATGCAGTGGGTTGCGCAGGCGAGGCTGGACAGCCGTGGTGGTATTGCAGACTTTGTCTGGTGGAAGGACGGCCAGGGTATCACCATTCTTGGCAGGGACGGTCAAGTTGCCGAGTGGTCGCTTGTGACGAGGCGGACGGTGGGCATTTGGAGGGACGAGGGCTCTATCGGTGGCACCGTGGTGGCCTTGGGCGGACGCGACGGGCCACAGGGAGCCGGAGGGGACAGATGGGTCGCTCTGGGCTCGACCAGTGGCGTGTTGAACATCTACGACAGGAGCGAGCTCATCTCCAAGGCTGAAGGGGACGCTGTGGAGATCAAGCCGCTGCCCACACCCACACGCAGTTTTGAGCAACTAACCACGCCAATAACGGTTACCACATTCAGCCCCGACGGACAGTTGCTCGCCTTTGCCAGCCAGCACAAGAAAGATGCTTTCAAGCTCGTGCATCTCCCGAGCTGCACGGTCTATAGGAACTGGCCGACCGAACAGACGCCAATGGGCAGGGTCACGGCGGTCACATTCGGGAAGTCCAAGGACGCTGATGTGCTAGCGGTAGGGAACGACGTTGGCAAGATCAGGATGTGGGAGATTAGGAATTAGGGGAAGAGGATGGGGGCTGTCAGCATTAGGTTCTCTATAATGCCTACATCATTGGTGTCAATACTCCCACGTTCATCATCCACCCATGAACCTGCAGTTGCATCCCACCCTCGCATTGACGATGCTCACTCATCACTGAAGAGAACCTTCACCAGATTCGATCAGCCCGTGACGTCTGGCCCCAGCCACTCGTGATCTGACACCGACCATCACCTTCTGGTATGTACCCCTAGTTCCTGAAAATGTGAGCCAAGAGGTCACGCAGCGGGCTTTCCAACGAGACCTTGTGGCGCGGGAAGATCTTGCGGGTGCGCAACGTGTACGCCGACAAGTCCCGCTCGCTCTTGAAGAACCAGACGTCTTCGGGCTTGTTCTCGGCGAGAAGGAAGTCAAGGATGTTGACCCAGACACCCCTGAGGGCCTGTGCATCCGCGTATCAGCTTATGTGTGCCCACAAAGTGTCTTTCCCATCAAGTGCCCGTGTAGGAAAGAGGGCTCCTCACCTTCCGGCACTGCGTCTTGCTGGTGTACGTCTCGCCCGGCTTGCCAAGGTCGCAGCAGAGCTGCTTCCACTTGGCCAGGTTGTTGTCATTCGGTCCAAAGTAGCTTTCCCACAATACCTCAATCTTCTCGTTAACCTTCTCCTTTTTCTTGGGCTGTCCTGGCTTTGGACGGATCGAGAGGGTCATTTGCTGGGAGTCTTGAGCCGACATGGTAGACTTTGACTCGAGCACTTGGCTCACGATGCTTGACTTCTGTTGCAGACCACCGGGGGGTTTAGGAGAACTCAAACCAGATGCCAATGTGGGCTCAGGGATGTAATAATCTGGCTACCCCGGACAGCAGTGTCCTGTAGGAGCCCCAGGTGAATGTGGTCGAAGATAGACATTCCAAGTCTTATGGAGCAAAGAAATATATTTTCATATTCCCATACACAAACGGACGACAGATGTGATGTTGCCTTAGGCCACAAGAGCCGTCTGGGCATCGATGTTTTACACGCAGACAAAGGCTCGGTTGGTGTGAGTAGTTGCGGTTGTCTGCGGCTACTGCAGCTATCCATATCACCAAACGGCTGTCTGGGCAGATTTCAGGGTCCTATCTTAGGACCACTCTGACTGTGCAGTCTTGATATTTCAAAATTAGACGAGAGTCAAGGCATTGCTGGGGTTGTTTGAACTGAGACCTGTGGTTTTTGATAACCTCATATCACAGTTTAAAGAGACTGACGTACGAGACCAGCAAAGGGTCGCCAACGTGATGTGTGTTCACTCAAAATTCGGACAAACGACGAACACAGCATTGCGGCCGTACGTAAGCTCTCACACTAAATACTCATGAGACCCTGTCGTTCGAAATCCTAAGCAATCCTTTTCTCAATGTCATTCCCAATCAGTACGTTCAGCCCCGTGGGGCGAAGACCGGGGGCAGATGAACAGGCTGCGAGCAAGAAGTCTTCGATGACTGTAGTAGAGCGGCCCACTCACCTGCATACCCGATATCTGAGATAACACGATTTGAATTATGACAAGAACCTTCCGAGAACTTCCAGGGAATGCTTAAGTGCTGTGGGATGACTCTCCTGGGCAATATGCCCGTAGACTCACGCCCTCGTCCACCTCGCGTTCCTGCCGAACGTGGGGTCGGTCGGTGACTGGCAAAACAGCTTGGGGCTCTCTTTTTTCCCGAGATGGGTGGGACCGCAATCATTCCCGTCATCAAGCGAGGATTGTGGTCTGCTGGTCTTTGTGGATTCGGATCGGGTTGCGCTCGGGTTCTGTGTGGACGGAGCAGCGCGAGGCTCGAGACACGTGCAGGCCTCCCAAGTGGGTACGCCTCTCAACGCGCCTTGTGCGTATCTTACAATTCAATGCTACAATATCCTGGGGAGATATGAGACAGCGCGGATATACGAGACCATATCAGGTGGTGCATGACCATGTGAAGACTGGCAGTCTCACTCAACCGGCATCTGATGGCTGGGTGCGGTCCAGAAATGAGACCACAGTGAGGATACACTTGGATGATATTCATGAGGTGTGTTGATATCCCGGAATCGGTAGCCTTGTCGTGCGTGGATAGCAAGGCGCGAATCGTCAGTGGTCGTTCGTTTTTCTTCTAGACTCGTATAAGCCAGGCCCATATACGTAAAGTGCGGACATGGGCCAGCTTGCACGGGCCCGGCGAATCCTTGGTACTGAAAACCGGACCGTTTCCGACCTACTGCTTCTCTGGGTCAAGGCTAATAAAGTCAGATTAGCATTCATCAAAGAGAAATGTGTGTGTTCTTGGCTGCTGGTACCCGGCTTGCTCGACCAGCTCCAGCGGAGTGGTTCAAGGGTTTACTTTGCAGTACAGGCAGTACGATGGGAGCAGCCATCACACCGCATGCCAATAACGAGGCGTCCACAGTCCAGGTCGCATACCACTGTGCATCAAGCCAGCCATTAGAGCCTGTGTGAAGTTAGTCCACATGGGCTAACTGGCAAGTTGGAATCTCAACAAGCACACGCAAGCCGTGAAGCCTGGTGGCTGCCAGTTGCATTGGCCGCGACTTGAGGCCCGGCGAGACGGAGGGTAACTCCAGATGTTGGTCTTTGCCTGGCAAGGCTCCAAAACCGTGGTGCTGTTGACGAGCCCCGTTTTCTATTTCGCCTCTGGCTAGTCTAGGGAGTCACCATGGCGGCATGGCGGTTAGCTCTAGATAGGTAAGACGTAGGTTGCGGCTTACATTACTAGACTACACAGTAGCGACAGCCGACGAGCGTTTCAGCTTCGGTCCCTCCCTGCTTAGGAATCGCACGTTACTAGGCGTTCGGGACATTCATCTGGTCGGTCCTTGCCCGACAACGACGGCGCAGGACGAATTGTCTGTCGTACAGGCAGTCCATGCGGCCACCACCGCCCGCGTGGTAGATACGAGGCCACGCAGGTTGCCGGTTCTCAATAATTGCAGTGGGTGGTGCATAATGCATGCGCTTAATGAGGTTTTTCGACATTGCTGGGGAAACATGTGGAGGGTATCTCCACAGCCGAAATTGCAGATCGGGTCCATCTGGAGCAATTGGCGAATCAGAGGGCGAGGGTGGGATGCTGAGAAGGGCCGTCCGTTGGCAAAAGGAACCAAGCAGGTAAGAACTAGCCCCATGGAGGAGCAAGATTTGGGATTGTCAGGAATGCATCTCAGACCCCCATTTCATCTGTCCGCCACAAGCGCCTCACTCGTGACCTGCAGCTTGCAAAGCAGCAGCCTCGCGGTCGCCTGCAGGATGAAGAAGAAGAAGAAGAAGAAGAAGAAGAAGAAGCAAAAGCATCTATCATATGACCAGCCTGATCTCGCAACCAGACGCACCCGTACAGGCGAAACGGAAATCATGAGGTGAAGAGGCAGCAGGTCTGGAGGTCGAAGCCTCGAAACGTCGGGTTGTATCCAATTGCAAGAACAGGTGGGTGACATTGGCAATCCTCAAGTCAATTTCCGTTTCGTCCCAAGTGTGGCAGCCTTGCTCCTGCAGGGCCGCAGTCGGGCTAAGACGTGCATTGTCGGTGGGCAGTCTGGGATGTCAGCGAGGGCCGCGAGGCAGATCATGATTTGCATCAGATTCATTGCCCCATGTGCGCCACCCGGGGGCTCAGGAGCATAATTGTGGGAAAGGATCATCAGGAGCCCGTCAGGGGAGACGTCGAGGGGACCTGGAGGATCTCGACTCGGGCTAAGGGCTAAAGAAAGGTGCTGACGGATGCTGTGCCACACGAGAGCAGCCAGCCCTAGTGAAGCTGAAGGCAAAGGATCCGGGTGCTACACGGTAATGTTCGGCTGGGCCCATTGCGAGGCAAGGCCCCAGCCAGGCTCGGGAAAGAGGCGTGCCTGGCCCGTCAGCGATAATGATAATTCTTCACGTCCAGCTTCGATAAGATTATAAGGTTTGGCACCAGGCTGGGCGACAGGTGGGGACGGGATTCCGAAAGGAAAAGGCAAGTCTAGGTTAAGCCCAGGAACTATCGTCATGTACCCCGTACAGCGATGATGTGATGCTTAGGGGCGCGGGGGGCCCAGTTTCAGGTTCCAATACGTATACGTATACGGTATTGCGAGATTGTCTTCTGTACTTCCTAATGGACAAGCTCAAAACGTGAGGCTCTCACCGTAACATCACAGACGCAAAAGCCCGGCAGCTTTCCACTTTGAAGAGAAGCGCAACGGACCTGCGCCCCCCAAAACGCTATCACGCTCTTGGGGGCTTGGGACGTGCGTGTCTCGGCAGTCGTCATCCCTTTCCTGCCCGAGCTTTCAGATACCGCGACGCGGGGCCGTAGGTGAGGCCTGCCGAACCTGTCTTGGCGCGAGCTCCCCTGTGGTGCTGTGCAGCCGGTTGTATTTGGTTACAGCGGCAAGTGGAAAAGAGTCAGCGGCGCTGACCGCTCTGCTGGGCAGGTGAAAAGCATGCGGCCTTTATTATTACCTTTGCCGCCGTCTACCACGATGTGAAGGAATTGAGATGATCTCATGGCTTATGTGTGGGGGGCCACGCCTGACTTTTGAATCGTGCATGCGCACCAAGCCACAACCAACTAGCAGCCAGAGGCAAGAGGATCGAGGAGGAGGACGTAACGGGCTGGCGTGTTTTAGCTGTGCAGCGGTGGCTCAGAGCGAATCTTTCTGACGTGCAGGCGGAGGAGGATTTGCAACTGCCTGTGCTGTGCCTCACTGCGACTGATCATCATCCACAAGGGGTCTTTGATGACGGCACCTCAAAGTCAAGGCCATTTGAGGTCTTCACAAGGCATTCTTTCAATCAATTCTGCCAGACTGACGCTGGGGAAAAGAAAGGCTTGGTCTGTGGATGTGGATGTGTGATGACACTGGTGAGGCAGTGTTCCCACGTTAGCTAGCTTATCAGGTAGTCTAGGTAGCTAGCTGGGGTCTAGCTTCATTGACGACAAAAGAGTACCGTACCCAATGGACACACAGATTGCTGTGGTAGATTACCGCGTCCGGCACCATCGCGGAAACGTTGTCCAAACGGTTCTTGCTGGAGCTGCCACCCCGTTGGCTGCTTCTGATGATGGTCTGGTCGTTGGTGTCGACTGCGTCTGGATGAGCCGATGCAACGTCTTGAGTCGGCTGCTTCTGACAAGATGACAATTTCAAAATCGCGGCACGCCCAGCTCTCACCTCCTGGGCAGAGGCAGGTCTGGGCAGTTCTGGGGCCGGCATGATGGCTGGCTGGCAAGCTCCTTCCCTGTGCTGCTTATTCTTAGAGGCACATTTGCACGTATTTGCTGGGACCGCCCTTTGTCCGTTTCGGCGGCCTGAGAGCTCGGGCCATGTGAGTGGGCCCAGTGCGACGGCAAACAGCGGGCTGTCCAATCACATTGGCTGTTTGGGAGCGGCCGTTTCGAGACGCTGAGAAGGAACGGAGGGCTTGCGCAGCTTCCTGCGCACTTCTATTCGCGGTCCGCACCAGGCCCCAGTTCCCTGTCACCTCGACTGTCACCTCGACTGTCACTGTACTGCGCCGTGGAACCGCAGTACAAGGTACATGCGTGCTCCGTTAGTGCCTGTGGCGCCCCCAAACCCCAGCGCCTTCCTCTGTTAGTGCGTTGTTGCCAAATTTGAAATGACAATCATTGTTTCCAAACGCAGAGCACACCTCTGAGAGCAAGCCGTTTCTGCATGCAGTGGCGTGGCAGCACGCGATATCCCATCTCTCCCTCCAGTCTGCAGCCAACAATTTCCCAGTCACAGCGCGCCGTCCCAAGGTTGCAAGCGAACGTGGCACATACCTACGTACCTAGGTACCTACGTAGGTAGTATAGTACGGTACTGCCCTCGGTCGACGCGAGCCACTCGGTCGGTCTACTGGCGTGCGTGTGCGTCGTTGGGCGGGTCGCTTGCGGTTCTCTGGTGCTCGCGTCCAAAGTCCCTCACTCCCTCTTTGGAGAAGCCGTGGGAGCCTCTTGGGAGGCCAACTGCCTCTATTACCACTACCATTACCACTACTACTGCACCAACCGACCGCACTTGGACCTTATTCCCACTTTCAAGGCTACTTCGGACCATTTTGTACCAGTCGCAGCCACCGAGCGGACTGTGTGGCACTGGCACTCACTCCCTCGCTCGTTCTGGGCTGCCTACCCAAGGAACCTGGACACCTGAATACCTGGATACCTGGCCTCGCTTCCGCCTGTCCTCATTTCTCTCAAACCCCATACAATCTCCACCCGGCTGCATCCTGCACCCTTCGCACTTTGACTTGGACCCGCGGGCGCTATTGTCCTGCCCTGCCCTGCCCAGTCCAGCTCCCAGCTCCAGCCCAGTCCTGTCCAGTCCTGTCCAGTCCTGTCGAATGAACCCCAGTGTCTCCTTTTCAATAGTACCCTCCGTCTGCGCTGCATTTTTTTCCCTCCCGATTAAAAAACGCATCCATAATAAAACTGTTCACTTCTGCCCTGCCTTGCCCCGTCCTTCTTAGCAGCCACGGTCCTCGACGAGACGCGCCTCCTTTTGTCTCGCCTTCCCTTCCCTCCCCCTCCTCCCCTACCACCTCCTCCTCCTCGGCACCGGCTCAGTCCCCTCTAACGGTCCAGACATCTCGGTATCCTCCCTTATCGGCACGTCAAAGGGAACGCGGCATCTCTTGTCGTCAACATGTCGCTCTTCACCTGGTGCACCCGCCGGTGCGGAGGGCTGGCCATGCTCGCAGCTTTGGCCCTCTCCTACTGGGTCGTCAGCAAGGAAGCCATCGTATCGCACAATGATCTCTTCAAGCATCAACAGAGAGACATCCTTAGCCCCATCCCCCAGTCGCCCACGACCGCTGAGGGCGCCGGCATATGGACCGTCATCTTCGCCTATTACTGCCTCTTCATCCATGTCCTCGTCGCTGCCTTCCCTCTCCGGTCCTGCTGGGCCATGTGGGACCTCACCCGCAGCCTGAAGAGGGCCGCGCACAGCAAGGCACTCCAGAGCCTCAAGTTTGCCCACCGACGCCGGGGCTCTTCTACCTCTCTGTCAAGCTCCGAGACCCTGACCTCGTCCCATGGATCCTCCGCGAGCAGCGAAGCCGGCGACCTAGAGGCTGAGCTCTACACAGACGGCGATGCCGAGCCCGATCGCGTTGTCCACGCCATCGTCATCCCAAACTACAAGGAGGAATTGGACACTCTGAGGGAGACACTGGAGGTCTTGGGCTGCCATCCCCAGGCTCGCAATAGCTACGACGTGAGTGCCGAGCTCCCAGATCGCTGTCAGCACCACTCGTGGGTGGAGGTCCTGACACGGTCCATCAACTCCCCGCGATAAAAGATCCCCGCGAGCCATTGAGATGCCTTGACGAATCAGTTCGCCGGGCTGTCACTTCGGAGAGCAATGTCAAGCTAACACGTTCCGATGCAGGTCTACCTAGCCATGGAATCTCGTGAGAACAACGTGGAGCTGAAGGCCATGGGGCTTGTCCAAGAGTTCATCAAGAAGTTCCGCTCCATTGACTTCACAATCCACCCGTCCGACATTCCAGGCGAGAGCGCTGGCAAGGGCAGCAACATGGCCTGGGCCGTTCGCAAACTGAGCGAGAAGTACTCTATGGAAGCTCGTAAGGATGTTATCGTCACCGGCATCGATGGTACGTTTTTGAGTGCTGCCCCGTGTGTTCTGCTGCAGCATGCGTTTCCGATTGCTGCATATCACACACACGATACACTAACATTTTGTGCCTGCAGCTGACAGCCACCTCTCCTCCAACTACTTCGCACACCTGACGTCCATGCACTTGTCCTACCCCGAGACCGCTAAGACGACCATGTACGCCGCTCCAATCATTTTCGACCGCAACTCGCACAGCGTCACAGCCCTCGTCCGCGTCGGCGACATCCTCTGGGCTTCAGCTGGCATGTCCGGCCTCTACCGCGGCTCGACAATTGCCCCGCCGACTTCTGTCTACTCTGTGCCTCTGGAGCTGGTCGACCGCGTTGGCGGCTGGGACTGTGACCCCGAAGCAATTGGAGAGGATTTGCACATGTACCTGAAGTGCTTCTTTGCGCTCAACGGAAACCTGACTGTTCGCACCATCATCAGCCCAGTCAGTCAGAGCAACGTAACTGGCGGTGCTGGTGGCGGTGTCAAGGGCATGGTTGCCGACATCAAGGCCCGGTACAAGCAGGCCATCCGACACATGTGGGGAGCTCTCGACTCCGGCTATGCTATTCGCAAGGTGGTTGAGCTCTGGCAAGAGAGGAAGCATACCTCTCGGTCTTTCCGCCCCATCCACAGCACGCTCCAGGATACCACCGATGTCTACGTCCCGCACAACCAGAACCTCGACCCCGAAGCCCCGCCTGCCGAGAACGGTATCTTCTCTGACGTGACCCACGATACTCTTAAGGGGCCCAACTGGGAGCGCATCGTCTACCTTTTCCACCGCCTGTTCGAAGCTCACTTTCTGCCTCTGCAGACTACCATTCTCATTATTGCTTCTACTCTCTACGTCTGGGCCACCGAGGGCAAGCCGGATGTGCACGGAATCAACTGGATCTTCGATGCGTGCAACGTCCTTAGAACCGCTGGTTTCATGGAGATTGCCTTCCTCCTGTTCCTGTACGAGAGCTTCCACAGGATCTGCGTGCAGACTCGCGAGAAGGAAATGAGCGACGCAGGGCTCTCCAAGGGCATGAACTTTTCCCACCGCCACGTCAGCAAGAACTGGAAGGACTACTGCATGGTCCCTATCGTCGCTCCTCTGTTCGGTGCCGTTCCCTGTGCCCAGGCTCAGGTCTGCCACTTTTGGACGCTCGATCTTGTATACACGGTCAGCAAAAAGGTCACACGACAAAGATCACGGTCTGTGACGGCAGCCGCGCTGGCATAATGACACGATTACGAACCCTTCATTCGCTTCTACCCGACGATAATTTCAACCCATTTTTACCTACCCTTCTTCGACTGGCCTGGAAGCTTCTCCCGCATCTCGACGACGAGATCCGCGCCATCCCCCTTTTACGCTTTCGATTCTGTGCACAGTTTTGGAGACCACGCAGATTCCCTTTTTTTTTGGCGCGAATTTGGAAGACACGGCTTTCTGAGCACCTGTGTAAATAGAGGGGCATCATGATGTTTTGCATGGCATTGGCATTCGGCATCTAGAATGGGGGGCCAACTACAACACTGGGGGCTCTCCAGGAGTTTGGGAGCAATAGCGGCAACGGTATGGAAAAGAGGTATCATGCTTCGCCGCAGACGTTCGCTACACAGAAAGAAAGGCAAGGTCATCGGTCCAACCCAACTCGCGGAAGGCTTCAAGAGACGGACCCCTAGCCTCTCTCTGGCCCGGGGTTGGACTGCGACCTCAGCTGCCCGGAATGGGAGGGCAGGGCTAGCTCCACCGGGCAGCGGTGAACCTGGATACCTCGACGCAAAGAAGGCGGAACGAGGCCAGGAATAATCAAATTTAGCCCGGTAATATCTAATTCTTCATGTATGGTGGTGAGCAGCGTGGGGTATACTACAGGTGTCATGACATGATAAGGACTGGTCAAGGAGAACACACCCATCAGAGAAGCGGCGGCGGCGACTCCACCACGCAGAGGTATGGGTATTGTACGGAATACTTTGTATCATGATCAAGACAGAAAGCTACAGCACCTGCTGGGCCGCCTATGAACAGTTGTGGGGACCCACCACCAACACGCGACAATATCTGATGGATGGAATGAATCAATGAAAGAGAAGCCACTCGCTACATGCTCATGTGCCCCTTGTCCGCTCAATGTGATGGCCAGCCACTTGTCGGTTAGCCCCCAATTGCGAAAACGTTCATACAACCCGAGATAGTCCTAGAGCAAAGTGAGCAGGGCGATGATACGCCCCAGATGGCTCAACTACAACTAGCCTGGTGCTAATGCATGGGAGGCGTCGTCAAACGTATAAGTCATTATTGCAGATTGGCAACCTGTACGTCGTTCTCGCCAGTATGGCCTAGTTTACGGATCAACAGTTCAATCACCATTTGTGTATACAGTATGTGGTCAAGCTGCAGATCAACACTCGCGGGAACAGTCGGGCTGTGACGCGGCCATCACCATCGTGCAGGAGATTTTACTCGATTCCTGCTCGATCGTCAAGTAACTCTTTTCCTTTCGGTTCCCATTCGGAGAGGGGGAACTCGACGGGCGCGTTCACTTTAAGCAGTCGCAAATCTCCACACGGACTCGCTCCTGGAAGAGTCGCAGGATTACCGGCCGTGGGTCGTGTAAGTGCCGAGTGGACTCGGAGGTTGTCAGCTTGATCGCCCAATCACGAGCCAGCAGTCCCTCCGCGAAGTCACGGTGGAACAAAGACGATGCTGGAGTCGGCTTGAAAGCTCCGTCCAGATGGGAATATCCGTCTGAGGGAGCCGGAGGTTGGAGGGTTGAATTCGTTGAGTCGGGCAAAGAATGTATGTATATATATTCCATAGGCAACCTCCGGCGATGGGATGGTGATCAGCAGCAGAAAGAACCCCATCGCATCTTCACATCTTCACATCGAACAATATTCTTATCTACAACACCAATTACAAAGCCCACGATAGGATACGTCTCATCAGGAACCGCTTTTGAAGTAAAATTAGACAGCTCGAGCTTCCGCCATGAGTGCCCGCCAACACCTCCACATAGGGGTCTTCATCCCCTCTGCTTCGGCAGCGCAGCTCCTCGACACTGCATGCATCGACGTCTTCGCCATCAATTCTTATCAATATCTCTCATCAATGCCTATGGTTCCCTCGCACCTATCCTCTCTGGCACCGGAAATCAAAATCTCATATATTGGCAGCCAGAAGCCAGGTGAGATCCCGAGCATTTATCATTTAGTTTCTAGGACACTTCCCAACATATAAAAGCTCTGCCGAGATGTTCTTGTCGAAGCAGAACCTGTCTCTACTTTCCATCTTCTCATCTCTCTCAGCTCTTCACAGAACCCTTGCTGAGGAAGTGTCTTGGCAATCCTCATTCCTTGTGCGAAATCTCCGGTAATGTAGATGGCTGACCTCGACATGTGGGCAGGCTCCCTCGTCAAGCTGACCGCGGACATGAAAATCGAGCTCGGCAACCACTTCTCTGACGGAGACGTCGCCCCGGGAAAGTTGGACGTCGTGCTCGTGCCTGGCCCTGACCCCCGGGATACCTGGGACGAGGACGTCCTGTCGTGGCTACGCCAGCAAGGCGCGACGCCAGGCACAGATATCCTCAGCGTCTGCACCGGCATATACCTCTGTGCCGCGGCAGGGCTGGCGGACGGGCGGACAGTATGTGGGCCGAGAGGACTACAGTCCGAGCTGAGGAAGAAGTACCCAAAGGCGAACTTTGTCGGCGAGAAGCTGAGGTGGAAAAGGGATGGGAACTTCTGGAGCAGCGGGGGTGTTACGAACGGGAATGACCTGGTCGCTGCCTACTGCCGGGAGAGCGGACGCTTCCCGGGGCCGGTCGCCGAGTTCGCATGTGTGATGGCCGACGTAGGGGATCGGCCGCAGCTATATGAGCAGAGTCAGGGCGCGTACACTGTTGGTATAGTGTGGCAGCTGATCAAGGCGTGGTTCCTGGGCGTTGGCAAGACCAAGGCGAAGACTGCTTGATGGGTCTACAGCTTGCGTCAACTTGCGCCTCAGATCTGGTATTTGGTATTCGCAGGGCTAAGAGCGGAGAAGCAGGGAAGATTCGGACTCAACTTTCTTCGATATACATTTTACTGGTTCTAAATCTGCCGCGTGCTCTTTTCTTGTGGTGCTCTCCATTGGTAAACGGCTTATGAGCTCTCAACCTCATTCAATTTACTGATCTTTCGACCTCAAATTGGTTCACTAGTTTGCGTTCTTCAGTATCTTGCACTATTATTAGTCTGCCATAACCCACACCACAAAATTGGCTTCGAGACAAGATCTTAAGACATGATTCGCCAATGGAAACCCACAGGTTGACAGTATTAGATTAATCAATCCTATAAGTGTCACAGCGCAGGACTTGGCATTCTCAATTGAAATACAGACGACACGGTATTGGCACTGTCACTAAGCACAGAAGGAACAGCAAATGGGCCTTAAATTCACAATCGCCCGCTAGCACATAGTTTCAATATCCAGATACCATTAGCTACCTGTTGCTATCTGATTACGTGTGATAGTTCGAATCTCAATGACTAGATCCGCAGAATCACCCATGATGAGCCAAGATCACTTCTTGTACTCTTCATCTGTAGTTGTCTCGCACGTGGGACTGAATTAATAAGTCAGTATTCACTAAAAGATTCGAGTGTCTCTAGGCTTCTAATTGTTGAGAGAACTCACGGCTGATATCCTGCCATATTTGCTGGTGTGTAGTTGAGAATGGAAGAATGTGATGAGTAAATAGTTGGTGTTAGAATTTGTCGATGATCGGATCTGATTATTTTTTCTCTTGATTTCTTTGGTGATAAGTGTTGGGAGAAGAGAATCGTGTTTCGTTTGAGAGCAATGGCTGCATCGTTTTATAGGGCAAATTCTGGCATACACATGAACGACACCAAAGACGTGACTAGCAATCAGCATATGCACCGTTCAGACAGTACAGTGAAGCACTCGTGACCAAATCACAATTCGCGGTCGAGATTCAGTAAGTGAGGGGAGGCCTAGTGACTTGGGGAGTTGTTTGAGAGAGCGGTGTTTAGCTACTGCTTTGTTCACCACTGTTTCATTTGGTTGCTACCTGTGAGGGCCAGACCGTGACAGCCCTGCCACAACTATGTGACAACCGCGATCCGAGGCTCATTCGTCCTAAACAATCATTCACGGCACGCTGTCAGAGACAGTCAGCTAAGTGACGATTCATTGGGTGAGGCGCACATCAGCCCTATAACAACCCCCTGCTCTATCGCACCGATATCTGGCATGGCCCGCAATATAAGCTGGCCGAGAAACCAGCAATCAGTCTCGCGGCCAGAGCCCCATGTGGAGGCCCATCTCGTGCTCGGTGCCATAAGGGGTCATAGCTTCTCTCGAGGCAAAACACACTGTGGCTGGTTGGCACCCGTGCTTGTTCCAAGGACTGACAGCCAACAGCCATCGCGTCACGTACATGGTCGAGATTTCAGAGTGGTCCGTCGGAGTGTCTGCACGACACGTGTGGTTCTGTATGGATATTGCTTATCACCCATGCATAGCAGTCTCTTAAATACTCGGGCATCATCTCCGTTTGGAAGTCCATTATCATGGCCGTCGCATTTTTAATCGTCTGACCTAGGAGGTGGCGTTAAGTTGAAGCAGAGGTAGATGGTGGTAATAATGCTGGGGCGGACGGCAGAGGACTGTCAACAAACAAGACTCTTGCCGGTATCGATATCGCTCCTGCTCCAACGCGGCCCTCAGACCACCTTCTCAAAAGTCTTCTGGATCGGCTTGGCGGCATCGATGAATTTCTCCAGGTCATTGTCCAAATTGGCCAGGTCCTCCCTGCGCTTCTTATTCTCGGCGATGAGCTTCTGCTTCCTCTTGAGCAGCTCCTGGCGCTGCTGCTCAAGAGCCTCCCGCTCGGCGCGCTCGTCCTCTATGCGGGCGATCATGAGCGCATTCTCGTCAGAGTCGGAGTGTTCAGGGTGCTTTGCTAGGAACTCATCGACAGGGGCCAAGGGTAGCTTCTGATACTCGTGGCTTGGGAAAAGGCGTCAGCAGTCTAAATGGGAATAATGGACTGAGGCAGAAGGCTGAGCGTAGAGATGCAGAGATGACATACTCGTGGGTCTCGCAAGCGGCGATCTCGCCTTCGAGGTGGCGCTGCTCATAGTACAGGTTCTGTAGCTGCAGGTGCAGGACGTCGACCTCGTGACGGGCGTCGGCAGTCTGTGCCTTCGTGTCGCGGGCGGCGAGGTAGGCGGCACGGTGCAGGCCACGAAGGTGAGACAGGTTGGTGTTGAGCAGCTTCTGCTCCTTGGAGAGGCTGATTTGCTGCTCGGTGGTCAAGGGAGCGGAGATAGCAGCGAGGCGGTCGGCCAGACCGAGGGCCTGCTCGCGGGCATGCTGCGACGTCTGGAGGAATGAGCGGAGGGCTGGGTCGGTGACGATGGAGTCAATGGTCATAGTGACGTGGGGAATTGGAACGGTCGAGAGGGAGGAGACGCTGCGAGGAGTAGGAGCACGAGCAGGAGCAGGGACACGAGGGCGAGGCGGAGGCGGAGGCAGAGGCAGAGGTGGAGGTGGAGGCGGCGCGTCAACTGGCAAGGCTGAAGCATGGGGAGCTTGGACACCTGACGCCTTCTCCTGCTGCACACCTACTCGGGGCTGACGAAGGCGGTCCATTTCTGATGGGATATGCTCCCTAACAGCTTGGGTGGGGAGGATGCGTGGGTGCTGTTAGGGCAGGGTCTCCGACCGACCTCGCTGCCCAAGTGGGGCTGGTAATTGGTGGGACAAGCGCGGTCGAGGTGCCCGTACCCACCTGCCCTTTTGGCGTGCGCGTCTCCTCAGCATACCCAGCACATGTATTGCGGAGGTACCGTACTCTGGCCCACCTGCCTAGGGGTCGTGGATTTTTGGCAGTCCATTACAGGTGCGTCTATAACTGCTGTATGCGAATAGAAATTCATCTCTGGCCCCTCGCCCCTAATTTCTACACTGAGAGCCATCGCAGCCTACACACGCTGGCGTCGCGTCCCACATCGGCGTGGACACAGCTTCGTTGTGATGCTCGAGATCGGGGCATCATGGATGGGCCCAAGTTGACCCGTCAACCAAAGGTCGGAAATCAACGCCGTCAATGCCAATGCGGATGACGGCTTAGCATTAAGGCGCGGGTGCGTTGTTCGTCATCGGCCAAGCGAGCAACAAAGCAACCAAGCAGCTAAGCAAAAAACACCCTCTGCACGACATCATGCTCCCACAAGCCCCGAACGCCGAGTGTGCCAACGCACAGGCACGTCAGCATATATTGTCTTCTGTGGTGACACACAATTCATCAGCCATTAGCCATCAGCCATCAGCCATCAGCCCCCTCGGCCTCGTCAGAACATTGCTCAGGCATCTGCAGCACCCTCCCAGCCCAGGCCTGCCCTGCTCCACCTCAATCAAAAAGACGGAGATTCAGCTTGTTTCGCAAGCCGTTGGTTCCCGTGCCTCGCCCTTCGCCCGCATTGCCTCAGTCTGTTGGTTGCGGCATATTGTCGAAATTGTTGTTGAGCTCCTGTATCAAAACACCTACTACTTCCTCCTGTCCATTCTCCAACTTCTCTGGCCTCGACTGTCAACGACCCCTTTCAGCCTCTGTCCCGTCCTTTCGGGAACTTAGCCCTATTTGTGCTGCACCGGCTGGGCACCCAGATCCTTCCACCCCCAACATTGGCCAATCAACACAAGGTCCCTCACGGAGATCTGCACAGCGTCAAGACGCAGAGAGCCGATCCCTTCCCGTACTTCGCCGCCCCAGCCGAATCGGGGCTGAATCACAGTGCACTGCAGCCCCAAGAATTATAGCGCGAGGGGTGCATTCTCTCTCTCTTCTTCCTCCCGCCTCGCCTCCTCATCGCAGCAGCGAAAGCCCAGTGCATGACGGCCGTTTGACTCGTCGGCCGGCACTACTCGTTGCTGCGTCCAACACCCGCCGCCCATATCAGCCAATTAATCCCGCCTGCAGAGGCTCGTGCCGCTCCCACATGTCAAGGGGATCTTGGCTCGGTGCTCCGTACCTACTTACCATTCGTCGTCTCGCCCCTCCGTCTTCACTCACTCCTCCGCCTTCTCGCTTGCACCCTCAAGCTCGATCATGATGGACGCTCCCTCGTTGACCATGACCCCCTGCGGCCCCCTCGCTGCTCACGCGAACGACAGCAGCCCACAAATTGCCCAGTCCACAAGTACCGGCACCGATCTTCGCCCTGACGTCCGGAGGAGACGTCACAGCCACTTCATCCCGCGTCGAAGAAAATCTATAGTCTCCTCCATTATGGAGGGCGAGGAAGCCGTCATTCTCAAGGTTTGTTTTGTCTAGGTCCCTTTTGCGTCGCATCCCCGGACACCCTGCTGACCCTCATCTCCCCAGGTTGACTTGTTTCTCTCCGAGCTCGAACGCCGGCTGGAGTTCCTGGAGAACTATACCGACCTTACAGTGGATTCCACTCTGTCGAGGGCCTACAACACACTGCAGATAGTCCGGTCACGATGTAACCAGGTTTCGGAGGAGGTCATCGGCGAGGGCCGGAGGCGCTTCCACGTCATGATGGAGACCATGGAGTACAGATACCACGACGCATTAGCAGCTGCCGACTCCATGAGCGACAAGGCGCGCGTGAGCATCGAGCTGCTTGACTCCATGCTCTCTGACGTGGAGATGCGAGCCCACAAGCTCCGTCAACGTGGACTGCAGAACATGACGGACGCCGCAGAGATTGTCATCGGTGAGGGCCGCCATGTGCTGGACAAGGGTCTCGGCAAAGCTCGCGGCGTGGTCGAGGAGGGTATCCGTGGCGCAATGCATGCCGCTGAGAGCCTCGAGGACAAAATCCAGAAGGCAATGTTGCGTGCCAAGGAGCATGGCCTGATCAGCTACGAAGACCTCCCCGTGCCGTGGAGAGTCAACCCTCACATTGTCCGAGGCTACCGCTTCACGGAAACTTATTCTGGCTGCATCCGGTCAGCTTTTGGCGTCTCAAACGAGCTCGTCAACATCTGGTCCCATGCCCTCGGTCTCATCCTCGTCCTTGCCGTGGCATTCTATTTTTACCCAACGAGCATCAACTTCCACCTCAGCACCAACACGGACGTCCTGATTGCGGCGCTCTTCTTCTTCGCAGCTTGCCAGTGTCTCGTCTGCAGTACGATCTGGCATACCATGAACGCCATCACTGACGTGAACCTGATCTCAACTTTTGCGTGCGTCGACTACACAGGCATATCCCTCCTGATTGCCGCGAGCATCATGACCACCGAATATACGGCCTTCTACTGCGAGCCTGTCAGCCGGTGGGTATACATGGTCGTCACAGGGCTCCTGGGGGTCGGAGGTGTCATACTCCCCTGGAACCCGACCTTTAACAGAGCAGACATGGCTTGGGCTCGTGTGGCATTCTTCGTCTTCCTTGGTGCTACAGGATTCCTGGTAAGTGGTGTCTAATTCCTTGGGCGATGTTGGCTGTGGAAAACTTCTCTCCTCAGCTTGATTCGACCACCCTCTCTTGTTGTTAGCAGTACGTCGGACTGTATCACTGACAAAGCTGCCAGCCAATTCTGCAACTATCCATGTCACGCGGTATCGAGTTCGTCACTGAGTTTTACTCGCCCATCGGCAAGAGCATCTTAGTGTACGTTGCAGGTGCCTTTGTCTATGCCAGCAAGGTGCCCGAAAGGTGGTGCCCCGGGATGTTCGATTACTTCGGCGGATCCCACAATCTGTGGCACTGCGCAGTCTTGGGTGGGATCCTTTTCCACTACACCGCTATGCAAGAGTTCTTTGCACAGGCCTTTAGGCGCGCAGAGGGAGGGTGTCCCGCGTACTAAGATGAACAATATTAATGGTTTCAATCATTACATGATCTTGGACTCGGCCAAGGTCTGGGGTATCATAACATCAACCGCATGGGGTATCGTGTCTAGCAAACGTCCCAACGCCGAGATGCGCCCACCGAAAAGAGGCAATCCAATGCATCCAATGCAAGCCCCCCCCCCCAAAAGTCTCCCCTCAAATGAACCCGTCACCATGATCTCAGCAGGAGGACATGAAGAGTGCGACGGCCAGAATCGCAGTGCCCATCCAGATCAGCGTCCAGCGCTCTCTGTTGGCAGCGGACGACGTGGTCGCGGTAGGTGGCATAGGTACATCCTCCTCAGCTGGTATTGCCCGACTCGAAACCTTTGCAGCCTCCGTCTGGGCGCTGATCTCCATCGTGGTCGTGTGGGCTGCCTCTTCGGAACTCGAAAGCCGCAATCGAATCGTTATTGGACCTTTCGACTCTGGCTGAGACTTAATGGCCACCGAATTCACCGACGCGGTCTTGTTTTGCTGCGGCTGTGTCAGCGAGTTGGAGTGCAATTTTGGGATTTCTCATCAGCCATACCACTTTGTACGGCTCTACAGGGAGACAAGGAGATTGTGTGTCGTCGCCGGCGGCCATCAGCATCAGCCCCGAGGTCCACGAAAGCTGGTCTTGATAGACCAAAGACGGTGTGTTGGCGGTGAAGGCCTTCCAGTAGCCAGGTGCATCCTGAGCACGCTTTGCAGCTATTGGTACGAGGACAATACCGAAGATGATAAGGACAATAGTTTCTCGAAGGGCCGATGTTGGGACCATGGTGTTGTCGAGCGACCGCGACAGGCGAGGCGGAGGTGGCGGTTGAGGCTCGGGAGCAGTGGGGTGACGACGGATGAGGACGTCCAAGGATCGGACCCAGCCTCAAAGCTTATTGAAGGCCGAGCTTCAGATGCAGATGCATGGGCTCGCGGCGGTAGACAGCTCACAAAAGATAGATGATAGAAAGAGCTAGACAAGACGGCGATGATTTTCCCCCCTCCCCTTCAGCTTGACGGAGAGGACGTGGAGGATTATTAGAACAGGCAAGAATAGTAGTATTCGCCCGACAAGCTCCAACGGCTGGGCCCACCGTGACGGTTTATCCAATGTTTGAAGGGTGAAACGAGCGACCTCTGCTGGAGCAGAGACGGGAACAGACAAGGTTGCCTCGTGCTGCGACCGTGGGCCGTGCCTTGCTGCCTGACACTGACTGGCAGGCAGACAGACAGGACTCTCTTGGAGGAAAGGAAAGGTAGTAAATGTGTTGACGACTGGTGGGCAATGCGTTGTTAAAAAAAATTTGATACAGGAAATGAAAAGAAAAATGACGAGACAGACTGAGTGACTGACGGGCAGGACAGGAATGACGGACAGGCCGACCGATAGCAACAAAAAGGCTCAATGCCAATGGCTCAATCTATCTATCGGCCGGACGAGTCCCAGATGGGTGGATCCTGCCGGGCCTAAGACGCTACGACGTCGCATCCAACGCTCGCTCTTTGCCTCCCTCATCCCTCGAATCCCATAACATCCAAGGCAGCACAAGCAGGGTCGGTCGCTTGTGGCAGCCACGGTCGCAGCTGCAAGGGCCGCAGCAGCAAGTAGCAGCAGCAGCAGCAGCAGCAGGAGGAGGCGTCGGCGACGACTAGGCCTAGAGCTGGGCCGCTTTGTTGCTATTATGGCCAGATCCAGATCGATCAAGGCAGCACAGGTAGATTGATTGTGTCAGCCGCGCTTGTTGAGCTGTGTGCATATTCTTGGTTACCCCGGCCGCCCCCCCCCCCAATTCATCCATCACATAGGCTATTGGTAGATACACTCTGACAGGGAGCGGGAAAAAAACCATGGTGTCTCCAAGGGCCATACGTCATAAGCATCTTGGGTCGTGCTCGGACGAAACACCACCTCAATGCGTGTCAAGGAAGCTGCCGAACCTTGTCTCGCCCGGCAAACCCGTACCTCCTCGTCCGGTAATGCAAAGACAGGCCTGTTGTTGTTGTTGTTGTTGTTGTTGGCAGCCAGTGAGCGGGCTGCAGAGGGCTGCAGAGGGCTGGGCTAATTTTGGGTTTCGGGAAGCGGGTTCCTTCTGGAAAGGCTGAACGGCTCCAATTGTTGGCCGCCGTTGGTTGAGCAGAGTAGCATCAAGTGGAGAGTGAGATCACCAGCCATGTCCGGGCTGTGACGCACAAACTTGCCGCAACCGCCTGTGCAGTCACAGATCCACGCCGTACACAGACTGGTTCATACATGGTTGAGTCTACACGCTGCGGGCAGACCTGCGACCGTCGTTCCAGGGGGGCCAGGTAATTCGGGACATGTTTCGTCTGATTCTCAACCGTGTGGGTGTCGCTGGCTTTCGACTGCAAGGCGGGTTGGGAGGCCAAGGCGGCTCGCCATGTCGAGCAACTTGGGACGATGGGGGTCACCGCAGGGGGGCAGATCGCGTCTCGAGGTGGGATCATGCGATCGATGTCTTGGGAGGGAAAACCATGGATACATACATATTACAATGATACCACACGCGCAATCACACAAAGGCAACTCTAGGCGGCCCTCTGTACGCACGCCTTCATTCATCATCATCATCATCGTGATCCTTTTTACTGGTACAGAAGCTCTCGCGTCTATTCGTACATGCGCACAGGAAGGTGATGAAGTATTGCGCCTTTCCCATATCTCTTAGAACCAGTCGCCCTTCATATTACATGCATGCACACCTTCCTGGATGACCACTCTCACACCTGGTCAGAGTCTCATGCCGACCGTGTTTCCTCAGTGGTGTCGTTCGTGATTCATTTCATTAGTCGTCGACTCGTAATCGTACAGCATTTTCAATTCGTTTGACAGTGCGTCCGGTCAAACCTACACCCTTATTCCGGCACGGCCTAGGATGGTGTGTTTGGAACCTTTGGGGATACCTCCGACTCCTGGATTTCTCAACGCCGAGGCGAATGCAGACTGTCTTCCTGTCGTCGCGTCGAGCCTCTGTTCAAGCGCTTTACTTGTCCCGTGCACCACGTTGTCCTGAGGTCCGATCGGAAGAGGAAAAGTGTCGTTCCGGTTTGCACCGTGTGTGCCGCTCACATCACATCGCGTGCGAAACAATCTCAGCGTACACATCATCCGGTAGCTTCGCCAAAAGGGCAAGGGTCATAGCCTGCACCTTCTCGGCATTCAGGGCCGGGAATGTTCGCAGAAAATGGCTGGGGCTAGACAAGGCGCAAGCGTCAGTCACTAGAGATGTCACGAGGGGGGCAAGTTTGCAACTTACTTAGGCGAGGCCATGAGCTCATCGCGATGGATGACCAACTGCGCGGCAATGCAAACGATATTCAGGTGAGGCCCATACGCGAACAAGAAATCCCACAACCTCAACACCTCAGGCAGCGGCGGCGTGCAGGCGCACAGCGTCATCACACTGGGGAAAGCATAGAGCTCCGCCTGCATGCCCTTGGACGTCAGGAACATGCTCAGTTTGGCGTCCACTATTCCGAGCACCTTGTCGACCAGCTTCAGGCCCCGGTGGACCCCATCCATGGCGCCGCGGATGTACCCCGGGCACTCCCTGGTGAGTAGCTGGTGAAATGCCACGAAGGCCTCGGCCTCGCTGCGCGCCGCGTACAGGAAAGGTGCGGCCAGGACGTTCATCCCCTGGACGTAGGTGCCCGCCTCGGGGGCCATGCTGCTCTCGGACCCTTCGGTGGTGAGCGTCAAGGCGCGGGCGCGGTTCTTGGCGGCCGGACTGGAGCCGTGAGATGTGTGGCCGCCGTGGGAGCCGTGTGTTGGTGTTTCCTGGTGGGCGGGTAGGGACTGCCGGCTACTTGGGACAGGGTTTTGCGGCCTGGAGTCGTGGAGTTTCCAAGCAATGGCGTTGAGGAGGCGGATGAGACTGGCCTCGCTGACACGGCGGCGGAACAGAGGGTCGGTGGTCAGGGTGCGGAAGGTGTCGTTGCGTATCTTGGAGTAGGCGGGCGACGCGCCGCGGTGGACAAAGCCGAGGTAGTCGTCGGTGCTGAGGACCGGGGCGTCGAGCATGATGAGCCAGACGTATATGCGTAACTTAGACTGCATGCATGGACGGCGGCAGGTGTCAGTCGGCGGCGCAAAGCACAATTGTGGAGACTCGGAACGGCTTACCATGCCATCACTGTCGCTCTTGATTTCTTGCTTCAAGACCTTGATCCTGGCCGATTCAAGGGCACTCTCGAAATCGCCGTCGGGCGGACCATCTCTGATGAGCCGCTCGAGCGACAGTGCATCGTGAGCGAGGGTGCGACCGGCCAGGGCTCCGCTGTTGCGCAGGGCCTGGGAGGACATTGCTGCAGCAGCAGCGTTCAATTGGAGGGCAACTGGAGCGTCGCTGTTGGCTCTGGCGCGCGAGGGAGATGCGTTGAAGGTGGTGCTGGCATGTCTCCTCGCGGGGGCGAGGCCGCGGTGGTGGTAGTGCTGTTGGTGTTGCTGCTGCTGTACGGCCAGTCGCTGCTGTGCGATGAGGGAGGGTGGGTTCGACACTACCGTCGAGGCCCTGAGATTTGTCGGGCCAGAGTATGGAGCCGGATGGGTTGTGAGGTTGTGAGCAGAGGCCAGCTTCCTAAGAGATCGATGAGTGCCAGAGCCGGGCGAGGATGGCTGTGGCTGGTGAATGTTGCTGGGCCCGGGGGCGAACTGTGTGGGCCCCAGTTGAGGGATGGAGGTTGAGTGATCCTGATTAGTTGGGCTGGGCATGTTGACAGTATCGTGGCCAGAGCGTACTGTACTGTACTGTGTGCTGCAACGATGGGAAGACCTGGGAAGAGCAGGGTCCACTACCCGCTGTCGGCTCGACTACACACGGACTGTGGGCTGTTGAGCGTCGAGTCTCGGTGAACGGGGTCGACGAAGACGCGTGCCCTGTACGTGCGTGTGCGTGTGCTCAGGTGTGGCTGGGGATCTCGGTGACCCGCGCAGCAGGTCGCGTCGACAGCCCAGTGCGTATGACAAGGAGAGGAGGCAGTCTCTGTGAGCCAAGGACCACTGACTCGAGGCAAGCTTTCGACCTCAGAACGCCACCATTGCAGCTATTCCAATTGAGTGTGAGATACCAATTCGAGTCAAGAACGGGTCAAAGGCGGCGTCGGCGTTGTTATCGAGGTCGAGGTCTGGGGTTGAGGTCGGGGTGGGGAGTCGAGTCGAGTCGAGTCGAGTCGAGGGCGGGCTACCAGAGCTTGGGCGCGCGGGGACTGGGGGTTGGGGTCCGGATCCGGTCTTGGGGGGGGGCTGGGCTGGGGGGCAAAGCACGTCCTTCGCGTCATGTTCGCGACCCTGCATATCTTTTCTTGTCCCTTTCTTTTGGCAGTTCTCACAGCAAGCAATCATCATCCGCGCACTGATGCAAACGACACGAAGATGCAGGCTCGATGTGTCCAGCGAATGGTCCGTGTGCAGCACAGCTCCCAGTGATGCCAAAACTCTGCCAGAACGTCTCCCAAATGTCTCCCAAATACTCGTGGACGCAAAGGGACGGACACACGCCCTACCTCAACCTCAACCTCAATCTCAATCTCAACCTCTACCTCAGCCTCAATCCGACGCACCATATCAGCATGCACATCGATCGGGCCATCTGAAACTGCCAGGGCCTTGGTGGTTCCGATCTTGGTTGAAACCGTATCTCTAGCATGTGAGATGTGGCCTGGTCCATGTACCGCAGATCTCTGCACACAGCACAGTATAATGGCATGCCGCGTGCCACGCGCCGTGTGCAGTAGGCAATCAGCAATGTGCAGTGTGCCAGTGTGCCAGTGTCAGATTGTCCAGAGCGTGGGCTTTGAGCCAGCAAATCCCTTGTCGACGTCTCGCCTCGTTCGGCCGCTATACCCAGGCAGGATCCGACCCAGGCAGGCGGGTCAAGACAGTGACACAGTACCTACGTAGGTAATGTGCATACATGTAAAGAGAAGGTACGTACCGCCTGACCGCACAGCAGCAATAGCAGCCACTGTTACTGTAGGTACCTAGGAGCCTAGGTAGGGGCTGTGGTGGTTTTGGCTGTATGGGCTGTCTGGTGGTGCGGTGTGCTGTCCTCGGTGCTTCCCTCTCCCCCCAAAGGGCAAAGGGCCCCACCACTTACCTCATCTCTGCCCACCTAGAACCCACTGCGCCTATTTCCATGCCCCGAGCCTCAACCGCCCAGTGGCCCCTGTGCCCCCAAAAAGATACAAATCATGCTCACGTCGTCGTCCTTCTTCCTGCGTCGTAACAGCCGACGACGCGTCCATGACGTTTCTCTTTGTGGTGACCTGTAGATCAGCATCACGGACCGTACAGGGTCAGGGGAGCCAGCCCAACCCCCATGTGGTCGACGGTCCCTTTATATTTTCCACCCACATGTACACACCTACGTACTGTGCAGAGTCCAGATTCTTTGTTGCAAAGCAGATCTGCACCTGTTGATCCATCCCCCTTGCCCCTTTTCCATCCCCTTTGCCATCTAGTCCTGCCTGTGCCAGATAGATCCGCGCAGAGGGCAGCAGGGCAGTAGGCAGCACCACGCACACAGCATTGTACTGCCGCCGCACACCAGCACCCAGGTAGTTGTCGTCAGCCTGCCCACGGCGTGACGTCTGTTCAAGCCTTTCGAGGGGCGTTGCACCTGTTGGCTAGGTCCTTGGCCCTCCTGCTGAAGCCTTCGCGGGACAAGAATCCAAGCAAAGCTTCGACGGCTTGGTCTCGGTCCTTGTGTGTCCGTCACCCGTCAATCCGTCATGCTGAACCGCGCCAGCCTGTCTGGGCTCTCTGGGCTCTCTGGGCTGTCTGGGCGGCCAGGGCACCAAGACGGGACAACAAGTGATGTGTCGTCGATTCGCCCTCATTCTGTTACCAATTCCCACATCCGGGCAATGGCATCAGGGCACTAAGAATGGTGCAATAGTCGCCATCCGCCATGTGATTGGCGGCTCTGCGCCCATCCCTGGGCCTCATCCCCACACTATCGGGCCTGCAGCTTGGCATGCTTTCAACTTCACACTATCCCATCGCTTGCTGCCGTCTTCACTCGGTCCTCTCTCATCTCATCCGCCTGTCTGCCCTGTCAGCCGCACGTCGTCTATCTGGGTGGCCCCTCGATCCTGACCATGCGATGCCCTCCGTCTGGTCCTCGGTTCCTGTCGCTACATGCACGCCACCACCACAGCACCGCAGCCTCAGATCTCGGACCGGGTGGGGGTTCCCAGATTTTACCTCCCGCCAAGCCAGTCCTTGCGGGACCTACTACACACTGTTGACTCTGGCCTCGCCCACGTTCGCCCAAGTGACCGAACGCTCCGGCCTGCTGCTGTGACAGACGGCACAGGCAAGCCCTTTACTCCCGCGAGAACATCTCCCACCTCGGCCCAGGACAGCCCAGTCCAGCCCAGTACTGGGCTGATCATGAGGCCCCTCGTGCGTGGCCTCTTCAGCTGACACGCCGGCGGGAAGCGCGTCGACAATGGTTTCTCGGGCTATGCATGATAAAGCACATGGGCAAACTGCTGCTAGTCATGTCCACCTCAACCCAAAATGCGAGTTTGGGAATTTCATCTCGTCTTGGGGAAACAACCGCGGCTGTTTTCTCGTTCCTCCTCTCGGCCTCTCTCTGTCTCTTCCTTGCCCTGCCGGATGGGGGTCCCTGAACCTGATACCCACACGCTCCACAGCCTCATAGATCTGTCCCGGTTGTGAGTCGAGTCGACGTGCGGTCTCTCTACGTGATATTACCAAGATACCCACTCCTCACCCTTCAACCCTCTGCCCAGCTTCCCTGCTGCCCCGGCCATGCCCACTCTCACTTCAGTACCGATCCTATCTGCTGCTGTTGTGCTGCATAGTACACACTTGGTAAGCGGTGCAAGTTTGGTACCGTACTCTCTGCCTCTACACAGTACTGCAGAGATGCTGCAGCTGCTAGTCTTGGACTGGCAAGGTTTCTCGATCACGCAATTCAGAGCCTGTCAGCCACCCCCCGGGGTATCCCATCACGGCCGTTCCTCCTTTTGATATTCCATATTTCATAATGTCACAATGCTGCTCGAGCTTAAGAGGCTTCCCTCACAGATCCTGTCTACATCGCCTCTGATCCCCCCCCCTTCCACCCTCTCCTTCCTCACCCTGCCCCGTCACCCTGAGCCAGGCCAGGATACTCAAGTGGGATACCGCTTCCAACCCTGACGAGACCCGAGCCCCGTCTCCTTCAGCTCAGCGGTCGACGCACTTGCCACGCCCGAGACGCCCTTGACGTTCGGGACTTTTACCGACGCAGCTGTCCCGTGGGCTTGGGAGGAGCCGGACCAGATCGAATCGGGCCTTGGTGTGATCTAAACGGATTGCGACATTCACCTACGATACTCGCCATCTCGAGGCCGCCCCCCAAACCTCGTACGGGATATCACCTAGCACAGTCCTCGTGTCCAATCAGCCTGTACCTCACTCCGGCCTGTATTCCCTTTCAAGGGGCCGGTCCACGACCTCACTTCGCCGCATTAGCTTACCGACTACCGCCATCCTGGACCCGAGCGCGTGGGTTTGAAGGGGCTAGCACGCGGCTGAGAGATTCATCATTTTCGGTTTTTCTTTGGCATATAGAGCCAAACCTGCCAGCTCTTTCTTCTGTGGCCCCCCACCCTGGCCTATAGAAAATCGTGCTGTCTGTCACCAGCGTGGGATACTTCAAGCCACACGCCACCTGCGGTGATTTCTCTCCCTCTCTGCGGCCTTACCTCCGCGGAAACCCAGCTCCTTTACGGGTCGGCTACTCGAGAAGGATCGCCCTGCTGAAGGATATAAATCAGAGTCGATACCTGCCTGTTAGGTGCTCATCCTGGCTGCATTTCGTGGTTTGTTGCAGAAAGACTGGATCATCTCTCGCTTCCTGCCGACCGGTCTTCGACAACATCTTCTTCCCTACCAGCTCCTCGGGGCGCCAGATATCGAGATGACCACCCCACGCACCAAAATCGGCCATGGGCTGGCCAAGTTCTTCAACATCGAGCTCCAAAAGACTCAACCTTACGAGGATGAGGTGACAAGAGGCGAGTCTGTGTACTCGACAGACACCTTCGTTGAGCAGCCTCCGACCGCTGGAGAGTACTTCCGAGAACTCACGCCTTCCGGGAGCCAAGTTCTCGATTACATCAGATCCCTATTTCCCTTTCTGTACTGGATTGGGAAATACAACATGCAATGGTTCGCTGGTGATCTTGTGGCAGGTGAGTCTATGCCCATCCCGAAGTGCGTAACATGTTGCTAACAGGAACAGGTATCACAATCGGTGCCGTCGTGGTTCCCCAAGGTATGGGCTATGCCTCACTAGCAAACCTTGAGCCTCAATTCGGGCTATACTCTTCCTTCATGGGTGTTTTGATCTACTGGTTCTTTGCTACTTCCAAGGATATTACAATCGGAGTAAGTTTTTGAGCCGGGTCCCCAATCGCGGAGAAAGAAGAGGACACTGACTCTGCAAGCCCGTCGCCGTCATGTCTCAAGTGACTGGTAATGTCGTTTCCGACCTAAGCAAGGAGTTTCCCGACCTTCCAGCGCACTTTATTGCTTCAGCATTGGCTATCCTTTGTGGTGCCATCGTCCTCTTTATCGGTGTCATCCGACTTGGTTGGATCGTCGACATGATTCCCCTCGTGGCTTTGTCGGCTTTCATGACTGGATCGGCCATCAACATTCTCGTTGGCCAAGTCCCGACCATGATGGGCATTTCTTTCCCGAAGCCCTGGACTACTCGAGACTCTACCTACCGTGTCATCATCAATACGCTGAAGTATCTCCCGAAGACCAAGCTCGATGCTGCGATGGGTTTGACTGCCTTGGTCATGCTCTACGCCATCCGAACCGCGTGCCAGTGGGCTGCAAAGAAATACCCGAGACGTCAGAAATTGATCTTCTTCGTCTCGACGTTGCGCACTGTATTCGTCATTCTGCTGTACACCATGATCAGCTGGCTTGTCAATATGCATCGCCGTTCGAAGCCTGCGTTCAAGATTCTCGGTAGTGTTCCCAGAGGTGAGTCTTTACTTTCTCCTCCTTCGTGCCAGGGGGGAAGCATCTCGCTGACAGTGATTTAACCTAGGTTTCCAAAACGCCGAGGTTCCCAGGCTGGACAAAGATCTTGCCAGCGGTCTCGTGTCATATCTCCCGGCATCGTGCATCGTCCTCCTGATCGAGCACATTGCCATCTCCAAATCATTCGGCCGAGTCAACAACTACGCCATCAACCCATCGCAGGAGATGGTTGCGATTGGAGTTACGAATTTGCTGGCCCCCTTTTTGGGCGCCTACCCTGCCACGGGATCCTTCAGTCGCACTGCCATCAAGGCCAGAGCCGGAGTGCGGACCCCTTTCGCTGGTGTCATTTCGGCGATCGTGGTCCTCCTCGCCATCTATGCACTGCCCGCGGTCTTCTTCTACATCCCCAGCCCCTCGCTGGCGGCTGTGATTATTCACGCTGTTGGCGACTTGGTGACTCCACCTAACACAGTGTACCAGTTCTGGCGCGTCTCGCCTTTTGAGGTCTTCATTTTCTTCGTGGGTGTCTTTGTGACCATCTTCACAACCATCGAAGATGGAATCTACTGCACCATTTGCATCTCAGCCGCGATGCTGCTGTACCGCATCCTACGAACTCGTGGCCGCTTCCTTGGACGCATCAAGGTCCACTCCGTACTTGGTGATCAAGTCATCGGCAACGAGTCGAACCGGGCAATTGGCGAGTACGGCACGTTCGCGGGCCAGAAACACCATCACGAGGAGCCTCAGACTCGTAACATCTTCCTCCCCATCGACCACGGCGACGGCTCCAACCCTGCAGTGGAACTCGACCAGCCCTACCCTGGCGTGTTCATCTATCGCTTCAGTGAGGGCTTCAGCTACCCCAATGCCAGCCACACCCTCGAGTACATGACGGACTACATCTTCGAGCGGACCCGGAAGACAAACATGCAAGAGTTCGCACGCCCCGGCGACCGGCCCTGGAACGACCCCGGCCCGTCCAAGCGGGCTCTGAAGAAGGCTGCGGCTGCTGGTGTGAACATTGATGCGGATAAGGAGAAACTCCCCACCTTGAAGGCGGTCATCCTCGATTTCAGCTCCGTCAACTTTGTCGACATCACGTCCGTCCAGCAGCTCATTGATGTGCGCAATCAGCTCGACCGGTACACGGCCCCCGAGTATGTCGACTGGCACATAGCCTGCATCAACAACCGTTGGACCAAGCGTGCCCTCGTCGCGGCTGGCTTTGGCTATCCGACAGAGCGACCTGACGGCCTGCACCACCGGTGGCAGAGCATCTTCTCCGTGGCAGAGATGGGCGGAGAAGACTCTGCGGCTGCGGCAGAGGAGGCTCGACTGAACGAGAAGACGGTCAGGGATCGTGAGGTTGCGGAGCACAATGTCGAAGCGGCACCAGACGACCGCATCAACATTGCCGAGACGGGCAGTGGCAGCGTGGGCAGCTCACAGGAGGAGGAGATCAAGGGCTTCAGGACAACGACGAGCAAGTCGCCTGGCCTGAGGCAACGGAAAGCAGTCGCCGTGCACGGCCTGAACAGGCCGCTGTTCCACGTCGATCTGACAAGCGCACTGCAGAGTGCCATCACAAATATCGAGGCAAGAACTTCAAGTGCGCCGAGGAGATCGACGGGGAGTGAGACCGGCGAAGCAAGCAAGGACCTCTAGGATGTTGCTCTTGATGTCGGGGGGGGGGGGGGCAGATTCTACGCGCTTGTACCGCTGTCTCGCCCTCGGTGCTTACTGCGTGGTTGTGTCGGTCGCGTTGAGGAGTGTTGCATGACTAAATACATACATACCAGCGAGCGTCGTGCATTCTGAAAACGCCGGGGGTCGGCCGCGACTTCATGTTTCAACGATGATCTATGGTTCGGGACACGAGCTTTGGTTGAGAAGGACCCTTCGTCTATAGGTGTGTAGGCGGGGGCCAATAGACTCGGGTATGGAAGTTCCCGCCGGGGGGTGGACTTGTCTATTTATGATATACCCTTGCCGCACTGTTGGGTACATATATTCTGGATTGGCGGTTGTTTTCCCGTTCAGCTTATGAAGTATATATTAATGATATTCTGTCCATGTTTTGAGCTTTGGTGCCTCTGAAAGGCTCTCATCCGTGTTCAAATGCGGCTGATGCATGTGATCAGTACGACGGGCGTACGTTGCCAGATTGTGTTTTCTTCAGTCAACATCTAAACCATTCAAACATGCAGAAACTGGGAGAGGAGCAGAGCTTTAGTAGTCATCAAGATGGATTCGGCCTCGGTCAAAATTTGAACCAAGGGAAGGTGCAAGTGCTCTCAGACACTTGGGAGCATCGTCTCTCATAGTCCGGCAGCCGCTCATTTCAAGCAGCACACAAGGTATGAGCAGGTCTTCTGGTCCATATCCAGCTTCTTCCCACGACGGCTCCCAACTTGATGCTCGTCACGATTCGGCCCACAGTGATGGACGCGGATTTTGAGACTTGTCGAGGCCGCTTACAGATAATCCGCATGGGTTCGGCGGTGCTGGCGTCACCAAAGTCCTGCACACCGCTCATGCCAAAATAAAAAATAAAAAGATAAAAAAACATAAATTAGGTTGAAACTCTTTTCATTTTCTCCTGCGGGGCTTCCTCCCACCAGCCCGACTTTAGACTCGTTGAAAAGAATGTCAGGAGATAGCTGAAATTCTCAGTCCATCGAGCAACTGGCTATGCCCGCCCTAAACGCCTGTATCCTTCAGCAACCCCATATTCCCACATAGTTTTGAATGAGCCCTTTGTTGGCGACACAACAAGGTTCAAGGGATATAATGCAACGATGGTAAGAAAAGGACAAGTATAGGAGGCGTATCCTCCCAAAAAGGCAGTATTAAATGGCGCAAAAGTAGTAAAGGAGTCAGAGTCCCGGTCCATGAAAACTCCACGCCTATGAATGCATGATGAGGTATGTCGCAAACAGAAGCTAGCGAGGGTGTATGAAGTTGTCTAGCTGCTGGTCGTGTAAAGTCGTGCGGTGGAAGCACCGGTCTCAGCAAGGCGAGCTTCGCCATTTAGACGCAACGGTCTTGTCACGGTCAGCCTAAGTCAGACTGAGGGGCCCATCGCGTTTGTGGCCGAATCATAGTCCTCGCGAACGGTTTTTATGGTGCGGGCGTGGCCATCGGATTGGCGGATGGGCGCGTGAGTGGTAACTGACATGTATAGCCATGGTTTGTCAGATGATGAACAGGTCGTTTTGAGATTTGAAGTTGAGGATAGCTCGGGAGCTGCGCCCATTTTGCTGTCGTCAGTGGTATTGATCAGGAGCGAGTGTTACCAAGCGGCATCCCTCAAAATCAAGAGGTTTAACGGCTCGTGATATCAACGAGCCTTCAGTGGCAGGTTCAAATGAATCAGGATTGGGGCGGCCGAAGCACGAAGGAGCGGAAGGCTTGGAGAGCCTACACGTCAGGCGGGTGCTGCTCCACCATTGCTTGGCCGACGACCTCTAGACAACTCGATCGTCCGACGCAGGTTGCTGAGTTCATCCGTCAGCTCGGCATTGTGTCTCTCTACCCTCGCAAGCCGCAAGTTGAGGTCCTTGGAAGTTGCCTCTGCAGTCATACGCCACTCATGCTGATCCTTGACCTTCTCCTCGAGCTGCTGGATATAGGCCCACAAACCCTGCTCGCCTTGCGCAAACAAGTTTGCGGAGCCATCAGCACTGTTTACGTGGTTGGGTGGCCCTGTTGTTACCCTAGCATGAGTGTGGTCCTGCGCTGCTGGTCCCGCAGGTGGTTGCTGGCCTTAAGTCGAGTCAGATCCGTGCTTGTGGACAGGTCAATGGCTTATATCGTGGTGGCTTACCTTGTGGTGGAGGTAGCGGTGCTCCGGGAGCTATCTCTCTCTCAGACACACGCCGAGTATACGGCTGCTGTTGATACTGGCTGGTTGAACCAGGGGAGTGCTGACGGGTCACGGCGTTTTGATCGTGTACAGCAGGGCTCAAAGGCTTGGGGCTTTCGGTGATGCCTAGAATATGCGACCATAAGCTTCTGCCATAGCTGACCGGTAATGCAGAGGTGTGGTAGAGGGGAGCCGAGAAAAAAAGAAGGGGGGGGGGGGGCAAAAACAACTCACCCGCAATACTGTTGACCATACTTGAGGGAGGTGCGTTTGAACTAGCATTGATGCCACCGCGCTCGCCGGATGGAGGGTAAAAGACTCCTGGTGGCCCTGTCCTCGGCCCAACAGGAGGGTACGTGCGAGAGTGAGGTCCCACAGGTTCAGGAGAGCTAGCAGTAGGTTGCGCCTTCATTGCTGGCAGGCTAACTCGGCGATGTTCTTGGTCGGCCATATCCACATCGCCATTGCCTTCGTAGAGAGCCAGTGATGCATCGTCACCTTCGTTCCGAGACATTCCATCATACTCGCCCTGTTCGCCATAGCTCCCCACGGAAGCCCTGCGACCGGCGCAACCGCCAGCCCCCTTGCTGTGGCGAGCCAGCGCATCTCCACGCGCAAACTTGCGGTCGCATTTTGGGCACACGTGAGGTTTCTCGCCCGTATGTAGTTTTCCATGCCGCTTCAAGTCGTGCAGCCGCCGGAACCTCAGATTACAGGTCTGGCACAGGTAGGGCTTCTCTTGGCTGTGGGTCAACAGGTGGCTCTTCAAATTGTGATGGCGCGTGAACTCGGTGTCACAATACGGGCACTTGTGCTTTTTATTCGACGTGGAGGCAGATTCTCCATTGTTTGGCAGGCTGTAGTGGCGATCTGGAGGAGCTGGGGCGCCCATTGCCGAGCCAGGCTGCAAGACTCCAGGGAAGGAGAGCGAGGTCGGTGTCTTTTCCTCCATGTGCGCCTCGGGCTGCGGCAGGATCAGTTGGCGCTCGTCCCGGGAGTCAATCTCCATAGGGGCCGGGCTGTTTAGAACGAGTTGGGCTCCAGCGGTGCCGGTAGGGCCACTTGAGCTATGAGGACTGATGTCTGTCCTCGCGTCGGACACGTTGGGTTGTGGTATCGTGACTGGCCCACCGAGAGCCTTGGTGGCCTCGGCAGCGAGGGCCATTTCCTCCATGTTTGCTGGCGCATCTTGTGGGCGACTTATAGCCATATTCCCCCCCGACAGCAGCTCATTCAAGGTCCTATGGTTCGGGTTCTCACTGACGCCGGGCGGGTTGCGCCTTTGCTCCTCCTCCCTACGGCGTCGCTCCTCCTCAAGCGCAGCGACGCCGGTGAGTTGGAGCGGCGCAGACACTTGTGCCGACAGGCCAAGGCGAGCGACTTTGGCTGGAGAATACTCGCGGGCGAGCCGGCCGGTAACGGGGGAAGTGGGCGAGGAGGGTGATTCGTCGCGTGGCCGCTTGAGAGACGACTGATTGATTTCACTAGCGCTAGGATCTGGAGACGCGGTCGAGGGTGGAGCTGGAGCGAGTTGCTGCTGCTGCTGCTGCTGTGGTAGAGAAGGAGGAGGTGGTGGTGGTGATGCGGCGGCGGCGGCGGCGGCGGCGGTGATGGAAGGGAGTGCTGTCGCGATGGGCCCGTTGTCCGATGCCATGAGGCAGTACTTGGGCAGTTTCGCGCGCGAGGGTGCGATTGTGAGGGCGGGGGCGGGGAGCGAGCTATTGACGGGGCGCACCCAGTGTTGGCGTCTACCGCAACTGGTTGCGCATGGGCATGCGCATATCTAATAAGCGTGTCGCGAAAGCGTAGCGAGAGTGAAGCGACTCGGTGCAGAAGAGGGTGGAAGTGACGGAATGGCGAGGCTGTGAGTGTGGCGTGGCGCGACGCTGGGGATCGTGGCGCGAGCTCTGCAGACGCAGGGTAGAGCACGGCAGTCTAGGTATTTGTGGTTTGGGACGGGCAGAGATTGGGGCCGTGTGAGGACGGGCCCTGGCCGGTGGGAACGCAGATGCGGATGCGGCTCCGTAATTCTTCCTTTTTTTTCTTTTCACCCCTCTCCCTTGTATGAAACAGACAGTGTGTACCGCGTACAGTATTGATTGCTTGATTGGACCCGGTGGCTAGTTGCGTACGTACAGGTACAGCTATCGTGGTGGAGTTGGGTGGCCGAGCGCAAGACGTCTAACTGGACTGGACTCGACTGGGCTGGGCTGGGCTGGGCTGGCTTGGATTGTTCTTGATGTGATTTGAGTTGGGCTGCTTGTACTTGGGGAAGCCGAGGACAAGGAGGGTTGGAGACAGGAAGAGGCGGGTGCAGAGGACTGGTTGTGTGAGACTGAGTGAGTATGTCTGTAAGCTTGTGTGTTTTGTATGTGTTGTGTGCGTGGTTGCGTGGTTGTGTGGATGTTAAGGTGAAAGGTCAAGCCTCACAGCGGCAGGACTGCAAACTTCTCAATCGCAGGGCCCGTCCAAGAGGCAAAGCTGACCAAACAAAAAAAAAAAATAAAAAAAAGTCGGGAGAGCCGACCTTGGGACGGCGACGACTGGCTGGCTGACAATTGTAGGTAAGGACGACTGAGGGACAGACAGGCGGTGCAGGCCCAGGTGGCCGGGACGGTGGACGGGTGGACGGACGGGCAGGAGCTGGCCTAGGTACGTACGCTATTGGTGCCACAGTAGTCCAGGTTTGGTCGGTACCTGCCGGCCTGCTGACCTGCGCAGGCAGTGGATGTATCGCGCCCAGCTGGCTACGGTGCCATGTACCGCAGCACTGGGAATATGCAGGAGGCTACTGTACGGACAGGCTGTCAGAAGGGGGGGCGGATCAAGAGAAGGGCGGGAAAGATCAGCGTTGATAGCGGGAATAGTCGTTGAGGAAAGAGGCGACAAATGACGAGCGCCTTGCCGAGGTGCTGGTCGCTGACTGGCAGGCTGGCAGGCCGAATTGTACCGTGGTACTGGAGAGATGGCCTTAATGCACATGGCACAGTAGTCCTAGATGGGCTCATGGGCAGCATTTGGGCTGCAGATCTGGGCTAGGGGCTAGGGGCTGGACGACATGGACTAGGACTAGGTGCTCGGTACTCGTGGCAAGATACCTACAGTACTGTGTAGGGTGCTGTCCTGTCCTGTAGGCTGCCCACTGCCCAGGGCTGTCAGGTAAGACTTTGTGAGCTGAACCTCGCTGAGAAGAGAAGCTTGGGGGTTCTTGGCAGGCACCTTGAGCCTGGATGCATCCTACGGCTGGCAGCCCCTTGCCCCTTTGGAGGTTCCCAGATCTGACAATTGACCAGAACAACCTTGGAAACCACGAATGCGTTGCGTCTTGCGCACAGTGGCTCCAGAGCAGGTACGGTGCAGTGCAATGGGCAGGCTATAAGACGGCCCACATATCACTTTTCTCCAGGTCAGGAAGGAAGCCCAGGAGCGCTAGGCCGTGTCGGGTTGCCTCGAGAGGGGCAACTGCTCCGACCCTGTCCTCTGCTGGCCGAAAGAGGCAGGGACCTGCCCCCAGGTGCCGCTGCCAAGCCCCAGCCCAGGTCACATTCGGTAAGAGCCAGCCCATCCTCAAAAGTATCCACCTCCGCCTCTGGGTGCTGGCTGGGTGCTGGCCCTGGGGGCTAGCTGGGTATGCTGGTATGCCTCCTCTCATTGCAGCCAGTGATACTGTAGATCTGCTGTGGTGGTATTGCACTGTGGTCTTCTTCACATGGGCAGACCGTCAGACTGGCAGATCAACCGCCCACCTGGGCTGCCTGCAAATCTCATTCATCACCAGCGCCCGGCACCCAGCCAGCCCAGCATGGATGATGCATGGGGTGGAGGGCCACCGCAACAAGGTGGCTGAAGTGGCTGTACGGCTGGTCCACTGTCCGGGCTGTGTGTGTATGTGTGTGTAAGCGCGTGTAAGCAGAGGTGTGCGTGTGTGTGTGTGTGAGGGAGGGAGAGAGTGAGAGAGTGAGAGAGAACAGCACGCTTGTCTGCTACAAACAGCTCTCCACCCCAGTCCATACAGTCTAGTCTGTCCTTACACGGTACGTAAGTCATGCAGTCAAAAACTCTACCAGTTCTACCTGACCGTTGGACCACGTGAATAAGGCATGTGGGCGTCCCTTAAGCACCGAATACATTGAAAATACATTTTGCCTCGCTCATCGAAATCCCGTCTAATGTCGTGACAAGGAACACATCAAGGTTCAACAACAATGACATTCCAAATTGCACCTTCTGCGCCGATGGACCACTCATTTCTTGCAGAGTTGTCTTCATCGGTGAGACACGCACGCGATTCCCTATCCAATGATAAAGCTAGTACACAGGCTCGCCACCAAACATGCCGAACTCGCCCGCCCGTGTATCAAAATGTCACGCGTGAGCATCCCCACCGCGCCACAAGACATCTACAGGCTTGAAAATGCCGACAGGCTCGAAAGGGCCTCGCCGGAGGAAGAGAACATGGTGTTGAACTCGCACGAGCTGCCCAGCGCCGCATTGTCGAGCCATGCAGGCTCCCAGTAGAACACCCCGAGGCCGTCGTCGACTCCAGCCACCACATCGGCAACGTCCTTGAGCCAGGTGGACTGCCCCTCGGCTGAAAATGGAATGTCGGTTGTGTCGGATGGGAATGCGAACTCTGGGCTGGGGCACGACGTCGGCCAGTTCGTCTCAGCAACGATGAGGCCCTTGCCCCATTTCGATGCAGCATTGCCAAGGGACGTCTTGAGGTTGGCCAACGTGGCATCGGAGTTATAGAATGGGTAGTACGACACGCCGATGATATCGAAGTCGGCCGTCTCGAGCTCGCCTGCGCCCAGGATTCCCGAGAAGTACCACTCCAATGTGTCCCAGTCCCAGCCGTTCGCAATGTGTATCATGATCTGGGGCGCTGATCCCAGGTCCGAATCCTTGATGCCCCATGCCGCGCTGTGAAGGAGCGATGCAATATTTTCAAATGAAGCCGAGTCACTGTACTTGCCCGTTGGGAAGAGCAGACCATTGCCGACTGGTGCGCATTTCGTTAGAAGGGCATTCCCACACACCAAGTTGGACGGTGAGAGGCACAACAGCTTGAGTAAAGGGGTGTGTTGGGGTTACTGACTTTCGTTGCCAATAGAAATGATCTTTGGCGTAATGCCCGCCGAGGCAAACTGGTTGGACAAGTCATTGGTATAATTATATAGCTGCCCTGTCTGCAAGTCAGTCATCAAGACAGCCTGGGGAAGGTTCCGGGGCGCGTACAGGACAAGTCGTCCAGGTCTGTAGGCCATCCCGAGGGGATCGCCTGGTTCCCAGTATCTGCCCAGGTATCGCTGAAGTGCAAGTCGAGGTAGACGCCGAGCCCTGCAGCATCTGCCCTCTTGGCCAGAGCGAGGTTGTAGTCGAGGTCGTAGTTGCCGTCAGAAGGGTTCACCCAGATGCGCTGGCGAACCGTGTTGACACCAGCCGAGGCGAGGATCTTCTCGAGGGACTGCGTGGTGCCACTGGACGTCGAGTATGAGACGCCCGAATTTTCTTCGACAGTTACGGAGGACCAATCCGCCCCCTTGTAGGTGAGCGCTGCCGAGGCGGCCGTAACGAACGATAGGTAATGAGCGAGCATGGTTGGTGATGGTAAAAGAGCGATCAAGACAAGTTATATCGACAAGAAACTGTATTTACATTTGTACTGAAGGGAGAAAAGAATGACAACCGACGCAGCTTGCTACGCTTGTAAAAGCCCTCTCTCCTCCTTCTCTGCCAGCCTCGGGGTGGCTCTTCTCTCATTTTTATCAACACCTTCGACACCCCCTTTCCACGCCCGGGAGCGAGCATGTGGAGCTGCTGCCCACGCCATGCGGTCCCATTGTTGGTCCCATATATATCGCCTGCTGCCATCTCGGCGCATGCAGGAAACAAGAAACATTGTCGTTGGCGGGCGAAACATACCCTTCATCTATCTCAGATGGACCAGGCTGGGGTGTGGCACCGGGAAACTGGCCCATAACCGCAAGTGGAGAGCGAGTACTCTTCCTCTTACACTCCTGCGGTCCTGGGTCCTGGCACCGAAATATTCCTACCCCGGATCCCCGTCAATTATGGGGCTCTTCTGACACCATGCCCCTGGGCCCATGTTGTGTAATTGACGGCAAGCTTCCGATGTCTTGTGCAAGCACTCGCCGCCCCCTCATCTGTACCGTTGGACAGTTACTCGGGCCGTCGAAGTGAATCAAGGCATGTTGAAGGCAAGGAGATATGCGCAAATAACGACTAACAACCTCACCACCGGATCGACGCTGCCATCTGAACAGATAGGACGCACAACCATGCCTCGTAATTGCTAGCTACCCACAAAACGACCGACAGGCTCATCCCAGCACATTCCAATACGCACTGACGGTGAGTGCGCGTACGTAGCACAGCGCCCATGTCTCCTGTCTTCCAAATTTCAGAACATGGAACCTGTCGCAACCGCCATACGGCAAGCCTCTTCTCTCGCTGCGTAGGCAAGTAGAGAAAGTTTCCACACATGGAGAGCACATCAATCCAGCTCCATCATCTTACCGATATCGGTAATACCCAGAACTTTGTCGCTGGCCATACCACAACGCCTGACGCCTGACACCTAACACCCTGCCTGCCTTCGATGCCCCATTCCCGTATGCGCCGGTTTTTGACGTCTGTGTCATCATGCCATGGACCAAATCCGAAGAGCAATCCAAAAGAAACATCCTACCCAACGCACGAATCCACAGTGCGCTTGCGGTCTTCAAAGGCATGGCCTGCTTTCAGCCAAGTGATGACCTTGCCAGTGTCCCCTCGACGACTCATTCCTCCGGTGGAGGATATACGATATTACTGTACCCGTGCCAGCTTTTACAGCCAATCTCGGTGCCGATCATGTGATGCGCCTCCGCCATGACCTTTGCCGGGCTGAGAGCTTCCTGGTCCTCATCGACAGAAAGCGGGTCGTTCCGCTGCAGTTGATCGTAAACCCTTTGCCTCATTTCCTGGTGAAGAATCAATGACAGCCCACAGTTGTGATGCTGTCCGATTTCGAAGCCCATGATCTCCTCTCCGGTCTGTTTGATGGAATTTCTGGCGAACGCGTCCATTGAGCCGACGCCACGGACGAATGCCCACAGGATGAAGGACCCCTTGCGTAGCAGCTCTTCTTTAAAGGCCACAACTTTGTATTGGGTTCCTGTAGGGTCCGACTCGAACATCTTCTCAAAATACCTAGGACTTTGGTCAGTATAATATTCCATTATTGGCAACAAATAAGGAGGGGGCAAACGTGGTCGTATAACACATCGGTTGCCCACGCTCTCCTAACGCATCCTCAAGGCCTCCCAAGAGGGTCTTCTTTGCAAATACTCACCGTGTACAGCCTTTAATCGCTCCCTCGCCCAGGGTGAGGAGCCAGGCGAGATCGAGCGTGGCCAGCTCATGGATCGTGTCGAACTGAAGGCTCCGGTGGACCATGATGGCCGAGTGCTGTGCCTCAGCCTCTGCATCGTGCTGCAGCATGACGCCCTGGTCGAATGCATCGATCTTATCGGTTGCATCCTCATCGACATCGCCCGTAACACCATCACCGCCGACCTGCAATAAGGATAGCCGCCTGGTAATCCTATGCTGCACACGCTGGACTTCTGGCCGGGTCTCAAGGTCAGCCAGGCGGTCAGTGATGTAGAGAGCGCGTTTGAGCCCAGCCTTGAACTTCCTGAGTGAATCATCAGTCATGCCTAATGTCTTCGCATTGTCGGTGAGGAGAAATCCGCTGTTGTCGAGAATAGACCCCATCCGTCGCTCGCGTAAATCCAGCTCCTGAATGGTAGCGAAGGAGTGCTTCCCTGTGACTCGGCATCGCCTCTCGTCTTCGGATGACAGAATCTCACCCAGGGGCGGTAGTAGGAACGTCTTGAGTTTGGCGATGGCGATGCTGCGCTCGTTTTGGGAGATTAGGGCATTGACAGCCTATCCGACGTTAGTATGACCGGCGACAGAGAGTTTCGTGGCCATCATAGGACCAGAGGTAACCATGTTCAACGGTGTCTTCTAGTCCAAATGTGACGTTCCCAACAAGACGTCGGCCACAGGCCAGACTCACGCGGTCAGGATAGCGGCCGGGTTTGTCAGTAGGTAACTGACTTACTTTGCTTGTTTGCATCAGAGTACTCAGCGTCGCTCGATCGCAGTAGTCGGCGATGTCGAGGATCAGCTCCGGACTGACTCGGTAGCTCGTCATAGTGAGGACCGATGGCGATTTCTAAAATATCACAGAAGCGATGCAGTGTAGCAATGCAATTACCGACAAGATGATCTATTGTTTGGCATCGGATAAAGGCGAAAAGCAAGTAACTGGAATCCGAAGACGGGCGGTTGTTGTACCTTTATGGTTCGGTGCAGCCACTGTTGTGTATTTGTGGTGGCGGCAGAGAGGACATGAAGGTGTTCACGTCGAGACCCATTTGCGAACCTTGATGGTCACTCACAGCTTCCGGTGACGCAGCCGCCCCTGGCATTCACGGCTCATTGACGGGTCGCGATTGACCCTCAATTCACCACTGCGAATCAGCGAATGGAAGGAAGGCCCGTAAACGATTCCTTGACGCAAGACTGGGATATGAGACATATTCACAAGCTCTCGTCGATTGACGCCCACGAGGATGAGTAAAAAATTATTTTGAAAAGGCTCGCCCTGAGTACCGCTTTGTTCAACGTATGGTTCTGACTCTGGCTTCCCAGCGAACCCTCAGCAATGAAGAAATGCAATCTGACTCTCCACTCTTGCTTCGGAAGAGTTGGTGAGGTGGGACGAAGTGCCCGGGTGTCAAACTGAACCAAGCCTTGATGCGTTGCCTTCACCGGAGCACCTGACGAAAATTCGTCGCGTGAAGTTGGGTTGCGGGGCGTGTTGATGTGTGCACTTCAATTTGATTTCTTGGAGTCTGAATTCACCTGACACGCAGGCCAAAGTCGTCTATCTTGACGTCGGTAAAATACAAGGAAGCGCATCGCCGTTTTGAGACGCCATCGCCCGTTCGGTTTTGAGGAACACGGCTCAACAGCCCACGATTGGTCTCTCGTACATTGGTGCAATGTAAGCATTTCCTTTCAGGCTGATGATAGTTGAAAGTTGTCGACATGGACTTTCGCCATCGGAAGCAGGAATTAGTAGCAGTTGCTGGTGGAAGGGTTCAAGAGTAACTGCCGCGTGATAAATATTTTCCAATCCCAGAAATTCCCCGCTGTGCTGAATGCCGTGAAATAGAGTGGAACGCCGCAACACCGATTATGCATGTCACCGCGGGATTTTCATCGCCCATACTCGGTAGCGCTGGTGCGCAAGGAACTGCGGCTGACTGTGTCGAGGTTTGTGGGGAGATTCACGCCACGCCAGACGTCTAGAGCATCGACTCCAGTGTCAGTAGAGCTGGCACGCAACCGATGCTGCCTGTCATACAGAGCAAAGACTACGTCTGCTTTCCATCTCGCTCCTTGACTTCCACTGTCTTGCCACCCACGCTTCCAAGCGTTCGGATTTTTTCGACCAGCTCGTGGTTGTTATCCATTGCCGCGATGTCATCGGCACCACCAATGCTCTTGCCGTTGATCATGATGTTTGGCACCGTCTTCCGGCCTGTCATCTTTGCCAACCTGTCTTGTATTGGCCTGCCGAGCTGATGGATGTCCAGCTCGACAACGTAGGGCTCGGGTGTGATGGCATACTTGTCGAGAAGAAGGGCCTTTGCCCGCTTGGAGAATTGGCAGTAGGTCTTGGAGAAAATTATGACTGCAGACAGTGTAAGCTCCCATGGCGCAAGCCAGGCATGAATTCGAGACGCTCTTACCTGGCGATTTCTTGAGTATGTCGTTGATAATGATCTCGACCTCATGGTCCTCGTCGGTTTCCTTTTCTGCAAGCTGATTTCCGGCCTTGTCTTTGGACTTGTCCTGTCCGGCGGCGGAATTGCCCACGCCGATGACCTTTTCGGGCGCATCAGGTCTCGGCGCCTTCGCATTGGCCGAATCCTTAGCCTTCTGTTCGGCAGCCTTCAGTCGGTCTGACATCTCCTTGGCCAACTGAGCGTCGTCGGAATCGCCGTCGCCCTTGTTTGTCCCGCCCTTGGAGTCGAGGACTGACTGCTGCTGCTGCTGCTGGCCGCCACGTGCTCGCTCCAGCCCACTCTTCGTTCGACCGTAAAAGTCACCGAACGTTCTCACGTCTGGGTTCTGCGACTGCCTTAGCTGGGAGGTATAAACCAATGTCATGACAACGATGGCCATCACACCCACGAAGGCCAGGCGCATCCGCCGTGCCGAAGGCATGGTCTGTCCCTATCGTTGCCCCTCTGATCGCCCAAGGAAGCAGATATGGCTGTTGCCAGGTGCGGCACTGATGGAAGCGTGGTCGATGGTCCAACCTCGGTCGCACGAAGTGGCTCGGGCTCCTAGGTGGGCGATGATGCAGGCTTCCTTTAGTTCCGCCTAGTTTGGACGTCAGGCGAGCCGCAACAGTCCTGTGGTCGAGAGTGAGCAGTAGACTGGAGTCGCGTCGATGGCAGTTGTCAGTCTGCGATGGTAAGGATAGGGATTGGTGGTGTTGGACGAGAAGGAGCTTGGTCGATGTTCCCGGGCCCAACTAGTTTCGTTGAGAGGATGGGAGCTGACAGCTTGCAAGTGGCAAGATGGAGAGGTTCTCGGTCGGCTGTTCTACCCGTCTGTGCAGAGCTGATCGACAGCGGCTCGTGTTTGGAAATACCGACTTGCAGTGCACCAGATAGGTGATAATTAGGTAGGTCGACTGCCAATCTGCCAGCTTGCCGTCAGCCTGTACGTATGATGTGTATAGGTAAGCTGCTGCCGCTGCGGCAGCTACGCACTACGCACCAGGGATGGGATGTGTGTGTGTGTGTGTGTGGAGCAAGCTGCAACGACGAGCCGCGCAGTCGCAGCTTGGCGTTTTGCACCTGCACCTGCACCTGCACCTTGCAATTTGCATATGGATCTACGAGGAGAACGCCCGAGCTGAGGACACTTGGGCGCACATGCACCAAATGCGTTCCCGCTGCTGCCAGTGTCGATCACAACCTCGGAACCTCTCCTGACCCTGCGAGGGGCCGCCTCTCGCGCCTCTTGCGTTTCGTCTCAGTGCCGCGACTTCCAGACTCTCCGAGGTTAACGCCCTGCAGTACAGCGCATCTCTTCGCCCTCAAATCGATGGGCAGAGATGAGCCTTTCGCTTGCTGCTTCTCACCACCTCTTTGCGCACGCTGACCGTTCAGCCAGCAGCCAGAGACGGGAAGTTTACTTTTCCTCGCGGACTGAGACATGCTAAGCCTTTGACAATTTCTTCGTGCCGTTTTCGGGAACTCCTGTGGTGATTTTCCGAGCCCCCGTGCTTGCTCAGCTTCGCCGACAACTTGGCGCTCAGCATTGACGCAGCGCGATACAAAGTTGCCTCTCGAACCTCAAGGCCAAATCGCTTTGCCTAGTCCCTGAGCCACCAAGAGCACCACCTGTTCATTCAAGAAGTACCATGGTTTGGGGCTCACGCCGGAGAGGTTGAGCCTCGTTCCTAGTCTGGTCTGGTCTGTTCTGTTTAGCATGCAGTCAGACGTGTTAAAGAGGGCGCCCGTCTCCGGCATACATCCTCTTCAGTTTCAGTGCAACCTGAACTGTCCCGTCCGCCATCATGTACCAAATCACTTCGCAGCATCACCGCGGACAGTCTTCTTTTCATGGGAATTACATGTGTCTGTACCAACTTGACACACTTTGGCCGTCCTTGTCCCAGGTAGAGTCACAGGATGATCTCGTCACTCGTGAGAGGGCAAGGCCTACTCGTACAATTTCTGGCACGCTGCTGTGTACGCAGGCCCAGAGAAGGTGTGAATGTCACGCTGCCGGTCCTTGACGTGAAGACGTGAGCTTGAGGCATGTATAGCAAGCTGCCAGTTGCGATGTGTTGACAGGATAGAGGTCAACAATAGCAGCTTTCCAGTTCGATGGTGTAGCCAGGTTTCGAGTATCATGTACCTGTGGCTAATATACATGGGTGGTGAGACTGCCAACAACACCTGAGTACTCCTCACACGACTCACACGAGTGAACTCGTCGGGCAGCCTCACCACAACGGTCGAAAAATAGCCTCTACTATAGTACATACGATATACCAGTGAACTTTCTAATCACCACTTACCAATCAAGTGCTAGCAATGCCAACACTGGTAAAGAAAAGATGACGAGCACTTACTCAGCTCACCTCCACTCCGCACCAGTCCATCCCGAAGTCGGGGTGACCCCGCCATATGAAGAGCGCGGAGATATCTTATAGAAAGCTCTCCTCACTCTTGTGCCATGTTCTAATTGTTCGCGTAAGTTCGTTAAAGCTGTACTACTATATGCCGAGTAACTGACAGTCTTCCATCAGAACCATCTGAGGGGTTCTGCTGTTACCTTTGCCCCAGTTCACGCGCTATGCCTTGGTATATCGTCTCCCATCGGGACCCCATCAGCTCCTCGCAGCGAGATGAACTCGCAAATGCAATTACGAAGGTTCACACAAATCTGTTCACCACACCATCTCTCTTTGTCAATGTGAGATTCGAAGACGCATCCAAAGCGCACCACTATGTTGGGGGCAAACCAGTGAGTCGACCGAGCTCTCCCCAGCCTCTCCGTCTCGCAAGCATCGCTCCACAGGCGGTGATCATCTCAGCCTGGCGTTCAGGTCGCAATGCTCACCATCGCTGTATTACCATCGCGCAGAAACTTGTGAATTGCATTCAAGCACACGTCCGCTCCGGCCCGTCACGCTCCCGCTCATCATATAATGAACTATGCCGCCAGCTCCGCGCCGCCTGGGAATCGGTCCTGGCAACGACGCCTCTTGACACTATCTCAGTGCATGGTTCCCTCGTCGCGGGTGAGGAAAACGGATTCCTCAGACCAGAAGCTGGCCACGACGCTGAGTGGGTGAGAGAGAACATGCCTGAGTTTGAGCGATTAGCAGCAGCAGGGGACGAGGAGATGAGGGCGTTGGTGGAAGAGTGTAGGACCAGGGGACTGGGCGTCTAGGCCGCGAAACGGGTGCTGTGTGGCGGAAATACAGTACAGACATGGGACTTGAAAGTCCAGTGGAATCTGCAGTCCATGAGTTGAACATTCCTGATAACCACCACTCCATAGCGGACTGTAGAGATGATGGAGAGCCCGCACAGTGTCGGTCGGTTCCCCTCTCCTGCTTGATGGATCTGCCACCCTGCCCTCTAGAACTTGAGTTTGAGGTGCTCGTCTGAGATGCTTCATCTAGGTGGGGTTGATCAGATCAGGAGCCCTTAAATGCGGGATATAGCTAATCAACCGCGTGTCCCTATCAAGGAGCCGAGCAGTTCACTATTAGACTAGCATGAACATAGTACATCAATCCGCAAATACTGCCGAGGTACGCACCCCACGAGGAATACGAGACCCCTGGGCAGAGAATGAATATCCCGTAATGTCAAAGACGGACAAGATTAGGTAGTCCGCTGGGCTTGATTGAGCCAATGAGTAATTCCTGGGATAGATGCAATAGGAGGCAGAAGACCACATAGACGATCTGATGGTGGAAAAGCCACGAACACACAGTACAGTACCGTATCGGGGGCCTGGGATGCCGCAGGTGGGCAGAGAAAGTGGATCAGCCCCCACCCAGCGACCCGACGCAGCGGACCGGGCCGCAACCCCCCGGGGGCTGATGAATCATGCACAGGCTGCGGCAGATGTGCATAGATGAACTGCTGATCTGTGCTGAGGTCAATTTCATGGACGAGTCAATGTTGACTTCAGGGCGACGATGATGGTGACTGAGCATCGATGATCAGGGTGGGGCTGTTGGAAGATTCGGGAGCCCGTATACCTAGGCACTCGACATGCAGAGCTCTGGTACTGACATGTGGTTTCTACCACAGTAGACGGCCGCGCGGGTGGTGCGCTGCTGATTGAGCCTGGAGGGCTGCGAGGCTTGGGACGCGGGAAATCCGCCGTTCCGCGCTCCACGTCTGGTCCCAGCAATGACGTGGACGATGATAGGAGGATGCCGGGAAATGGATTCATCTGCATCTGCATCTGCATCTGCATCTGCATGCAGATGAATAATGCTTGAGCTGCGCGGTGGGCACGCGACAGAATCCAATGCGGGGAATACGTTGAGCCTGCAGCGAAGCAGCGCCGGCCCTTAGTAATCGCTGCGGCAAGCCAGTGTCTAAGTCGAAACACATTGTCCACTAACGCGCGCCTGACATATCGTGGGTGTGTTACCGGGAAAACTGTTGATGTCAGGTTCTGGGTCTCAGGTCCTTATAAAATAGAACCCCCCTTCCGCCGTCCGACTCCCAAGGCACGGCCTTACAGAAACACCAACACAATCCACGCGCCAGGACTTGGACTGAAACAAACTTCACCTCGATATCGACCTTCACCTTTAAACACAGCCCACCTCGCCCAACATGGATGAGATACTGAACAAGCCAACCGCCAGCAGACCCGCCGAGGGTGTATCATTCTACACTCCTGCTCAGAACCCCCCCGCCGGCACAGCCCTTGATTTTGACCCGGAACATCCCTCCAAAACACCCACCCTCTTCCATCCCCTCACTATACGGGGTGTCACACTGGCCAATCGCTTCGTTGTCTCCCCAATGTGCCAATATAGCGCAGACGATGGCCACCTTACAGACTGGGTGCGTACTTGCACTTTCCACCCTGCCCTACTTGGCATGTCTAGAGAGAGGCATACCTTGACTAACCAAAATCTCAAGCATCTTGTCAACATCGGCGCATTTTCCGTGCGCGGCGCCGCCTTGACCTTGATCGAAGCAACCTCGGTGCTTCCCAACGGCCGCATCTCCCCTGAAGATTCCGGCCTTTGGAAGGATAGCCAGATAGCCCCGCTGAAACGCATCACGGATTTTGTGCACTCACAGGGCCACAAGGTCGGCTGTCAGCTGTCTCACGCAGGGCGCAAGGCCAGCACCTTGGCACCGTGGCACGGCCAGAGGGGCAAGCCGCACGTTGCTACCAAGGAGCAGGGCGGATGGCCGGACAATGTTTGGGCGCCTAGCCCCGTGCCCTTCTCCGACACATATCCCCAGGTGGAAGGGATGACAACATCACAGATCAGGGATGTCATCGAGGCGTTTGCCACGGCCTCCAAGAGGGTGTTGGAGGCCGGCTTTGACTTGATTGAACTCCACGGTGCTCACGGATATCTCATTAACCAGTTCATGTCACCTCTCAGCAACGTGAGATCCTCCTCATCTCCTGCCAACACGATGCGTGTCTTGCTGATGTCCTCATAGCAACGAACCGACGAGTGGGGCGGCTCCTTTGAAAACCGCACCCGCTTTCTCGTAGAGGTCATCAAAGCTGTGCGCGGCGCCATTCCCGAGTCAATGCCGCTCTTTTTACGTATCTCCATGACTGAATGGATGGAGTGGAGCGGCAAGGACAGCTGGGAGCTTGAGCAGAGCATCAGACTCGCACACTTGCTCCCCGAGCTCGGAGTCGACCTTCTCGACTGCAGTTCGGGCGGTAACAACCACGAACAAAAGATCATTCTCAATCCCTTCTACCAGGTCGACCCGGCCAGCGTGATCCGGCGTAGCCTAAAGGAGGCGAACAAGAAGTTGCTCATCGGCGCGGTCGGCCTCATTACTACTGCAGAAATGGCGCGCGACATCGTCCAGAGCGAATGTATATACACGGTTGGTGAGGACCCCGAGAAGGGCGCCGTAGACTCGGTCGCCGTAACGGAAAAGTGCGAGGATAGGTCCAAGGCGGATGCGGTCATCATCGCGAGGCAATTTCTAAGGGAACCAGAATTTGTACTGAGGACTGCCCAGCACTTGGGTGTCAAGGTCAAGTGGGCAAATCAACACGGCCGAGCAGGTTGGCCGGAAAATCAGAAAGTATAGCTTGATAAGAGCGTCGAGGCTATAGGACACAAAATTAGCTTCAGCTGCGCCGGAATGCCTTCCCGTACAGACAGCGAGGATCTGACCGTCCACGACTTGCGTTTGTTGCTGTACAGAGAATGTGTTTGGCCTGCACCACCCGGAAAGTCCTCATGTGTCAGCCGGAGAGATATGTAACCTGAATGAAATATTGTCGTTGCACACAATGTCCGGCCTTATCGACCCGGCCGGGGACAAGGCCCATGATGTCCTCAAGGCCCATGTACCCTTACAGGGTCATCAGACCTGATTCTGAATTGATATACTGCCTTGCCAACATCAAGTTCACCAAGGCCAGGAGTACATACCTTGGGATCCCCTTCTTGCGTGGAACGGGTCAATACTGGTCTCGCCTTCCAAGTCAGCCGAATACATAAAGTCTGCTGCATGTTGCAATATTAAGCAAACGGAACAGCCGGGCAAGGCAGCGGCTGACAAGGGATTCTAATCGTTTCTGATGTTCACTGTAGGTGTCGCCTATCTGTTCCCTGCCCACCAAACGCCCTCGCTTGCTCGATACGTACATTGGTGACTCCTGCGGTGGCTCAACAGATGCACACAGCGTGCCCTCAAGCCAGAATGCCAATCACGCCTCTCATTTGAGAATTACCTTCAGATGCAGCAAAGACTTGTATGTTTCATAGCTCAACCTCCGCGCCTGCCCCCGAAGCACTGAGCTCGCTCTCAACCATCGATCGCAAGAGCTGTATGGCAATCTCCCGGCCCAAGTCGATAGACTCGTTGTACAGATCTGCGGGCTCTGGTCTCACGGCCGGGACATGCATGAACAAGACTCTTTTCCGCTCCTCGGCCCGGTGGCAAGTGGCAAGACTGTTGAAGTAAATGTAGTCACAGAGAAAATGGCCGGCATCGTCTGAGGACTTGAGAGTGAGGTTGGTCTGTGCAAGTTGCCCATGTCAGGCTCATCAGCACCCTAGGGTTCATGCTGGCAGCATGGTCGTCGGCATGCACTCACCGGGAGGTACGATTCCCATCTCCTCTTGATGTCTGCCACGTCAAGGTCTGTCGTCAACTGAGCAGGTATCCCGTGCCAGGGGTAGTCGTCAGAGGAAGGATTCTGGTTGGGCAGCTTTTCATCCAGATCCAGCAGTTTGTAGTCGTCCCTGTGGCCGAGCCTTTCCAGCACATACTGCTTCTTGGTGGATGCCATACCGATGTGTAGGACGTAGTCGATCTTGTGCACGCCTTCAAAGTGAGGTTGCCACAAGTTCGGTATTAGATGCCGGACGGCCGAGTACGTGACTCGCACTGGCTCGGGATGGACCACGATTCGGACCGGTGGCAGGGGCAGAGACGCGCCTCGAACGGCGGTCGAGGATTTGGCATTGAGGGGAGGAAGGTATTCGGGTAGCGAGGAGGCGATGTCCCAGCTTGGATTTCGAGGGTACTGGTCCTTGAACGGCTGCATGTGCGCGGTCAGTAAGTGGCCAGGCGGACACCAGACAGGGCCTGAGGCAGACTTACACCGAAACCCGTTACCAGGATGGTTATCTCGTCCTGGGACTTGTCTGTAGAGCCCATTTCGACCAGGAGGGTGGCAGGCGACTGGCTGAAGGAGGCTGGAACGCGGATTGTGTGAAGTGCCACAAGCAGGAGAGCCGCCGACGTGGGGAAGGGTGTGTTGCTCTACTGAAGCCTCTCCACCTGGCTAGGAAGGAGTTGGTCCGAGGAGGTCGTCCGGGCGACCGGAGAAGAGAAGGGGGCAACAAAAAAAAAACAGATGCAGGTTCTTGGGAAAACAATGTTAGCATGATGTAGGGAGGAGTGGGCGGAATTGGTGGTGAAGTTGAAGCGGCCGAGGAGATGGCGCGCTTGGGCGAGGAGGGGAGGGGATAGGCGCGTGGAGGGGTAAGGAAGGAAGGGAGCCGGCTACATATGCTTCCTTCTGGGGTCAAAGAGGCAGGCATAGTGCTTCAATGCCCTGTTATGTGCGTCTGACATACCTGGATACCAAGATGCTTAGTCGTCAGGAGCGATGGAGAGGACAGTTCCGAGGCATGAGGAAAAGAAGCACAGTGCTGTGGAGGGGGGCACGCGGATGTAGTTGAGTTGAGTTTTGAGTTGGGCTGGTCGACTCGGGTTGACTGCACGATATGCGCCACAAGTGCAGGCCATCCCCCGCACGTCCGAATGTGGTAGCATCACACCTGGGGAAGCTAGCGACTGCGACCGCGACCGCGACGACCCGATGCAGGCAGGTCGAAATCAGGTGGTTCGGCGGGGGTGGGAAGGAGGGGGAGGGGGCCACATGTACAGTACATGTACACGCAAATGCACCTGCACGGAAACGGGAGCAGGAACAGGAACAGGAACAAGAACAGGAATACAGTACAAGACGGGCAGGTGGTGAGGAAAGTCGAGATTAGTCGCCTAGGTCGGGTCAGGCCAGGTCAGATCAGATCAGACCGGATCAGATATCACTGGCCGGCGATTCCCTCTGGTGTCGTGCCAATGGCCGGGGCCGTCGCACCGCATTGCAGGCCAGGCAGTACGGAGGACCTTCACCGGGGACCGAAGGGCGAAGGACTGCGGCGGCAGCAGTAGCAGTAGCAGTCGCAGCAAATGGCATAGGCTGAGAACGTTTGTGCAACGATTCTGGAAGACGTCTTCTAGAACGCTTCTTCGGCCCTGCCTTTTGGTCTACAGTAGTCGCGCAACGGGACCCGACTGGGCAATTGCGGGGTGCCATGTGCAACCTATCATCTATCTGCCCAGGTGCCCATGTACCTACCTAGGTACCTGGTCTAGGTACCTGGTCTAGGTAGGGTAGGTACTCCCCCCTGGTACCAGCATGGTACGTACAAATCCCATGCCCCGGTACCTACCTACCGACCTATGATATGTAGCCCACTTCCTCTCTCTCTGTCTGTCTGTCTTTCTCTCTCTCTCTCTCTCTCTTCCTCGCTCGCGCGCGCCCTACGTGGCCACGGCTCCTCTGCTTGGTCTGCTGTGGACATGGCCCACGCAAACACATGAGCCATGTCGTGGGTTTGCTTTGTAGTACAGCACTGACGCTCATAGGGTCTAAGAGGCCAGGTGCTCAGTCTCTTGCAGTGTCTCTGATCCTCGCTGCTACCTACTGCCTCCACCATCGTTTCAACGCGGCCTGCTGGGCTTTGTAGGTCAACGTCGCAGTATGAGGTTGTCTCCTCTCGGCGTTCAATGACGCTGGACAATCGATACTCTCCTTCAGATCGTGGAGGGGAAGGAGAAGGTCGTCCTGTGTCGGGCTCACCCGGACGAAAGCGGTGACGGATTTGGTCCAGTTAGCACTCATCGGCTTCTGCTCGGCTGAGGATGTCTCTAGGAAGGCACACCTGAGGGAGGCGAAGCGCCCCTTGTTGCCATTGACGATGAATGGATGCTCGACGTCGGGCAGGAGAAGCTACGATCAAAACATGCCGCCTCGCATGGTATATAGGGGAGAAGGTCGGCCATAGTCTCTGGAGGAAATTCATCATCATTCATCCACACACGCAAACTATCTCAACCCATACAGCCCAGAAACAACAGTCTTGAGAGCATCGACACGCCTTTCATAGCCCTGTTCTGTTCTTCACTGCTATTCCATAACAGAAGCAAAACAGTGCTAGTAAAAATGCACCACCCGGCTTTCTTCATCCTTGCCATCTTCAGCCTTCTCGGCGTCGCCATCTCCGCTCCAACCCAGATCACCACATCCTCTGCCACAGCGGCTCCAACCCATGTTGCGCCCCCCACCTGCACCACTTACTATCCCTCCGTCCTGCGGCAGCTCGTGGAATCTGCCCCTAATGCCAAGCAAGCCAACACGGCCAAGGATACAAAATCGTTCAAGGTCGCCCGTATGTACAAGCCTTCCCCCGCTAGAACCTTCCACAGTTCATCGCCTCGGGCTCCGTAGCAGGTGACTAACGCGTTAATAGAGTCCGTCTCTTTTGCCGACAATGTCAAGTTCGACCGCATTCACCAGTACGTTGTCTTTGACAACATTGCCAGCGGCTCCTGGGACTGTCAGCTCATGATATCTTGGTATGTATCTTACCGTCGGTCACTCCTTCACTTTGCTGAGGAAATCTAGCTGACCACAGGAATCAGGCCATCTTCTGCCAGTCTCAATGTTTCTACTGCTTCCAGGTTCGGTGCCTTCGGCTCCGCCTCCATCAGCCTGGACGTGTACAGTGCTTCCTACAGTGCTTCCTCCATTGGCTCCCACTCCAAGCCTAAGGCCTCTAGGGTTGGCACACCTGACAGCACGCCTTTTGCGACCTGGCATTCGATGATGAACGCCATGAGGGTTCCTACCGGTACTGACGAGCCGTCCGTCAAGGGTGAGGCCGAGAAGACACATGGCAAGGCCCTGGGCAATACGCGCTCCGTGACACTGACGCCCTTTGGTACCGTTGGTGTCAACCCTGGTGAGTATGGAGTGACCATCAACTCCAAGGCCTGTCCTCGGGCCAATGAAGACGGCGCTCTACGCTTTCTGTTTGAGATCCCCAGTACCGACTCTCGTGATGCGAGCGTTGGTTTTTTGGGAAGCACAGTAAAGGGTGCCGGCGTCTACTTGCTCGCCAATTGCTAGAAGGACAGTCTGTGTGCTACATATTCGGCGGGTGGGAGTGGACGAGAGCTTGTTCAGGGGCTTGGTCGCGGATTGTGCCTGTGAGGTCATTCGTCCACGCTTGTTTTGTTTTTTTGGTGCTGTGACTTGAACTCCGAACGCTTGAAAGGAGAGGGCAACTAACTGTAGACATCCCGATATACCTCGGATCAGGGCCAAGTTGCTTTATGAAGGCTTCCAAATAGCATTGAATGCAGTTCAGCAATGCATCCAGATCACTTGTTCTCTAACGTGAGCTCACTTCGAAAGCAAGCATCAACCCTCCCGTTTGCCGCCAGTTTAGCCTATAGCTAGAACGCGTTCCCTGATGTTATCCGGCTAGGGCTGTAAAATTCCATGATTTTCCCATTCGTGCTGAAAAAAAGACTTCGGGCATATCTACCAAGTCCTGACACAAATGCAATGGCTACAGAAGAGGTATGGTTGAGCCAGCTGGTTACGTAATTTATACAAATCACTGCATGTAGAAGTCTTCTTCAAGTCATAAACATTTCATTATTGGGTTGAGTATCTGTGATTGATGAGCCACGCATTCGAACAATCGGCCGAGCTTGCCGTGGACCGACTCTCCAAGCTTCTTCTCAAACATGACATCCCGTCTTGCAATAAGCAGGCCAAGGGTGGGATGTTGCATATGTCGTTGGTTGCTGTGAGACGCGAGATACCCTAATGTTGAAAAAGACCGATCTTTCCCTCGGGACGGCGGATGTTGTGATCAGAGTGTGGGAGCATGCACACCAATTGATTTAGTTGGGGTTGGGTTCAGATCTGAGTTGGCCATTGCAGACTTTTTGACCCGGCATCTTTGTACAGACCATGGCTGATGCCTTTGAATGGACTTTTCGATAGCATGATAGTGTTCATGTCTTTTCTGTCCTCGGGTAGTCCCAGCCTTACTGAGCAATGCTCTTAGCCAGACCACTGAGCTGAAGCATAGTGATGTTTACGTTAATTGTAAGCTACTTTCAATTACTTTGACAGGACAGTCACAAGGTGGGCTGCAGGAAGGCGACCACGAGGAGGACGGAAATGTTACATGAGAGAGGACATATAGTTGTGGGCATGTCTGTGCTCTCAAGCAGTCATATATTACTCAAAATCGCTTGTCGTTACCATTGACGGCCGGCCAATTCCACATCAAACATTTGCTAATATAACCAGCCTTTGGAGTGTAACATCGAGTGAGGCCCAACAAACAAGTTACTTACCGAGTCATGGAGGCCAAAGCGGTAATTATAATGGCATTTGTCATAACCACGCTGACTTGTATTGATTACAGGGTATCAAATAGTTCTTCTTCATGATTAATGCAACTCTATGAGAAGTCCCATAGTTTCATCTGGAGGTTGTCCTCCACCTGCGAATCTATGTCTTGCGGGAGGAATATCCTCTTAGGAATCTGAAACTCTACCACAGGCGCTTTCCTGATGTTTTTCCCCATTTCCGCCTCGAGCAGGCTAGCGTAGGAGTGGTCGAGGAAGTCCTCCATGTTGTAAATTTGCTTGGTGAATTGCTCTGAAACAATCTTAGCGATAGTGGCAACATTAGGATGATAATGCGACTGAAGCTGCACAATCTCCCAAATACAGCTATCGATGGCTTGCGTCTCCATGGGATCCTGCTCATCTGGGTCGAACGGGTCGCCCATGCCCTCATTGGCAAGTTTCTCTTTCTCCTCCTCTGTCCGCGGCACGCGGTGCATCATGAATGTTGTAGTCGGATGCTTTTTGAAGAGGTTGTACATCCAGGGAATGATGGTGACTACTGCACTTGGTGGTGCGTTCAGACTGAGCCGTGCCAGTCGCTTGATGAAGCTTGCCACGAGAGCAGCGGGTAAATGTGAGGAGGCGACGAATACATCGAGGAGGCGGAAGAACCGAGAGCGATATTTAGAATGAAGTATGTCCGCATCCAGTAGAGAGTACAGCTTGGTGTAAAAGGCAGGATAGTCGAGGTTTCGCTCCTGGATGAGGTAGAAGACACCGGACAGCGCAAGCAGGGACATGGAGCCTCCCGAGTCGTAGCAGTCGGTAAGAAAGTCCATCAGCAACTCTGGCTTGGTGAACCACGGCGCAATGACACTGGACATGATGTCGAGCAGGCGTTTTCTCTGATCTTTGGTCATGTCTCGACCCATCAGGGCCAGCCATGCATCCTGCGCCGCCTTCTTGTGCTTTGAGACCGAGAACAGCTCATGACCTTTTTGCTTCTTGGGCGGGTCGACGTAAAAGTCGGAGAGCTCCTCGCGGGACTGCGGAACGCCCTCGATTGAAGAGAGTAGCTCGAAGACTGCCTCAAACGCAGCATCTTGTTTTGATCCCGAGCCCGAGCCTGAGTGTGCATCCTGCTCCGCGAGTTTGTCCTGGATGGCTTTGAATGTGAAGAGTCTTATGTCATCGTACTCGTCGACAAACTTTTCGACAAACTCCCTCCGCACTTGCTCAGCCCCAGGCCGGCAAAGGGCGACCACAATGTCTCTCAGAAGGACCTTTGGAAAGCTGTGCTCGTCGTTCTCGCGGTAGGGGTACTGGCCGTGGGCCTTAAGGAGCCGCATAGACAGGGTGAGGGCAGTCAGGGCATGTTCGTCGCTAGCGAGGAAGGACAGCAAGACCTCATTGTATTCGGCCAGGCGGTCCCTGAGCCAGTGCACCAGGATGACATCCTTGTCGGAGTGGTTCTTCTTCCTAAGAAGACTGCCGGCAGCAAGGAGCCTGATAAAGACCCTGCAAAGGGCCACTGTAGCGAGCAGTGCTTTTCCTTCGTCTCTGTTGTGGTCTCGGGCGATGTGGAGCAGGGTGGTGATGTTGTTGTAGTGTCTTTTGGATTCGAGAATCGCTGTCTCGAGGAGTAGGATCTGGTCTTGGGCGTCTTCGTCGTCGCCGTGAGCTTGCTCCTGGTTACTGCTTGCGCTCTCTGATCGTACTCGCTTCTTTGGTGGCTCGTTTGTGTCTGGTCTCTTCCGTTTCGCCGCCTTTTCTCCCCTCTGCACTTTTACTGCAGAAGGCATTGTGCTTGATGCTGCTGAGGCTCGAGGTGCAGAGTACTTCGGATCTTTGTCAGAGGTCGCAGGATGTGTATCGGAGTCCAGGTCCAGAAATGTTCCGCTGCCCAGTCCAGTCGGACTGTACTCGAAATCGTCAATCGTGAAGAGCATTTAAAAAATACCGGCCCCACATGCTTTTTTGCTACCACCAAGGTACATCGAGCGTGTACCTGCGGACTGCCTGCCTGAGTGGTTGCGGCGAAGGGAGTGCTATCAGGCCAGCCCAGCTGCACTAGCAATGTAGAGCTTGGCCTAGGCGTGCAGGCGTTAGTGAGTCCGGCTGAGCCTGGTAGGAAGGAAAGCTGGGCGTCCGTGCACGCGGGCAGCTTAGGTACCTGTGCCTGGGTAGGCCTAGTGGAGTGCAGCGGTTTGCGGCTTGTGTCCCGGTCCAGCAAGCAAACCTCTCTCTCCGAGAAAGAGAAGCACCTCCGTCAGCGCCCGAGTGCAAAAGGACCTGCGAGAAAGTGTCTCAACCTCAACACCACCACCCGCCCAGACCAGGCCAGACGCCCGCAAAACCACACCGCATCACATCCCACGACATCACAATGGCGTCCCGCTTGGCTAGAACTGCTGTCGGTGAGTTGGACTGGACCCAATGACTGCTGTCCCTCTGCCTACTGCCTCCTCAATTGACCCCAGACTGGGACTGAGACTGACGCGCTGGATTCGCTTCGCTTTCACAGGGGCTGCCCGTTTGCGGCCTTCCATCATGCCGCGGTCTCTCCCCGCCCTGGCCTCGTCCTCCTCCGCCATCAACGCTGCTAGCGCCCGATACTCGTCCAATGTGCCCGCCGAGGAGCCAAAGAAAAAGGCCCAGTCCATCCTCGATGCCCTACCTGGTAACTCCCTCGTCTCCAAGACCGCCATCCTGTCTTCCGCCGCCGGTCTGTCCGTTTACGCCCTCAGCAACGAGTACTATGTCGTCAACGAGGAGACCGTCGTCGCCTTCTGCCTCTTGAGCGTCTGGGGTGCTGTCATCAAGTACGCTGGTCCCGCGTACAGCGAGTGGGCCCAGGGTCAGAGCAAGAAGATCGCCGGCATCCTGAATGCTGCCCGTTCCGACCACACTCAGGCCGTCAAGGACCGCATCGAGAACGTCCAGCAGATGGAGGGTGTCGTCGACATCACCAAGAGCTTGTTCGAGGTTTCCAAGGTATGCCCAGTCGTCGGGGCCCCCCGCGCCCGCGAAACCCGCGCCCCTTCTCACACGCACCGCATTGCATCGCACAGATTCTGACTCCATTGTTGTAGGAAACCGCGAAGCTCGAGGCCGAAGCTTACGAGCTGGAGCAGAAGACCGCTCTGGCTGCCGAGGCCAAGGCCGTCCTGGACTCTTGGGTTCGTTACGAGGGTCAGGTCAAGCAGCGCCAGCAGAAGGAGCTGGCCGATTCCATCATTGCCAAGGTCCAGAAGGAGCTGGAGAACCCCAAGGTCCTGCAACAGATCCTGGCGCAAAGCGTGGCTGATGTTGAAAGTACGTTTCCCCTGGGGTTTTGTGTACTGATCCATTGAAATGTGCTAATCGCTAACACGGCTCGCAGAGATCGTCTCTTCCAAGGCCCAATAAACATGAAGCATAGACAATGCAGATACAGCATATCTGGGGTTTCCTATGTACCGTCCCTGTGTCTAAAACTACAGACACACTGTGCAATATTCAATTTGAAGATTCTTGGAAGACGAACTCCAGTGCTCTGGACCTCTCCGTCTGTCTGATTGGACCAGCAATAATCTAGATCAGGCGTGAAAAATAAGTACTTGACATTAGAGTGCTATGCTAGAGTATCTTGTCTAACGCGCGCAATATTGTATTCCGCCAATGTCGAGAGATTCAATCTGCATTATTTATTTCCCGTCTGTGGTTGTCAAGCCCGGTGCTGAAAGATCGATCATGACTGGTACCTCGAACACCGCGCCGAGCTCGTCCGGCCTGCGCTGTGCGAAAGTGCAGATCAGCTTCTGGCTGGCGGGTAGGTCGTTCTCCCATCGGGCATTCCCCCAGTAATACCTCGACTCGGGGGGGATGTACAGCTCGCCGTCCGCACCACGGACACCGCCTTGCTCTTCCAGCTCTATCAATGCCTTGGCGCCTTGACAAGTCGCGGTCGTGTCCCAGCCATTCTCACGCCACCAGATCCGCTCGAGAAGGCCCACAGCTGTCCGTCGTATAGTGCCGACTCGACACCGCGTGATGACAAACCCAAGCACCGCTACCACGCCAAAGCTCTCGAAGGTATATCCTGTGCATGGAGCCGGCGAGTACTGATTGGGCGTGCTTCGCTTGTTCGTGTCGCTCTCGCTATGACCGAAGCCCCGTCCTAAAAGCTCCGCACAGAGTTTCACGATGCTCTCGAACTCAGTGTTGTGGGCGTCAAACCCCAGGCGAGTACGATCCAAGGCTTCCGCGGCCCAAATGTATAATGTGTCGTATTGGACGCGGATGAGCTTGAGGCCTCGTGAGCACGCCGAATCTGACCCCGGCGCGAGCTGTAACTTGTATATAAACTGTCGCCACTGAAAGAGATGCGCTAGAAGGTGAGCCTGCTCCTCACACGCTTTCAAATAAATACGTTCTTCGCTGTGTTTAGTGTAGTCGCTGTGGCGTAGCCACACCAGACAGCGCGAACTGAAGGATATCCAGACTGATAAGATTTTGTCCATCGAAGACGCTGTAATAGGCCGCTCGCTACAATTTGGTGGAGGTTTGGAGTCAAGAAACATGGTGCTCGGCATGGTCACTACGTTGTGCTTCTGAGATAGATACAACGGGTTGTGGCCGCAAAGCACTGCGGCATTGCGTGTCAGTCTCAAAACTCCAAACGAGATTGGTTTATGAATGTAGGTGCCGGATGAGAATTTTCTGTGCTTAGACTGCCTTACAAGCTACGACCCAACAAGAATGGTCTTGGCGAGGCAGTCCTTGAGGCAACCGATGCGTACGGCAGAGGTCTGTTATTGAGCATGCTGGAGTACTGCTTACTATAAACTTGCAGCATGAGGCAGGTCAACCTTTCCATTTCTTCATCTATGAGCCGACCATTTGTTCCCCCGGGGGACTTTTTCCTTTGCCATATGTGGCATACCTCTTGTAAAACCTTGAGCCCGGATAGCAGTGCTTCGGCGGCCTGATTGTTGTTCTGGAGCATGGTAAATGCCACGAGCAAGGGCGTTACAATGAAGGCGCTCCTGGAGGGGAAGTTCTCGGTGCCATTGGTCATCATCTCCCGAAACAAAGCGAGGGCTTTAGTGTGATGGCAAATCGCAGCTCTGCCATGGATGTTGAGTGTGGCATCTTTGCTGGATGACGACAGGAGATGCTGATTTCGAGCCACCAGAGGGTACGAGGCCGCACCCAAGGCAAGTATAGCGTGACGGATGCATGGATCTGTGAGAGTCTCACATAGAACAGTTTGGGACCAGAATGTAGAAGGGAGGTACCCCGAAAGTTCCTTCGCGGCCTCGAAGCGAAAGAAGTCAAAGTAAAGGACATCAGCGCCGTCTAAGCGAATGGATGGCAGAGATCTCCCAACGGTGATTTCGAGCCCACGTGCCTGGCTATTGATCTGGCGAGGGAGTAGCGAGCGTATCACTGGCTGCGATTCCCTAGGCTTCAGTTCGCTGAGAAGGGGGCTATAGCCTCTGCAGGACTGTCCAGCCCTCGCGCAACGCAAACAGGTTGGCTTTGCCTCATCGCACTTGACACGACGTTCCTTGCATGTGATACAGCCGGTGCGAACTTTGGATTTGCAGACTCGCTTCCGTGTCCTGGGCTGCAGCGAGTGCGCCGGGGTCTTGGACGATCTGTCGTCCATTAAATGAAGAGGATACAACCTGACAACAGCTACCGACGTAACGGACAGAGTAGCCGCAACCGGCTGCCCAGTATGGTATCTTCCGGGTAATGATACGAAGAACAAGAAGCGACATAGACCTGCGAAGAGGTGTCAATACATTGCTTGACTGTCTGGGAGACAGTGTCCGGGTCATACCGTTATGGTCAGCGCCGTGGTCAATGAGGATCATCAAACCAGACAGGCAGGCCTGCGCGCATGCACCAGTTAATACAGACACATTCGACCCCGGTCAGAAGCGGAGCACCTGTCCGCAGCAAAATGGCTGAATGGACGCCTTGAGCTAGAAGGCATGGATGAATGCATGGGCATCAGCTCGCGAGAGGTGGCCTATCAAATGGGAGGATGTGTCTCGATCCGGTACCTTGGTGCGTCTGCTGCTATCTTGGAATCCTTCCCGACGGGTGAGGTGTACCCATCTCGCCTACCAAGGTCGATAGTCCAAGGTGTCTGGCAGTGCTGGGCGTGCCACACAACCTGCCAGCCGGCTCAGTCAGCTCAATGTTGCTGAGATACTGTGGGTAGGATTTCAGCGGCGCCTGCTTGCTTCAAGGCCCAATCGAGTGAGAGGCATCTCATCTCGCATGAAGCGCGACAACTCTGCGACAGCTTTGCGCGACGAGCCGGCCACTGGGAAGTGTTGGCTGCATTTCGACGCTGTCTTTGAGCGATCAAGCCGGGCGCCTCAGAAGCCAAGCACCATGCAAGACTCTGGCTTTGTCTATGCTTGCATAGTTTCGCGGCCTAATTTCATGGCTCAATGGTCCATTTTGCATATTGCATGCTGCGCGGTAGATGGTACATGGCACGTGTTGCAGTCGAGCAATTGAGTTGCAGTAGAGAGGAAGACAGTATGGGGGTGGAGGGACCTGTTTCCAAGGCGGTGAGCTGAGATGCAGGGGCTCCAAGACATTGAGAGCTCCCCCACGTCACAGGGACCCACTGGAAAACGATTCTGCCGTCCGCCATCGTCTCATTCTCCCAAAACTTGTCGGCCTGATCAGCCCATCCAGCAACCGCTGCGTCGCTCGGCGTTCCCTCCCTCTCTTTTTTCCCTCTCTTCTTCTGCTGGCTATCTGTGCTGCCGTCTTGCCATTCCACTAGGAAAGGACGGGTGAATTCTCTCGTCAAATATGAAGCGCAAGGCGGCATCCCAACCAGGGCTCAAGAGGGCGCCTCCCAAGCGCTCCAAGAGTTGTAAGTCGTCTCTCTGTCTCTCTCTCCTGTCCAACTTCGGTCATGCAAACGGCTGACTGTGGAAGCCATAGCTCTCTCAGAGTCTGAAGCCAAGTCTCGGTTCCGGGAGGGTCTCTTCGAGCAACATGTCCTGGACACCTACACCAAGGGCTACGCTGAATCGTCACCCTACAAGCACAGCGTCATCAATGGCTTAGTTGACGACTCGCTGCTTCGCAAAGTCCGCGCCGAGATCCGGGAGAATGTCAGCTTCACCCCAAAAGAGACCGATATCTACAAGATTCATCAGTCTGGAGATCTGGCCAATCTCGACGGCCTGGACGACGAGGCCCTATCCAAGCTGCCCAGCCTGCTCTCCTTGCGAGACGCCATATACTCGGAAACATTCCGCAACTATGTCTCCCATATCACTGGCTGCGGCCCCTTGAGTGGCCGCAAGACCGATATGGCAATCAACGTCTACACTCCCGGCTGCTACCTGCTCTGTCATGACGATGTCATCGGCAGCCGCAAAGTCAGCTACATCCTCTATCTCACCGACCCAGACAAGCCATGGCAGCCCGAGTGGGGCGGTGCCCTCCGCTTGTTCCCCGTCCTCGATCGCAAGGGCAAGGGCGGCGTCATTGCAAAGACTCCTGGGCCTGACGTTGTCAAGGTTATCCCCCCAGCCTGGAACCAGCTGAGCTTCTTCGCAGTCCAGCCTGGTGAGAGCTTCCACGATGTGGAGGAGGTCTATCATGCTGACACCATGGAGGATTTGGAGAGCCAGGGCGGTCGTGTACGCATGGCAATCAGCGGTTGGTTCCACATCCCACAGGTTGGCGAGGACGGCTACGTCAAGGGGGCTGAGGAGGCACAGGTCAAGAACAGCGGCTTGATGCAACTACAGGGTAATCCGGACCAGCATGACAAGCCGGAACCCAATCCCGTTCCCGTCACGCAGAACAAGACCTTTGACGACTTTGGAGAGTCGGATATCGAGTTCTTGCTCAAATTCCTCCACCCGACATACCTGACACCAGACACCCTGGAGCAGATGCAGGAGCACTTCGATGAGAACTCAAGTATCACCTTGCCCAACATACTTAGCAAGAAATTTACAGCAAGACTGAAGGACTACGTCATCCAGAGGGAAGCCGAGAAGCTGCCGGAGGAAAGCGAAGCAATTGAGCAGCAAACAGGTTGGAATGTCGCAAAACCCCCACACAAGCACCGCTTCTTGTATATGCAGCCGGGACAGGGCGACAGGGAAAAAGTCTCTCCGATCAGGGAATTGCTTGATGACTTCCTTCCTAGTGCTCAGTTTCGGGCCTGGTTGTCCATGGCCACCAACTGCACTATTGAGAGTACCGACCTCCTAGCCCGCCGCTTCCGACGCGGCCTCGACTACACGCTTGCCACTGGCCACGTGGGAAAACCTCGTTTGGAACTCAATCTAGGCTTCACACCAACATCTGGTTGGGGTGAGGACGATGACGAAGAAGCAACAGCCACCGAGGAACAAAACAAAGGCAAGCAGACAAACGGAAGTAAATCCAAGCACAAATCAAAGGGCAAGGGCAAGGGCAAGAATGACGTAGTCGCTGAAGAGTCTGAGAAAGAAGAGCCCGAAGAAGTTGGTGGCCATGAGGTGTACATGGCGGGTGATGATGGCGATGAGGAAGACGCTGCAATCTACAAGTCATCTGCTGATGACGACAACATTCTGTTTTTCCAGGCGGCGGCGTGGAACAAGTTGACTATTGTCCTGCGCGATAGCGGAACATTGCGATTTGTCAAGTATGTGAGCCGTAAGGCCAGGGGCGACAGATGGGATATCAGCGCTACAGTGGATATTGAAGAACAGGATGACGATGAGGATGAGGACGAGGACGAGGAAGAGGACAACGGGGCTGGACCTGCAAATGGGGTTTCGCTGGAGGAAGAATCGGAAGAAGAGTTCCAGGGTTTTTCGGACCATGACGATGATTCTGATTCCGAGTGATGCACATACCGGTCACTTGCACATTGACTGAAGAGAAGCGGGATGAAGAAGGCCTGAAGGCTATCAAGTAGCAATTACATGGGAGTGAACAAAACATTCTCGTATATTCCGTCCGTTCCTCCCATCAGCACGAACAGCAAATTTGCGCGAAACCTAACTTCGCGCCCGCACACTCTAGACCTAAGTGGACGATGACCAGCCTCTGGTGTGTTGTTGCAATTCTCCGGAACCGGATGTGTCACGGGCACAAATAGAGAAATCATATGTTCTCGTGCTGGAAGAATTGAACATGTTGGACGTCTGCACCTTTGAGAATACGTCGGGAAACAACTTAAAGCTCTTGATTCACTTGAGCACTGGCAGTACAAGTGGATTATCTGCTCTGTTCCCCCATATCAAAACACGTTATCAAATCTCTCGCGACTCCCGATGTGATCTACTTGTCTGGCCGCGCAAACTCACAGCAGCCACAACAGCCTCAACAACTAGTCACTCCCGCCGTCCTCGTCGAAGTCAACTCTTGCCGTGGAAAGATACCTCAACACTATTTCTTAAGTTGATGCTTTCCCCCATCCGTCGAAGCCGAAAGGTGTGCTCCTACTGCCCTATCATGATACAGTTGTAATATCAATGCAACCACCAGTAGCATCCAAAACCATCTGCCTATGTTCCCGAGTACGAGGTGTATCCTGTCGCTCACATTTTGGACTCCTGTGAATTAGATATTTCGCCCTTGCTGTGGTCATAATTTGAGCGGCGAGGATATACTTGCTTCAAATGGCCTTGATGCCCCCCGTGGCTGGCAAATTGTATTCCACTACAAGTCAAGTGCGTCTGAGGCGCGGGATCGGATGGCGTACTCGATATCCTGAAAGGAGTCTCTCCCCATGATTACCTGTTGTACATGTATTGCCCGTGAATCTCACGTCTGGAGGTCGAGTTATAGGGTCAGTTGTACGGTTGCCCGGGCTAGTCGCGTATACAAACGTAAGGATTATGGATGCGCAATGGTGGGAGTAGAGGAAGAAAATATATAGATTCTATGTACTCACTCAGGGCGCTGGCCCATCCAAGGGAAAGTCTTCGTTCTCTTTTCTGCCGGAGAACCTCACGCTTAGAGGGCTGAAAGCCTCCAGCTCATTTACCTCCCTACTATGGTCTTTGTCCTCTGTGTTCAACCGGAGCTTAGTCTTGGCCTGAGCAAGTTGCTCCTTGATTGTTGCTAGCATGTCAGCCTCCTTGTTCCGCCTGGCAATGCAGTCTGGACAGATATTCTCCAACCTGATGGTCTGCATCGAGTGGAAATTGATCTTCCCACAGCCAGAGGTGGTCTCTGTGTTCTCAAATGCTAGCTGAAGGTGGCATTTTCGGACCAAGCCTGCGAGCTTTGAGTGGTTGTCGGAAAAGATGATCCGCTTGTACCAGCACATCTTGGACTGGGATGGGAGTACGGTTTGTCATCAACCAAAGGCAGACGTCGAAATGATGAAAATAAAACGATGATAGCTCCCACTGGGATGCCGCAGAGCAATGCTCAAGGGAAAGAGATAGGAGGGTAACAACCAAAACACTATGAGACTGATATATGAAGGACAAGCAATTCCCAGGCAAAACTATGAGTCTGTATATAGTACGGATGACGATAGAATAAAGGTCCTGATGAGAAAAGGGTATTGTACACAAGCTTTTGTCCGAACTGCGGCTCGATATGATATGTGCTGAGAGTCTTTTGTTCTTCTCTTTTATGACTCCCCCCCCCCCCCCCCACACACAGAAGGTCCAAATTAAGGCCCCCATGCCTTTGTACATTTTATGTTCGCGACCCGTTTTTGCAGGAAGCTACTCTCCTTTATTTCAGTGAAGTCGCTAGCCCAACAAATTTGCTCGGCCTTGTACTCGAAGACATGAGGGACATTATAGTTAAGCTTTGCTCGCAACACTCGGAGGAGGTCACCAGCACTTCCGGATATTCCGGCTTCAGGGGATACTACAATGCCGCCAAATTCTAGAAGACACTCGAGATCGGTTGTTGAGTCACCGAAGTAGACGATCTCGACGGGCAGTCCTGGCTTGGTCCTCTGTTGCCGCCGATAGAGACATCGCAGAGCTGATAACTTGTCTGATCCGACAGTAAGAACGTTGGGCCAGCCTTCTGAAGTGTTGTCGTCGGCAGTGACTGACAAAGCACTAATAGACCCGTCGGCTGGGTTGACATCGTTGGCAATAACCGACGAAATGTCTTCCTGAGTCAAAACGCCTCTTATGTATGAGGCAGACCAGTTCACCGAGAGAATTTGCACATCGCTCGCTTCTGGTACGGCCTAGATGAGAGTTAGAAAGGCAGTGGCTCAATGAATTGTCAAGATACATGACGAGAGTAGTGACCCGCTGGGAAGGAAGTTCTTACCGAGTGGCTCCGTATCAGATGAACCAGATCGGGAAAGCCTCGGCGTAGTTTAATGGTACCCTGCTCCCTGTGCTTGTGGCCTGACTGGAACAGGTACTCAAGTGGTACACCACAAAATAATCCCGCGTCCTGTACTCGCGACAGTGAGGCTCGTTCTATCTGTCGGCGCTGGTCATTCGAGAAGTGGTTTCTAGCTACATCCAACGGTGTTGAGTCATCAGCCTGAGTAGCGGGACAAAAGCATCTGTGATACGCATCAAGATCTGCCTCGTAGGACTCGACGACACGACGCCAGCTGTTGGCCAGGGAGTGGTAAGTCTCTGGAGAAGAGTTTGCTTTGTGGTAACTCAGAGCGGCGTCTAGGACCCACGCAATGCTGTCGTCTTCTGTTATCGTACCATCGAAGTCGAAGACTAGCTCTAGAGTCATGTTGGAAATGTCGTGGTGTGAGGCCGACACAGACAATGAAGACCATCGGTTGGATGCCAATGGGGTTTCAAACACAGTGCGATGACTGATGTCTCGGTCAGTCGGACTCGCAATCGAGAATCGGGGATTCACTGACGTGGGATGTGCCTGATATCACTTATGTATTTTACTCCACTGTCAAGTGCCGGTCACGGAGGCTCGAGCATGTCGAAAGTCAGCAAGAGTGACCAACCTGGGGCAGCATGATACGAGACAAGAAGTGACGGAGGAGTAATGTGCTTCGCTGGACTAGAGCGACCGGGTTGAAAAGCCTCGTTCCGACCCCTTACAAAAGCTTCCCCGGCTCATGAACTCGAAATCCTACGTTTGCAATTGCTTCTCACCAAACTTATTTGTCAATCAAATCGATCTTTCTGTCAGTACCCCTATAAGAGCGGCAATGTGTCGAGTCGCGATGTACACGTCGCCCAGCTGCCGGTGCAAATGGCTGCAGATCATCGAGCCCTGCGCTCCAAACGCTGGGTTCAGCCAATGCCAAGGATTTGGCACCGGGAGCGTCACATACCCACCTGAGGAATACAAGAGCTATCAATGCCCGCAACACGTGTTGTTTGGGCAATACGATCGCAACTACACTCGCATGGTGGTCAGGGAGAGACGTGCTCTCAGATTTGGAAGCGGGCCCAGCAGGCACGATCCCGGATTCGAGGTGGGATTGTGTAATGTGATGTGACGGAGTGCGAGGGAGTGATAAGGTCAGTACCGCCTCCAAAAAGGCACAACAGCGATTGAGACCCCCGGACTGTTGACAGAGTGTCTGACAATCAATGTCAAAGATCGATGTACTCCAGCCATTCTGTGAGCTTGCGGAAATCTACAACTGGGCCTGCTCTCTTATCTACAAAGGACGGGGACGGCTTTGTTCTCGCCTCATTCAAAGTTTTCCAGTCTTGGACTGGACCGAGTTGCGCAACAAGGAGATGACCTCGGAAGGGTCTTTGGCCCCGAACACGGCGCTTCCTGCCACGATGACATTTGCGCCGGCATCCGCGGCTTGGTCGATGGTGGCCGGTCCCAGCCCACCGTCCACCTCGATGTTCAGATCGGGGTACTTCTTCCTCAACTCCTGGACCTTTGGCAGCTCGCTAGCCATGAACTTCTGGCCGCCGAAGCCAGGCTCGACCGTCATGATCAGCACCATCTGCCAAGAAAAAGAAAATTGATGTCAGCTCCTGTCACCCGCCAACCTCCCCGTCCGCAATGGCACTCGAGACTGGTGACTCACATCGGGCCTCTCCTTTTCGTTGGGGTTCTCGAGAATATCCCACAACACATCAACGCCTGTCTTCGGCTTGATTGCAATGCCGGCCAGCAGCCCACAGTCGTGGATGTAGCGGATCAATTCTTTGGGGTTTGTCTTCAACTCGCTCTCGCCCGAGGGGGTCTCGGCGGCGGTGGAAAAAGCAGCCTCGTAATGGAAGCAGTACAGATCACAACCGGCGTTCTTGAACTCATTTACCCATCGTTTTGGCTCCGCAATCATCATGTGGCAGTCGAAGGTGCCCCGGCCATGGGCAGTAGTGGGCTTGTCGACGTGGGGACGGATCTTTGCAACAACAGGGGCGCCAAATGTTATGTTTGGTACAAAATGCCCATCCCTGGGGCGAGTGTGGTCAGCCTTGAGCGTAGAAAATCGAAGTCTATGGAGAGCACTACCTTCCCACCAACAGTGAAGGCTCGCAGGAGAGGGAGAGAGCTCACATGATGTCGACATGAAGCCAGTCTGCGCCCTGGTCTATTGTCCTTGCACAATCCGCTCCGAGTTGTGCAAAGTCCGCGGACAAGATGGAGGGGGCAATGATAGCATTGGGAGCCATTCTAGTAGATTGGCAGTGGCTGAATTTGGAAAGCTTGGCTCAGTGCGGTGTCTCGGTGTGTGCGCGTGTGTACGTGGTGTTTTAAATCGAGCAAATAAAGTTTAAGCTGGGCCCAAGGTCCTCACGGTACAGGGCAGCTGGACCAGCTCGGTGCTGTGACGTCGCTTGGTGGCCCAATGCCAGGAGCTCCCATTCGGCGGCAGGCGATCGCTTCCCAGGGGTGGGCACGCCAAAAGACAAAGTACGTACCTAGGTGTCTAAATGGGTACCTTGAATGGATGCTAGCCCACTGTCATGTATCTATACCTACAGCCGTATGCTAAGCCAGCGTTGCTCTGCGTACCTATACCCGTTCCCGTTCCCGTGCCATCCGCTGACGTTACAAACTGTGTTCATCTGGCGGCAGGGAGGCTCAGCCGTTGGCCTTCCCCAGCTCCCCCCCCCTCATCGTGCGGCCAGAGTGCAAGCAAAGCTTCAACAGCACAGCCTTCCAAGCCAAAATCACCTCTCCGACCGGCACCGGCCATTGCGACCTGGCCCTGGCCCCCCGGCTGTGACTGCATCCTAACATTGGAGCCATAGCCAGAGCTATACCATCTCACCACCATTCCGTCAGGACAGGAGACGGCCCAAGAGGACAGACGGGCACGGCATCCAAGGAACTGGCACAGCACACAGGCCACTGCGCTTCTCACCACCCACGATGGAGGCGGCGAGCGCCAGGGCCGCCGCGCGAGACCAGTGGGGGGGATACGGCGGCCATGCTCCCTCACAGCTCCAGCGCTTCATCCAGGCTGCCTGCAGCCCCGAGAACTACGAGCCCAACCTCGCCCTGAACCTCGAGATCTCCGACCTGATCAACTCAAAGAAGGGCACTGCCCCCCGCGAGGCTGCCGTCGCCATCGTCAACTACATCAACCACCGCAACCCCAATGTCTCCCTGCTGGCCCTCAACCTGCTCGACATCTGCGTCAAGAACTGCGGCTACCCCTTCCACCTCCAGATCGGCACAAAGGAGTTCCTCAACGAGCTCGTCCGCAGGTTCCCCGAGCGCCCGCCCATGCGCTACAGCAGGGTGCAGATGAAGATCCTCGAGGCCATCGAAGAATGGCGCAGCACCATCTGCGAGACCAGCCGCTATAAGGAGGATATGGGCTTCATCAGGGACATGCACAGGCTGCTGAGTTACAAGGGCTACACGTTTCCCGAGGTCAGGAGAGACGATGCTGCCGTGCTTAATCCGAGCGATGTGAGTTCGCCGTCCTTCTCACTCCCCAACCCTTGGCAGTACCATCTAATCACCGCTGCGCGCAGAACCTCAAGTCGGCCGAGGAGATGGAGGAAGAGGAGCGTGAGGCCCAATCTGCCAAACTACAGGAGCTCATCCGACGAGGCGCTCCCGAGGACCTACAGGAAGCAAATCGACTTATGAAGATCATGGCTGGCTACGACACAAGGTCCAAGGTTGACTACCGCGCAAAGGCCGCCGAAGACGTCTCGAAGATCCAGGCCAAAGCAAAACTTCTCGAGGAAAGGCTAGAAGGCTTCAAAGCAGGTGACAGCATGACAGACGGCGACGTTTTTGAAGAGCTGGCGTCTTCTCTTCAGAGCGCACAGCCCAAGATCCAAAAGATGTGCGAGGAGGAGTCCGACGACCACGAGGCTGTCGCAAGGCTGCTCGAGATCAATGACAGCATACACCGGACTGTGGAGAGGTACAAGCTGATGAAGAAGGGCGACCTCGAGGGGGCGTCCAAGATCGCGCGCGGGGAGCATGTCGCCTCACAAGCGGCCGTCAAGAGTGCAGCCCAGGAGCTCAACCTTATTGATTTCGACGGCGAAGCAGAGGCCAACGGGCCCTCGGGTAATGGATCTGCGGGCCCGAGTGCAGGCAGCCAGTCCCAGCCCGGCGGTCTTGAGGATGATTTGTTAGGGCTGTCTCTTGGTGACGATGCCGGCACTTTTGGCCAGACTGGAGGAATATCGCTAGGGTTCGGGCACAACGGCAGTAAGTCAACGGTCAACGCGCACACAGGCATTCGCTCACCGAGATCAACAGATGTCCCGGGGCCATCATTGCTCTCTTCGATGACACACAACAGCACTGCCCAAGGTTCAGGGATGACCACGTCTACACCTGACCCGTTTTCATCATTCAATGCCTTCAACTCAGCGCCGTCGACATCAAAGAATAACACCCCACAGCCCCCCAATTACCAACAATCAGCGTTCGCTGTCCCAGCGCAGGCCGCAGACCCTTTTGCCGCTCTTGCCTCCCCGAAATTCGCCACTGGTCTCTCCAACATTTCGAAACCGGCCACTCCGGCCCAAACTTCGGCTGCAGCGCCAGCAGCACCAGCAACGCAGGCCAACGATGACGACGAATGGAATTTCGCGTCTGCCTTGCCTACAGATACTCCGGCGCTGCCCAAAGAACACAGAGCTGTGGTCAACAACACCAGTTTGAAGATCGATATGCTCGCAAATCGGACAACGGGCACCTCCAACAGCATCAACCTCTCATTTGCTTTCAGCAATAACACAGCGCAGCCGATTTCAGAAGTACACTTCCAGCTGGCGGTGACAAAAGTGGGTCTACCTGGCCTGGCCTTCCATAAACAAAGCATTGCATGACTGACAAAAGCCGTTTAGGGATATGAATCCCAACTCAAGCCCCAGACAGGGCGGTCGTTGGAGCCAAAACAAAGCCGCGGGATAACGCAGGCCATCGAGGTCTGGCACGCAGGGGACAGGAGCAAGAAGGTCGAGTCCATCAAGCTAAGGTGGAGAGTGGCGTATAAGGTTGGAGCAGAGCTGAAGACGGAGATGGGAGAGATAGCAGACTTCGGTCTGGCATGATGAACCTGTGAATTTTTGAGCCTGACATCACGGGCTGAAAGCGATGAGAGCTCCAGCAAGTACCCCCCGGGAGGCCACGGTCTTGTTCGATGCTAGCGTATCATTCAAGTGCAGACGAATTACGAGACAAGCTCATCGGTGAACATCAAGAGGCAGTAGGTAGGTGCAAACCCTCCAGCTGCTGCTTACACGTAGTTATAATTGTACAGTCCTCACAACCGTGCTCCATAATGTCTTCTCTAGGATCTGTGCCGCGCTAACGCCTGTGTCTGTCTCCACCGCAATGTGTTTTGTATGATACTACAGCTCACAAGGGGCCTAAGCATCTGCGAATACCTTGACAGCACACCCTTCCAGCTGCAAACGTTCAGTGTAATGCCCTCAATGGGATATCCCCCACCTGCAAGGTAGTCTACAGAAGCAAGCTCCTGCGGAACAACCCCGCATAGAACGATCGTTCAAGGCAAGCTTTCGTGTCTAACGATGAGCGGCCTACGCCTGTATCTAGGCATGGAAGTATTACACACCGAGTGGCAAGCCTCTGGGATCCCTTCGAGCCATACGGCTTCCTCATTCATGCATGATACCCAAACCAACACCGCCAGAACTGCTCCTACTCATAGGCGGCGCTCTTGGGAACTCCCTGGTAAGGTCCACACTGACAGGCGTCTCCCCGAACCCTATTATCCTTCCGTTCCCAACGACTATTCCACCAGACCCGGACCGGGCCATCGCCTCCCCCCCGTCACCTGCAGAGTCAATCTCCGGGCTGCCGGCGCTGTGAACGCTGGCGCCGCCCGACACTCGAAGTCCTGCAGTCGGGCTTTGCGACTGAGCCCGCCCACGCAGCCGCCCTGAAGCTCGCTTGTACCACCTTGGGCGTACCGGCACGCCGGCGCCGGGTGTGCTGGCTCCCGGCCTCGGCCATGGGAGGGGTTCGGGGAGGTAGACCCGAGCCTGGCCCGCAGGCACGTCCTGCACCTCATACCTTGGACGAAGGATCGGGCTTGGCTCCGTGACTGCCGACGGTGGTCCGCTGCGGCCAAGCGCAGGGAGGCGGGAGGCTGGTGGCGGTGCTGAGCCCACGGGGCTAGACAAAGGGCTGGAGTGCCTCCGCCCTCTCATTGCAGTGGCGGACGTCGCGAGCGCGAGATTGCCTCCGCGCCTCTTGCTGGCTGACGATTGGTTACTCGATTGCTGGCTTGAGTCTCTTGACATTGGCGCCGATACTGCTCCCGAAGCCGGGATCCAGATGTGTGGTGGGTATGGCACCGCGTTAAGTTCATTGCCAAAGCCCTGCTGCCCATATGGAAGGTTCAGGGCTTCAAGCCGACCCAGTCCTGGAGTGTAAGAGTTGGTATTCCACTGGTGCAGACTCGGTGGAAGAACACGGCGAGAATCAGCAGTCATTCTCTCAACCGGAAGACCCGGTGGATAGAAGGGAGTGACGCCACCGGGGCTAGACCTGGCAGTCCGCGACCCTGCTACTTGTGGGAATGGCGGCATTGTTGCTACATCCTCTGTTCCAGGCGAGGTCTGGACGCTCCCAGGGGTCAGGGCCGTCCTGCTGTTTGAGCTCTCGTTCGACGACCTCCTGCCAGACGGCCTGAGGCTCTCCTTGAATCTTTTCACGGTTTCGGCAGTCCAAGATGAGCCGGATAGAGGCTGACCGCCAGAACCGCGGTAGAACTCGGCCGCTGATGACTTATCGGTGGGTGTCAGGCCGGAAGCTACCCTGGCGTAGTTGTATTCTCCACGGCTCATGATATCCTTTGGTCTAACGGCCGTGCTAGAGCTCTGGCTCCTTCCCTTGTCCTGTATGACCCTTCCGCCACGAGGAGCCGGTGGCGAGGCCTTGCGCATTTTTTGAAGAGCCAACTCAGCTTCACTGTGCGCGCTCAAACGGCCCTTGCTGGAAGATCTGGAGCCACCTCGTGGCGATGAGGTGTGAAAGAATGGCGATCTCGCGATGTCATGGCTAACACCAATCTCTGAGTCGCTCTTATGATGTCCTCTCTGGTTGATTAGAGAATCGGTCCTAGGCCTCTGATGATTGTGGTATATCGGCACAAGCGTCGTCCAGCCGTTTTGGGCCAGGTCTGGCGAGACCTGGCCGACCTTCGGAGTAATCTGTGGCGTCCGCTCCTGTTCATCTTCGTACTGATCCGGTTCGGCGGGAATGGTGCTTCCGTCGGGGTAGGGAAACGGCAGTCCATCCGCATCAAATCGGTGGCCAGGTACAAATGCGACTGGGGACTGGTAGAACCGAGGGTCGTCCTCATCCATTCGCACCCAAGCATCCTGCTGACTCTGGCTTTGGGAGCTGGAGGTGGCCGAGTCGGACTCTGATAGGCTGTTTGTTTTGTCGAAGATTGAAATTTGTGCTATCTCTTCGGATTGGTCGATAATCATTGCCTGAAGTTTGCTCGACAGCCTGTGAACTTTGTCGTGAATGTCTTCCAATCTCGCCTCAACCTCTTTCCTCAACGACTGTAGCTCCGAGTGCCTTCTCTCAAAGCGTTTCAGGTGCTCTGCGAGTTTCTTCCCGTGTATGTAGAATCTTCTGTAATCGTCCGGGAGGCCGACTTTGGGCAATTCTGATATACGTCGGTCTGCCTCATCATAGGACTTAAAAAAGACCTCAACTGTTCGCTCGAGCCAATACGCTTGCTGACCTTTTGCTGCCAAAGATTCGATGAAATATCGCTGGATGACACTGTGAATCCGTAACGTATCTAGGCTCTCCGATGGCAGGGGGAGGCTTTGATGGGAGCTTCTCGAGCTGGTTGGTGACACATCCTGTGACTCCGTCCTCTCTACCAGCGCGAAGGCGATTAGCACTCTCAAGGTATTACTGAGGCTCCCTTTGCCGTGAGTAGAGGCATCACGCGTCTTGTAAGGAACTTCTTTGCCGAGAGCATGGAGGCCTGCAGAGTTGGCGTCAGTCAGCCGCATATAGAGAGCCCCTGTGTGATAATCTGCGGCGGGATAGGATTTGCAACATAGTCTCCAGATAGATTTTGTCTATCCCCGATCATATACAATCGAGTATCTGGCAAGTTTTCGGAATTTTCCCAGCTTGCAGAATGTCGCGGGTGAAGATAGAACTAACCTAGCGCCATCATTTCAACTGGTATGTCGGAGTCCAAGAAGACCAAAATGGACATGACGTTCAGAGCTGCAGTGGCTCCCCGCGCTTGTAGCTGCTCCAACACATATTCGTACGCAGGTACTTTTCCAATTTTCGGTCGGGTGCGGTAGCGCTTGAGGAAAGTGGCCAAAGGTTCCTGATTCGCCTTTATTTGCTGGGAAATGAAGTGAATCATCAAGGGGAGCCGCCCCAGGATCTGTACCAGCTCTGTCGCCTGGCTGAGATCTTCTTGGTTCCATGGCTTCCTTTTCTCTGTCTCCAGCAGCAGCAACTCTTGAGCATCCTGCGCTGGAAGAAGTGGTAGTTGCAGGAGTTGAGGATTGTTGAAGTGGTGATTGCCAGTGACTGCCGCGTCCGTGGAAGTCATAATGATAGACGAGGAAATCGCATCAGGGACAAAGCGTTCTATGCCCGAGTCAAACATGATCCCATCCAGAATCATGAGCCATTCCCGCAAGCCATTGAACCATTGCCGAACAAAATCAATGATTTTGGTATGGTCTTTCAGTTCGTCAATGTCTGTCTTGTCCATGAGATCCTTGAGAGCAGCGGTCCTTGCCACACGCCAGAACTCGCCTTCGAGCTCCTGGACGGATGTTGCACGCAGCCAAAATATCCCCCCTGGATAATCATCCTTGTGTGCAAAGACGTATTGCCTGGCCATGTGAGTTTTCCCCCCTCCCGGAAGACAGGAAATCAGGACCGTAGAAGAACCTTCCGACCTTCGCTTCGGGTCCTGAAGCATTCTGTGAAGGTCATCAAGCTCCTCTTTCCTGCCAACAAAGTACGAGTTGGGCCTAAACGCCTCGGGGTGTAAAAATATGGTCTCCTGCGAGGCATGCTGCTTCTGTGGACTTGGCGTGCCCCGCTCAGGCGGTGCTGGCTGGACCAAGAGAGGAAGAGGAGATGGAGGAGCGGTTTGCTCTTGTGGAGCCGGCAAGCTTGAAGTAGTCTTATTTTGGTCATCTACAAACAGAAAAATCAGCCCATATACCCTGAGGGCATTAGCGGTCGCCTCGACCACCTGGCCGGTCCGTATCATGTGATTCTGCCGGCTCGATGCTGGACAGAGCGCCGCCACTGCTAGCTGATGAAAGCGCTGGGGTCTCTAAAACTTGGAACATACCAGCAACCACTTGTGAGGAGCCCCCGGACTGTGTAAGCTATAGCCAGAAGTCAGCAGGCTCGTCTTTCTGCCGAGGACATCCATAGGCTCAAGGGGCTGAGGGGTATGCACATATGCATGTATACGCATATGAATATACAGTCCATGCGGTACTTGGGCATCTTCTTACAAATGGTCTCGCTCGTTCGTTCATTTCCAGTTGAGCCCGGACACGACGACTGTCGTCCTCGACGCTCCAACGAACACCCATGACTTCAGGTGCTGCTTGAACCCATTCAGCGATGGCTGTGGAAATTGTTCGATATCCAGGCGCATCAAACCCGTCAAATTTACACATGGTTGAATGCTATAAGTTTCAATGTCAGCGAGACTAGCACAGAGGCCAAGGATGCCAGAGTCATGGTGGGCTCTCAGAGGGCAGCGGTGGGACGAGGGCAGGGACGAAAGCATGATAGAGATCAACGTAAGAGGATGATCTCTTGTTGGATACCCTCGAAGGAACATTCGACCTGCCCACAATGCGTATAATTCAGTAGTAACCTACATCTGCTTCCACGCCATAAGATGTGACACCTGGTAAGCGAGGCGCCGCCGATTTTGCGTCCACAATCAGTGATTTCGTCCCCTTCAGGTCGGTCTTCTGGTTCTCATGGACCATGTGGATCTTGAATCTCTGGTAAATATTGAGAAAATTGATGTTGATGTTATCCAGCGTCTCGTTGTCTTTCCTCAAGCTCTCGATGAGAACCGGCTCGCTGTCGAAAAACTTCCTCGGGACGTGACCGGCCATGCCCTGCAGGGCTAATCCCCAGGATGCGAGCTCAGAGCCATCATGTGGCGTGCCCAGGAAAATAATGCCGTAGGTGGACACGTAGATGGAGCGATAGTCTTCGTGGTCGGCGACACGCACACTGTCTGAATGCTCCAGGGCCCGCTTGACAAGGATGCCGCCCAGACTGTGGGCCACCCATATAATTGGGTTTCGTGTCGTCTTCTTGCTTTTCCGATATGTCGTGAGGAAAGTAACCAGGGTCTGCGCATGCTGGTGGATGTAGTTGGTGCTGGGACCGGTGCCGTGCTTCTTGGACGAGACATCTGCGTTGTACCCATACACCAGAACGTTGGCATACGCGTTCTCTGCCTCCAGGGTTTTGGGGAGGAGGTCGGCTGGCCAGAAAGTGCCGTTCCCGCCTGGGCTCTTGGCGGTCCATGTCCTTTGCGGATCACCATTGAGACCATGGACAAGAACTATATCCACCCTCGCACTCGGGTGGCTGTAGACGGCTGTGATGTCGAAGCGGGAGATCTTTCTGTTGATGGTCCCCTAAATGAGACTCAAGTCAGAGAACAAGGCCCTGGCACAACTGAACTGAAGTAGTGAGACTGAATGCGGGCCGGATCAAGTGCTGACGTGAAGTGCCCAGCAATGTGGAAGTCCTTGCTGACTGTTAATCGATCGCGACGTATGCGGCCCGCTCCGTCGGATATGCGATCTCGCGGGACTCGGGCCCGGGTGGACAGACTCGGAGTATGATCCAGTTTGGGCGGGCATACGCAAACTCGCGTCGAAACTTAATACGGGCTCACTTCCCCCAAGCCTACAGGCAGTATGCGGAGGAGCACTGATATTGAATAGGATGACTCACCATGTACGCAGTGTATGAAGCTGCGACGAGAAGCCAATGCCTCTCTGCCGCACTGAAGTGTGTCGATCGATGGTGGTGAAGCAGACCAAGACGGAGACAACAAGCAGACAAAGTTGCCCGTCCGGTGATATGGGTTCCTTGGCGCCACGCAGGGGATAAAAACTAAACAGATTGAGAAGGTTGGCGATTATAATGGCTCGCCGGGCGATCTTCCAGGTTGGCCATGTGACATGAGCTCAGCAGCTCCCGGGTCGTTAAAGTCTGAGACAGCAGCAGCCACGCGCCCACGGGAGAGGCGCATGTGCAGGCATATAAGCCGAAGACTGCCAGGAGGGAAACCAAGCAAGGGGGAGGGGTGGCGCCCAAGATAGATCAAATCGTCTCTAATATCTGCCTGGGGCATGGGTACGTTTGTACCGTGCATATTGCAGGGGTCCCAAAGGACTGGCAAGGAAGAGACTTGAGGAGATGCACCACAGTAGAAGAGGAGAGGCAAAACCCTACACAGAATTTATTCTACGAGTTACATGAGAGAACCTGCAACAGGTTGTCCTGCAAAGGGACATCCTGCTGGAAGTCCTCCCACCAGGATTTCCAGAGCAGTATGAAGCCGGAATACGGGTTGAAGGGCACTTGACCTTGTGACGAAAATAAAGGGATCAAGATGTAGGCCGTGGGCATGAGCAACCAAAAGGGAATAGGCGCCGAGAAGCAGGGGCAACGCCCGATGACTTGCTTAGCTTGTACTTGACCGGGGGGGGGGGGCCAAGAGGCAGCAGGTACAAAGTAGTATCACAGAGTATGTTCTTTGCCCGACGCACGACGGGCTTCCGTCATGGGACGGAGCATGATCCTCTGTTCCCACCCACCATCATCACTCCGAGAGGATGATTATGCTTTTGATCTGCTGAGCCCCTCAGATCCGCCTGGCGCTGGTGATCCGATCGGTTCGTTTATCATGCAAAGCACCTGGCCCGCATACAACAGCCTAGTATGTCCGCTAGCCCACAGGCGTCCGGGGAACGTCTGACAGCCGGGAACAAGGATGCGAGCACCGGTTGGCGGCGTGTGGCGTCACGAACTGCCCGCCAACTGCTGCTGTCAACGTTCTGCGTCTGCAGATGGATGCAGGGCCCCCTGAATTTCCGCGTCGTGCACCCATTGTCAGCTTATTGCCCAAGCTGTCCTGTTCAACCAACCACGAGGCCTCGTCTTGCTGCTTGTGGAAGCCTTGGGCTGTTCAACACACGACCACTCGACACGGCTGACTCTACCACATTGACACCCACACCATCTTCGTCATTTCTTTCCTGGCAGTGATATAAGTATAGTGATACCCCTTCTCAGGCTGCGCCAGACCGATCACCCTGTAGTGCACTTGATGCTCAATGACTCAAGACGGGGCCGTTTTCCTGTCTAGCGATGTGACGCCATCTGATTCCGTCTTGCTGTAGGTCAATCAATATCCGGGTTTGCCTCGGCTGCATGTCATGAGCACCGTCTGTCCGTCTTGTCCTCCACAAGTAGGATCCTGTCACAGGCGAAAAGAGGCCGCCGGGGCGAGACGCTGGGCTATGGGGCAAGTCGCACAGTGGAGTCTTTATCCTATTTACTTGCGCCTGTCAACTCTGCGCCAGAGGCTCGATTGGCCTCACCTCAAGAGGCTTGCGCGGACTACGGCCTGCCCAGGGAAATTGCGAGACGTACGGCAGGGCGTTGGGGCACAAGGGTACCGCCAGCTAGCTCAGCGCGCCTCGCTTCGTGATAAATAACCTCAGCTGGTGGTATCACGGCCGGGCAGATGTTGACCATGATGGTAGGTGGGCTTCCCTGCAGACCTACGTGGGCAGGGCAGCGCTTGCACAACAAGAACTTGTCCATCGTGGGTCTCATGCAACGTCTGTGCCACTGCGCTGGACTGCCGACAAGGTCATGGATAAGATCAGACCCAAATGCCAGTTGATTAGTCTCTCGCGAGCATAATGACATATTCCCTGGTGCTAAGGCCGAACTTGATCACATCCTTGGGCCTCAGCTCAAGGTATCGTCGGTCTGGCACCTTCTCACCGTTCAGCTCGGTGCCGTTTGCACTCTCCAGATCGATCAGGTACGGCTTGACCCTCCCGATCCTGTCGCCAAACTCGTTCCTCTTCTCCGTGTGCCGGAACTGCACCACCGCGTGCTGCTTGGAGATGCTAGGATGCTCGGCGACCATGTCCACTATTGAGGCCTCCCTCCCCACAAGCCAGCAGCTCCGGGTACCCAGCTCGATCGTGTCCACGACATCGTTGCCTTTGAAAATGAAGAGTTTCCAGTCATCGCGCGCCGGGGGCTTGCGGGCCTCTGGCGGCTCGTGATACTTGAGCGTAATAGTCGTTCCGTCTGCTTGCGTGACCGAGTTGGAGGCAGCAGCGAGCGCACCTGTATTGCCGAAGTTGGGTTTTTCCTTGGGTTTCTCGGGTTCTTCGCCGTTGCTGACTGCGAAGGAGTCCGCCTGCGACGGCAACGGACCAGTTCGTCTGACGACTGGCTGGCTGTCGTCGCGTCCATCCTTGCGTGTGCTCATTTCCTGATGGCGGCTGCTTTCTTTGCGCCCGGTCCCGTCACTGATGTCGGCTTCCAGCGAGCGTGGTCTTCTCCGTCGTCGTCGTCTACGTGACTCTGTGTCTTCAGGCGAGCCCGAGTCCCGTCTTGTTCGCCTATTGTCTCCATCTCGATCTCGCGACCTCTGCCTCGTGGACTGAGGGCTCCTGGAACGCCTCTTGTGAAGGTGGCGGTCTCGATTCCTCTCTGTCGACCTGTCGCGCTTGGTGTGGCGTTCTGGCGAGGCGCGGTCACGGTCGCGATGGCTTCGCTTCCTCGTCCGATCGTAGTCGCTGTACTCGTCGTTGCCCTCGTCAAGTTGATGCTTCGCCCTGTGCGAGTCACCTTGATCATAGATCTTTCCAGAACCCATATTGAAAAAGTTGGCCCAGGACCGGGCGTGTTGGCCCGAAAAGATGTTTGCCGGTCTTGCAGAGTTGAGGGCAGCTCGTACCAGAAATGCAGCCTACGGCCAAATACAACAATAAAGTAACGCCTTTTGCTTGGAGTATTGTTGGGAAAAGAGAAGGATGACTGGAGGGTTGGGCCGGCGGGGAGGTCAGCGGGGGAAAGGGTGTGGTAAATGCTTCGTGTACGCGATACTTGTTGCTTGAAGATCGGCCACGCCAGCTCGCGGGGATCCTAAGGGTTTATCAGATACTACACAGGCCGATCTCAGATGAGATGTTGTCCTGCAAGAAGTTATTTCACTGAGGATATATCATTGGGGGGTTTTTCCATTGGAGACTTTCCAGCGAAGGGTACGTCTACTGGGGATCCCACTTAGGGCCCGTGCAGCAGACCACCTACCCAGGCACCACGCCAGTCAGGCCGTCAGCCAGGCCTGACTCCCAGCTCCCAGCTCCCAGCTCCCAGCTCCCAGGACAGAAGAGAACAGCATAGCACTGTACTGCGCTCGTACTTGACTGCGCAGCCACAGGGAGCCGAAGCACACGACCACCACACTCCCTTTCCTCTCCCGGCTCGAGACGCTCTGTGACCTATCTGACCTCCCTTTCCTCGAGGCTGCCTTCCCTCATCAGGTATGTGAATCGACGTGGTCTCGTCTAATTCACGCTCAACATCTCCTCCAGGCCGGCGACGACAACGCCATCTAGGATTATTCCAGGGGTCCTCTGCCTACCTGCCAGCCCAGCCAATCTCCGTCCGTGGGGCTGCGAAATACGGGCCATCTCCATTTCGTCGTCCATACTCTCGTACAATCAATCCATCAGCGCGCCTGGCCTTTTCCCAGCAGGCAGCACAGCGCCATTGCACTCGGAGGAATTAGACTCTCTCGCCTACGTTACGCACTGGGCCTGGCACGTCGTCGAGGCTTACTTTAGTCCCTCGTCCCGCTACATTGACCCCCGATCGCGACGACGTCCGCAACGCGGCTCAGTCACCGAGCCCAACACCCTCGTCCTCCCCGAAAACCCGCGCCCCGAGCTTGGGCACACTCGTCGCCTTGGCCACCTCACTGCACTCCACGGCTTTGACGGTTCGCGATCGAGTCATTCTGGCCCACGAATTCTGGCCACACCCATACCGCCCAACACACGCACACCATCTCTACACACACCACAATGTCATCGTCTTCGGGTTTGACCAGACGCAGGGGCGGTGGCGGCGGCGTTGCTGCTGAAGGCGAGAGCAGCAACGGTGGCATTCAGCGAAACAACTCCTCAAGCAACTTTGATAGTGCCCCGGAGACGAGCTACGAGAGCAACGAGAATGGCCACAAGATCGCATTCGACCCACGGGACATCAGCGAGAGCACAGAGCGCAGCAAGCAGCCCAAGTTGACTCTGATGGAGGAGGTTCTTCTGCTGGGCCTCAAGGACAAGCAGGTTCGTTCTGTCTCCCCTCTTGTTGGTGGAAATACTGGCGCAAAGGCTCAACCCGATGCGACCGTGCTGTGACTGCGACTTTGTCTGCATCTGCATCTGCGTCTGTGGTGATGCTAATGTCTCGGGCCGGTAGGGGTACCTTTCTTTCTGGAACGACAACATATCGTACGCTCTTCGGGGCTGTATCGTCTTGGAGCTTGCCCTCCGCGGCAGGATTAGCATGCAAAAGGATCCCTCGAGAAGGCGCTTCCCCTTGCCAGACCGTGTCATTGAGGTTGTCGACGATACTTTGACGGGGGAGGTGCTACTAGACGAGGCCCTCAAGATGATGAAGGCAAGCGAGAAGATGAGCGTCAGCTCATGGATCGATCTAATGAGTGGTGCGTAAGCCATTAGGCTCAGGGTCCAGATCTAGATCCCACCCGGGTCCCCCTCTCTTGGTGTCGGGCCGCTGACTTGTGCTCTGGTTGTTGCAGGCGAAACGTGGAACCTCATGAAGATCGGCTACCAACTGAAGCAAGTCCGTGAACGGTTGGCGAAAGGGCTCGTCGACAAGGGCATCTTGCGCACCGAGAAGCGCAACTTCCTGCTCTTCGATATGGCAACGCATCCGGTCGCCGACGGCGGCGCGAAGGAAGAGATCCGGCGGCGCGTCAGGAACGTTCTCACACAGAGAACAGTCGTCCTTCCCGCATCACAGTGGCTCCCCGAAAACCTCGAATTCCGCTACACACGAACAATCGCCATGGTATGCGCTGCTTACGCGGCTAATGTCCTCGAGAATGCGCTGTCCACTCTGGGCCATGAGGCCAGGGAGCGCGCCTTTGCCCAGACGGATGAGCTTCTGGCCGAATACAGCCAGTTTCCGTTTGGGAAGAAGGCTACTGGGAACGGGATTGGCGCTAACCTGCCCCAGGTCATCTCTGAGGTTGGTGTCTGCGGCCCGTAGCTTGTGACTGAGTCCGGTACACTGACAGTTTCTTAGGAGGTCAACAAGGCCAAGGACAAGGAGCTTCAACTTGAGGTTGTGGCTGCCTGCCTCAACGTCTTCACCCGCCTCGACTCTCTCCTGTAATGGGATGAGCGAGGCTTCGCAGACACAATGAATCAGTACAACCCCTAATGACAGTCTTGCTCTGATCCAACATAAAAACGGACCCCTCAAGCACTAGACAATTCGAAGCTATCGAAGCGGCTGGGTTGGCACCTGGAAGAGACTCCATGGACATCAACCGCTCTAGGAACGGCTGCGGAAGAAGGATGGGTGTAAGCGAATGGGTTTTATTCATGCGAACGGCCGGGCGTCCTTTCAACTCAGCGGCACGGGGACATGGAGGAACGACGGCAAAGGGGAGGCTCTAGGGACGCAAAACTAACGAGAATGGCATTGTCGTTATGACCAGAAAACAAAACCCATATTATCCCACTTCGCGGGTGGACCAAAACCAGGAGTTTTCGCAGGCCATCTTTTCTCAAACACTGGCATAATTTTTCAATCACTTCATTTGACACCTTGGCTGATGCTTGCTTGCAAGTGGTTGCTGGACATGATAGTTCTCGTGATTAAGTATGCAATGGCCGACCAGCATCCGTGATCCACTTGTGCCTTTTTTTTCCCCCCCGCAGCTATGCTGTTCACCACCCGTGTGACGCCGTAGTTGTAGAAGCAAGATATGTACAATTCCTCCCCAGTCTATTCCTACCAGTGAGTCGGCGATAGTATGGAAGCTACCAAAACCCCAGTCGCTGCCCGCTCCTCTTTGGCCATTCTACTTTCTCCTGCCAAACCCGCTACCCTCAAAGCCGGGCCGGCTTTTCTTGGCCGGTGACTTGCCACCGCTCTTCTTCTTGCCTCCCTTGCCCGCCTGCTTAGTCTCCTTGCGCTTGCGAATGTTTTCTTCGCGTTTCTGCTGGCGTTGTTTCTGGGCGTGCTGCACGCCCTGGATACGATCGTTCCACTCCTTCTCGCTCTTCTTTTTGGCCTTGTCCTTGCGCTTGACGGCCTTCTTGAGCAGGGACTCGTCATTGTGGACCTTTTCTCCCTCTGCCTTTTTCCTAGCAGCAAGCCACGTCTCCTTCTCTAGGACGTCTTTCCGCTTACTGTCGTCCAGGGCTGCAAGACGCTTCTTTTGAGCCTCGAGTTTCGCGAGTGCCCCCTTGGGATCCATCGGACCCTTCTTCTTGCCGCTCTTGTCCTTCATGTAGCTCAGGTCGTGCGACATTTGTGTCCCGTCGGCAAATGCGACACGTCCGAACGAGAAGTTCAGGTCGTGCTCCGGCGAGCCAAAGCTGAGCATCGGCGAGTTTCGCGCGCTTGCCAGCGCCTCCTCGCGCTTCTTGTCCTCGGCCTCCTTGGCCTGCTGCCGGAGTTCCTTCTTGTGCGCCTTGCGCTCGGCAAGCTTCTTGCGTCGCGACTCGATGAGTTCTTGCCGCGTGCGGATCGGCGTACCGTCAGGTCCATCTGCCTTCCGAGCCGCGCGCAGGGCCGCAATCTTGGCGGCCAGGCGGGCGCGGAGCTCGGTGGTATCGGACGGGATTTTGATTTTTCTGGACTTGTCGGCTGGTGCGTTCTCGCTGGCTATTGACGTTGTGGTGCTTGCGGGCTCAGCGGAGGGCTCGCCGGGTTCGGTCGTGTCGAAGGTAGGAGACGCAGGTGTGGAGACCTGGGATGACGATGTTTGATTTGCGTCCTCGTCGGTCAAGCCCGATACATCGATGGGCCTCATGTCCTTGCGGGTTTGAGACTCCTCCCCTTCTGCTGCTTCCCTCGACTGTCTGACACCATCTGGCACTATCGAGTCATCTTCGTTTCCTGGTGCAGAGACGTCGTCCTCAGCTGCGTCGTCCTCAGCTGCGTCGTCCTCAGCTGCGTCGTCCTTGTTGACGGCTTTCGCAGTCTTTGACTTCTTCTTCTCGGCATTTTTTTCTGTCTTTTTCTGCTTCTTGAGAAGCTTTTTTTCTTGATGCGTTGATAGCTTCGCCGCCTTCGCTTCGTCGCTCGCCTTGACTTCCTCGTTCGCTTCATCATCAACCAACTTCCGCTTTTTGAGACCTTCTCCTGGCGTCTCCTTGCTGATACCTCGCCGTTCTAGGTCTACAGCGTCATCGTCGTCCTGGACACTTCCGTCCTCGCTTGGCTCGAGCTCTTGTGCCTTTCGCTTGTTTCGGATCCGCTCGTCCAAAACCTCCTTGGCGTTCCGGTTCAGCGCGCTGTCAGGATCCAGCTTGCTCCGCTTGGCAGCTCTTGCTTGCTCCTTGGTCTGCTTCTTTCTCTGCCACTGATCCTGTAGTGATGACGTGCGGTGTGAGCGGGGTGGCACAGAGAGAGCATGTGGCCTTGTAGGAGTGGGGTAGGCTGAGGAAAGACATACACTTGTGTCTTCTCCGTAGTATAGCTTGGCTGGAATCAGGGACAGCAGGCTGTCAAAAGCCTCCGAATGGTCGCGCAGGCGATCCTGTAGATTTGTGCGGGTCAGTTGCCATGCGCCCTTGGCCGCGGAACTGGTGAGGTAGCCGAACCTTTAACGATGAGTCCGTCATTTTGTGAGCAAGGCTCTACCGCGCTGATGCTGCCTGAAACAGAGTGGAAGTGTCTCTGAGGACGAGGGTGTGCAGCTGGGGGCAGTCCGTTCTAAGTGGTCATTCTACTCGATGTCGCCTGTTCTGGGAATATGTCCAATCGATCCATGGCGGTTGGAATATTTTTTGGGTGGGGATTCGAAATCTTGGCGCGGTCTTATCTCAGGTTGACGCTCTTATCTCAGATCGACGTGCCCTAGTAGTCTGCCAGCCTAGCTCGAGCCTAGAGTACCTAGGTACCTGTTGAGGACTTGGGAGCCAGGGGTCGATTAGCCGCGCTTGGGCCCGATGGACCCACCCGTCCCGTCCAAAGACACCGGAGGTCTGCGCTGGGATAAGCGCACCCCCAGTCCAAGATCCTGCTGCGGTTTCCTGCTACAAGGGCTGGTACACTTGGTACCTAGGCACATCTGGCATAACTCACCGTGGCGCTTGTGAGCCTAGGAATTGTACCACACTCGAAATCGCAGTGAAAATGGGCAGACTTCCTGAGCAGTGAGACTTTGCACAATGAATACCACTGCCGTTCTAAGGGCCACAGCACTGTCTGCCTTTGCTGAACTACAGACGGAAATGGATGCACCCACACCTCTGCGTGTGGTTTGGCCCTCATATGATGACTTCCTGATTCCAACAAGCTTTTATTGTTTCCGCTCCTCAGCCTTCTTTCCTTCCCATAATCCCAAAGGCTCCCAACGCCGACTCGCAAGCACGATACCCGCGTTGTTGTGTACTTGTTCCAACCAGGCAATACCCACAAAACTCCTAACGCTATGCTGTGGTGCACATCACTCATAAACATCTTTCTTGTTACAGCGTCGACCAGACACTTCTTCCCTTGAATGACATATCCTCTGACTTGTAAGCTCACGATTATACACATCAGACTCCTTAGTCGTCTTGTCAACTGCCTACATGCTCAGCCATACACGAATCTTGATAGGTCCAGGCGGCTGCTCGATTTGTGGGATTCCTCGTCAAGTCCAAGCGGTGGATCATTCTCCTCGTCGCCATCGGGGACGATTTGATCCTCGCTGCCGCCAGATTTGTTCAGTGCCTCAACCTCTGCTAGATCGACCTTTGGCAAGGGCACAAAGACTGGATTGAGCGGTAAAGACTCCATGGCATCCTTTAGACTCTGCCGCTTCCTGAATATTCCAGCAGATGGCTTTGCTTTGAGGGAAGGTGAAAGACTGCCTTTATGCCGCTGCAAGGCCTGAGCACCAATCCGTTGCAAAGGAGTCTGATTCGGAGTATCCGCTGAGGAACGGCCACGTGGTCCTGACTCAAAGCCCTGGGTGCTGGAGGCTGGCGTGGGAAGCCCGAAAGCCATGCGCGTCTTAATTGCGGTTTTGGGCAAGTCTGAGGTGCTCGAGAACTCTTTGATCAAACCGCGTAGTGACTCCTTGGATCTCACCTCTTTCGTGGTAGCTGCTTCAATTGCCAACTTATCTCCAGTGCGGACGGACTCCACTTGGGATCTGACGGGGCTGCCCCGGACAACGTCCTCGTCGTTGGTCTTGTCCGCCTCCGTAGTGCCCGATGATCCTGACGAAGTCGCGTCCTGGAAAATTTGCATTGCTTGATGGCCCCCCGACGCTCTCGATACGTTCCACTCCCCGCTTATGTCAGGCAAGCTCGCGAGTGCCTCATCGATCGAATCATCAGAAAATGCAGTAGTATCGGAGGCTTGCTGATGGGTAGACGATTGTTCAAGAGAGAAGAATCTGCTTTTCCGAGGTGGCTGATTTGCCTCCTCACTTTCTCTTTCATCCTCACAAAGTCGTGCTTTCTTCAGTGGCCTTCCTTCAGTTACCGAGATGCGCCTGGTCGGCCCGGCTGTTCGTCGACGGGTCGACGATAGACTCATGGATGGGTCGAGATCAGAGAGCGTCTGAGAGACAGGTTCTGTTCGGCGACGTTGGATTGAAGTGTATGGGCGAGCCACTGGGGGCCGGCTATCCCCATCGATGTATGGCCTCGGCAGGGGAAACACCCGCGGCGTGAGCCCATTCTGCGTGAGGGCAGCCACTCTCCCGGCATCAAGAGAGAAGCAGTTGCGGTCCATCTCTGCCATGGCGATGCGTCTGTTGTCTTGGAAGTACGCGTCAATGGGCTTACCCAGAGATGGTCTAGCCTGTTGGGCCGCTGTGGCCTTTATGGCTGATGTTCTTGTCGTGTCACTCGTCCCCCTCTTTCCTGGAAGCGGAGCGATGACAATTGGCAACTTGGAAATCGGATCCACATCTCCCAAAGCGATAGCGTTGGCAAGTTCTCGGCTGATTTTGGCGCCAATGTACGGCATTTCCTCGATGTCCAATGTTGATGAAGCAGAAGGCTCGGTCAGGAGGACCAGGTCCTTCTTCTTAGGACAGAAGACACGTTGATACAAGAAAGTCAACTCTGCCTGCTTGTACTGGGCAAGATAGTTCTCTGAGACACGAAACTTGCCGTCAAATTGCAGCATCCGGATCACGCGCTCCGGCGTTTTGTACTTGCGCATCATCCGATACGCTGTCTTGAGCCCCATGTTGTTAATGCCTTCGAGGTAGTCGCAGCCGCTGAAGATGGTCATCTGACGAAACTGATCGTCGGTCCAGCCTGTGAGCGATACTTCACGCACGGCGCAGAAGTCTCTCCGGTTAATCTCGATGCATTGGCCGTGCTGGTCCATCTTGGTGAGCAATCGCTTGGCTCCGAAAACCAACAGGTCAGAGTCTTCTGAGATGATACCGTTTATGAAGCCATGCCGTTCCAGGTAGACAAGTTGAGAGTCAGCCTCGTAGGGAGCAACGACATACGGGACATCTGCTTTCTTCAGCTCCTCAATCAGATGCCTGGCCATTTCCGGGGTGACGTCGATGGCCTTTTGGAGCTCGAGATGGGCCTGCGATGGCTTGCCAGCCTTGATGAGCTCGAGGCCAGCCCTTCGGCTATCCTCGCGACGCTTGGCTCGAGCTGCTTCGGTGTGGGCCTTGCTGGGCAGGAAGTCACCGTCAAAGACCAGGTAAGGGGTGACACCGAAATGTTTGACCATCCTAACGCGATGCATGGCAAAGTCGACATATCTACAGAATGGTCAGAGGGACAGACACAAAGCAATCCAGGGAGGGCAAAGGATGGCATCTTGTCTTACCGGCTGGTGGGCTTCCCCTGTGCCAGCTCTATGGCACAGCTAACAGCGCCTCGATGGAGCCATCCATAAGCATCGACCCCGAGGACCTCACCGGAAAATCTTTTCAGCTCCGTCGGCTTCTGAATGGACTTGAGCAAAGGGAGGAGCCCTGGTGCAGGGATTTAGCGATCTAGGTCTCATTCTGGGGCTGAGAAGGCAGCGATTGATGAGGAAGAAGGTCATGTCATGAGTGCTAGGTACCTTGGATGCCCATTGTCTGCGAGAAGCTTCCTGCCGGCGAGTATACGTGTGGGTGGAGGGCAGGATTGTCGAAGCCAAATCATCAGGAGGCCATGCGTAATGTTGCAGGTGGGCCGAATGTACTGTGCAGTTAGGGTGGAATTGAATGTTGGGCTAGAAGTCGGTCTGGTTCAGCCCACGGCAGGACGGGCGAAAGGGGGAGGGGGAGGACGAGACGCGGTCGAGGCGAGGATGCGTGTGTGTATATGTGCCGATGTTTACTTTGCAACAGGCGCGGCACCAGTTAGAGCCACGGATAAGTGAGAGGGTGCAAGCGGGCAAGACGAGTCGGGCAAGACGAGTCGGGCAAGGGTTGGGCAGGAGGCAGCTCTCGTGGCCCTGGAGGTGATCATACATAGGATCAAAAGACCTCTGCGGCCAAAGTGCAGACGGAAGGAAACCTCACGAGAAGTAATTACTACTAGTCTAGTCCACAGTCCACATCACGTAGCGGGCAGGCGCGTCTGTAGCTCGCGTTCTGGTGGGCCCTACACTACGGGCTGTGGGGCGCCTGCGACAGTGCTTACAGGACTTCCTGTTCCAGTCAAGCCAAGACTTTCCCCAGCAACGGGGCTCCAGGGACGGACCCTAGCTCGAGAACCCTGCTGGTGACCCCTGCACACGGCCGAGATGGAGGGGTGGGAAGGGGAGAGAGAAAAAAAAAAAAGGACGATAGCGTATCTGACCGATATCTACATCTTAGATGGACCTACTACCTACATTTACATCGACTTCGATTTCGATTTCGACAAGCCAACGCCCTTCCTCGCGCGATCCATCTGCTCCAAGTCTCTCCTACCCAAAACTTTTGCCCCAATCCTCAACTCAAAATGCCAAAGTCCCTGGAAAAGACCAGGAAGCGCATTGCCAAAAAGCGGAATGGCAACGTCGTTCTTCATGAGTTCTCCCGCGACACCAAGAAGCTCCACAAAGCTCAAGTCCGTGACGAGCGCCTCGAAAAGCTCGCCGCCGCCAGGAAGAAGCATGATCAGCCCCTGAGTCCGCCACGCCCTGCCCTGCCCTGCCCTGCCCTGCCCTGCCCTGCCCGGCTGACAATCGTGCCCGCTCAGTCCACAGAATCACCTTTTTTCAGAAGGCTGCCCAGGAAAATGAGAGCATACCCTTCGATATGGAAAAGATGCAGGAGTACATCAACCAGTAAGCTATCATGCTTCATATCTCACGGATGGACCCCTGACCACGACACAGATACGTACACCAGCACGACCAAGAGCTTGAGCAGCTCAAGAAATCGCGTCGCCCCGGAAGACCGGCAAGTGTCAAGGAGGACCTTCTCAGCCTGAAGGTCGAGACTCTTAGAAAGGAGCAACAGAACGGATTCTGTATGTTGCGGCAATGCCGTCAGCCCCGTCTCTGCAACGGATGCCAACTAACGCCATTGAAGTTCTCCCAGATCTTTCAAAGCAAAACAACATCGATTTGCTCAATAGATGGGAAGGTGCATGGTCCTTTTTAGCGACCATGTCGTACATTCGCATCTCAGAGGCTGGCACCGTCAAACCGTCCAGCTTCCCACCCAGCAGCCAGTGAGGGCCAGCACCTGGGCTGTTGGATGTCACTTCCTCAACGCCGCTGATGGCGCCGGACTCCGGTCCTTTGGCTCTCTATGCTGTCTTTCCCAGCTGTTAGCCATGATCTGAACCCCCTCAATGAAAGGTCCGTTCAAAAGGGCGACGTCAGCTCAGACTGCCCAGCCTGTGTCGTCCAGCCCCGCGACGCTACAGACGCTATTCAAGCCCTTTTAAGCTTATTACTTGACAGTGCTGCCGAGCCTCAGTAATGTGTCTATTTGGGGTGTGAAGGGCTTCAAAATCAAGTAAAACCTCAATCGGTATTGATTACCGTGTTCAGGGATAGCTGGAAGGGCTTACTCAAAGCGAGAACCACTTTGTTGCCCACAATACCTAGCTGAAGGTCGCCGTCAACTCGTCACATCCCGGGAAGTGCCCTAGCCTGCAGTGCTACAAAGCTCACGCATTTTCGCTCACAACAATACTGGCCCAGGGTACTGCAAGACTTGGTTACTAGTCTATCAAACCCTGTCAGCATGAGATCCGCAGTCAATTGAACTGCAGCCACGAGACCTTAGTGACCACGAAGCCCAGCTTACGCATATCGTCTGAGTTGTGGCCACTCGCCCGCTCACCGCGGCGCTCCTCATCATACCAGACCTCCAGACTTCAGGGTCTTGCTTGTGAGCGTGCAACATTACATTACGACATGGCAAAGGTCTTTCGTCCCCTTTTTGCCGTCTTCGACTTCCTCAGCCCCTGCTTCCGTCCCAAATCCACACCAATGGAATTGGCTGGAAGCTACAAGTATCTCGTGTGATGGCTGGTCTCCCTCGAATGAGAAGACGTTTATGCTACAAACTAAGCCAATTTCGAAACTCCGTGGCCACGTCGATATCTGTGGCTCGCGGGACAATATGGCGGGAAATTGGCGGCCTCTAAATATGCCAATTATGTCATGACTTTCTGTTTATGTTTGTGTAGTCTGCTATGACTAGCACATGTATCGGAAGACGAGACGTCAAAGGAGGACCAAAATCCACGAACAGGAATCTGCGTGTCAGGGCCATGAAAAGCTCTTTGCTTAAAGTCAAAATAGTTCCATATCATCGGCGTCTCAATTTGCAATCTTGAACACATCACATCAGGTCACATCATGAGATCTCTGCACAATAATCCTGCAAAATCAGACCCCATCAGATTGTTACAAAAGCTCTGACTGGCAAGTCTAATGGACCTGTCTACAAGGATGACAGAGATTGAACTCTTCAGAAGCAATTTTGCAGCTATGTGACACGCATAAAACCCTGTACTCTCTTTCGAGGCAAGGAGACGGTCATAATTTCTGAAGATGCTTGCGCAGATGAGCAGCCAAGTGGTGTACTTGGAAGCTATGGGACCGTAGACACATGCCGCATGAGACGGCAAGCCGGTTCTGAGTGTGCAAGGACAGCGAGGTGACGGCCAGAAGGCCCTCATGAAGAGCCTCGGCACGAATGACCCAAGTCGACGTGGGTAGCCACCAGTAATGCTTTTCCGGGAGGATCTCTGATAATGGGGAAAGGGAAGCGCTCGCATTGACCGTACGTTGTGGTTCGGACTCAAGGGGGACACTTGGGATGAACATGTACAGCTCGCAAGGTTGCCAAACTTGTTTGAATAAAGAACGCATAGACATGGGTGTATGATATAGTCAAGTATCCCATAATATGCCATGCCTCATCTAATAGGGTTGGCCCATAGTTAACTATTACATTGTAGACTATTCCATTGGAATGTTGTACTGGCTAAGTAGTTGTGCTGAAGACCAAGCCACATGTCGTGCAAATTAGTATAAATAAGCCTTGTTTCCTGCGGCGCCCTTGATACTTCTGAAGGGCCTATTATCAATTTCATTGCATGCAGTGGTTTCCTTGTTGATTTAAACAGTGTCGCCTTGGTATTCTGATGCCGCGCTCTTTACAAGCTCAAAATGCGACCAAACTTCAATGATAGAGACTGAGTAGAGAACTTGACTAGCAGTGACTAGGTACCAAGGCACCTAGGTAGTTTCTAGATTCTCTGCCACGGGCTTAGTCATCACCAATTGGCAGGGGCCTACTGATTCTGGCCCGTGCTGGTCCATGCTGGCCCATGCTTAGGTAGTCAAAAAAAGCTACCAGCCCAGATCCACCTTGCCTAGCATCATCGTCAGAAGCTCATTCTTGTCCCTCATCCCAGCTCTTTTAATGAAAATTTGATCTCCTCAATCACATCCTGTGTTGCGTGCTTTGACATTCAGCTTCGGCAGCCTCTAAGCAGTCTTCCTTCTTTTCAACACCACTTCAGTTCTCCCCCCTAACCACACAACATGTTCCCCGCACGATCTCTGGCGCGCGCTGCGCCCAGGACCGCGGCGCGCCTGTCTTCCGTCGCCAGACCTGCCACCGCCATACACAGTGCCCTGCTGCGCAATCAATACAGAACCTCCAGGTCACAGGTCTCGGCTTTTTCGACTTCTCTGTTCCGACGAGCCGCCTCTGGCGCGGACAGTGAGCTGAGCGCAAAGCTGAACAGCGAGATCCAATTCGAGACCGAGATGAAGGAGAACGAGCCGCAACCAGTCAGCATCAAGGACTTCCTTGATAACAGCCCATTCGAGATCCAAGACACCCCTGGTGTGCAGAACGTCGTTCTCACCCGCACATACAACAACGAGAAGTAAGATGCTCGCTTGTTGTGCACTGGCTATCCCGCGCCGATTCTAACACATCAGGCTTGCAGGATCACCGTGACCTTCTCCATTGCCGACATCGCCAACATGGAGAACGAGATGTTTGATGAGGACTCCGCGTTGGGCGATGAGGAGGCTCGCTCCCAGGAGAACCCCGAGGACATGGACGAAGCCGAGAGTGGTAACGAGCCCAACGTCACATGTCGCCTCAACATCGTCGTCGAGAAGCCAGGCAAGGGCGCCCTAAACATCGAGGCCATCGCCCAGGACGCCAGCATCATTGTCGAAAACATGTACTACTACAACGATCCGGCCATCGCGCACTCGGCAAGCCCCGAGGCCGAGCACAAGAGCCGCGACATCTACCCTGGCCCGCCGTTCGGCACCCTGGACGAGGACCTGCAGCTCCTGATGGAGGGATTCCTGGACGAGCGTGGAATCAACTCCACCCTGGCCGTGTTTGTACCTGACTACATGGATGTCAAGGAGCAGCGGGAGTATCTGGCATGGCTAAACAACGTCAAGGGTTTCGTGGATGCGTGAGGACTCATTCGAGCTGGGCATGGCTTCCTGAGCGCCTGGATAACGACGGACGACCGACTGTAGTCGTCTTGAAACGGATTTCCACTCTAAATTATGAGATTATGTATTATAAGCAGTGGCTTGGGGCAAGGATATTACTTCACATTCGCCGCATTACATACCCCCCGCCCCCAGGGAAAAAAAATTGAAAATGAACAGGAAGCGTTGATCAAGTCTTCTCGAGCAGCACTTGATATATTACAGGTCTGGCACTCGCGGGTGATGGTGTTTCCATTTGGGCCATGAACGCGACGTGACATATATTTGTAGAGGGGTTGTTTGGTTGAGCAGGAGCTACAATAGCAACAACACATCCTTGGGCCAAATTCACAGAGAGACGACAACCCCGTTTGATACATGCTTTCTTAGTCATTTATCTGATATGTCTATGCTGGGCGTCCTGCCCTAACCTTGCTATGCCCCCGGTTGCTCTGCAGATGCTATTTTCTAGGTGGTCAGTCCAAAGGTGGTCGGCCTCCTGACTCGCACGGACCACGGCGGTCTCTGCGACTTTGTAAGTGCCTGCCCTCTATTCTCATGTCTTATGCCCGTGACTCGCCCGAAATGCACGCATGTAGTCTATAGTGCAGACCGACGCCGGGGAGAGGTGCAGCAGGACGCGCCTTGGGAAGACTTCGCCGCAGCGTGTCACCCGGTCATCTCAGTTATAGCGCGCTCTTACGCCGGGTCCTTTTCCAACGCCTCCAGCTCCTTGAGGACGGATACCTTGGTCCCAATCTTTTTCATCTGTGTGTCCTCTAGCTTCTCACCCCCGGCCAGACGCATCTCGAGATCTTCGATCGCCCGAATCTTCTTCTGCAGGCCCCTCATCTTCTTGGCGTTAGGATTCTGAGCCACGTTCGCGCCAGTTTCATCCCCTCGTGCCGGGCCTTGTTCGACCGTCTCTTGCGGCTGATCCCGCCCAGAGGGAGTGTGGTCCCGGAGCCCGTTGCCGCGAATGTTCTCGTTGTTACGTTGCGTGTTGCTGCGGCTACGGCCCTGGCCATTCTGAGGATGGCGCGAGCGGCTCCTTGAGCTCCCGTGATGCTGGCCCCCGCGGCGTTCACCCCTTCGAGTCTCGCCCCCGGATCCACTGCCGTACTCCTGTGACGGAGGGGCTAACCCACCCTCGTTGCCACCCGATGGCTTTCCCTCCGCGTCCTTGGCCTTCTTGTTCCCACGCTTCTTCTTGTTCTTCAAAGCTGTCTTGGACAAGTTCTCGTCGGCCCCAACGACCTCGGCGCCGGGAACGGATGGACGTGCGTGAGCTGCTCCCGGGACCTGGGCCGGCTCCGCGAACTCGGCGCCAGGAACCTGACGACGAGATCGCCCGAACCCGTTCACGCTGGCGGAAGGAGCGCCGTTGCCCATAACATGAGCGGCCCCGCCTTCATCCTCGCGCTTGAAATGTAACGGCGTCAAAGTGCCTCGCGCGCCCGGGGGCCGGTAGGCACCAACGGGCTTCGATGGTGTCTTGACTGTGCCGAGGTAGGCAACCGCAGACTCGTGGGGCGTCGGGACCGGGTTGAGTGGGTCCACGTTCTGGGGCAGCTGGTCGGCCGGCTGAGGCCGCCACATGACGTTGTAAAGCTCGACCATCTCCTCAGTGTACATGATGGCTCCACCAACATGCCACAGTTTTACACCGTTGTCCACACGCAAGCGCGGCGAGGTCGTTGCAGTCATAATGTAGACGCTGTCAGGGCTCCACTGGCAAACACTAGGGTTGCCACTTTCGATGGTGCAGACCTTGCGATGATCCTTTTCGAGGTCGTACACATCGATCTGACCCGCGAGATTACCGAATCCAGCAACCAAGACAAAACGCCCGGTAGGAGAGAAGATGATGGTATTCCTAGGACCCATTGGGAAGGAATGGGTCGCAACGCCTCGGTGGTTGAAAATAGTGGTCTTGGCGGGCATGTACCCGTAAATCACACCGAACTCCCTCCCATTGGGAGACCAAGACACATCATGAATTGGGCCCTCCTTGTCCAGGGTGACACGGGCGTCGAAAGAGCCGTTGGCGCTCAGCAAGTACATTGTGGTCTCTCCGTAGTAGCTCTTGTTCGACTTGTCAACGTCCGTTTGGGCCAGCACAATCAAGCTGGAGCCCTGCTGGTTCCACTTGAGCTGGACCTTGTCTCCCTTGAAAAAAGTCTTCTGGGAGATGGGGTTCGCGAATTGGGGAACATTGAAGACTTTGACGGCAGCGGGTTGGCCCTGTCATCGTTACCGAGAGTCAGCGCAATCACACAGCAAGAAAGAGTGCAAGAATTAGGGGGCGGGCTGCTTACCTTTCTCTCCGGCACAAAGACTGCCAGGTTGTGGGTGGATCCGGGAGCGAGAGCAAAGTCTGTCACACCCTCGACCCTCAGCTTGTTCCAGACGGTTTTGAGGTCGTTGCTGTCGTAGAATTGGACTTCGTTGGTGACGATGCGGGCGCAATACTTCTCATCGGCCGTATACTGGAGGTTCCATCCATTTTGTGACTTTTGCACAAATTGTCCAAGCGGCTGCTTGGCCACCTCATCGGGAGAGGATTCGATGGTGCGCCAAATTTTCAAATTCTTGGCGGCATCGCCAGCCTCGTCCTTGGAAGGTCGTTCCCAGGTGGCAATGAAGGTGCCTCGGGGGGAAAAGCCCAGCTCGTAGACGGCGGTCAGGGGAAGTGAGGCCAAGACCTGGCCGGCGGAGGTGTCAACAACGCTTACGCCCTCATTAGAGGCCCAGGCGAAGTACCGGCCGCAGGGAGAGTATATGCAGCAGCGCAGGTTCCCTTCGGGCTTGACAAACCCAGGAAGAGGAGCGTAGGCAGGCGCGGCATCGAAGACGCCGATTGCCTTTTGGGTCCGATAGGCGAACTGCAACGGACTGGCCATGACTAGTTAAAGTCACAGGTGATCGTGAAGCAGGGAGGATGGATGGATGAGGAACGGTCGGGTCGGTACTGTTCAACTGGTTTTCGATTACGGTAGGGGTGGAGTCCCGTCGATTCCCTGATTTCTTCGCGTGGATGTCCCTTGTCGAGAAGCCCGGCGGGTTGGCGGAAAAAAACGCTGGATTGGACGGTGTGCAGACAGCCGATGAGTCGAAGGCTCGAGTAACAGAGAGGAGCAGAACTGGAGGCTTAGAGGCGGTTGGCAATGCTTTGACCTTGACCGGGCGTGTATCCTTCTGCGTGACTTGTTGAGCCAAGAGTGCGCCGGTGACTGAGGAGGCGAGACGAGGAGCGTCAGTGACTGTTGACGACAGAGCGGATGGAAGCCTTCAAGTCAGGTTGATGCACACGACCTGGTCCAAGAGATGCGGGCTCTAGTGACGGCCTCTCTGGCAAGCAGTGTTCTCCGCTGGCAAAGTTGATGCTGGGCGTCGAAGACGATGACAGGCCGAAGGAGAGCTGCGCAGCGTGGGAGGTCGAGGCGGCGGCGGCGGCGGCGGCGGCGAGACGAGGCGGGCTGGGGGTGACGGCTTGGGGACAAAGAAGCTACCTACCTAGGATGGTGGCTGAAATGGACCACACACAGGAGGGCAGGGGAGAATGAAAACCAGGTGAAAGAAGAAAATGCTAAGGAAAGCACCCGCGGAGGGACAATTGGCAGCGCGGCAGGGTGCGGTGGGCGAGTGTCTTGGACCTTGCTTGGGCTGGGGAAAGGAAGGGAAGGGGAAAAGGGAGGACAGGAAGAGAGGTGAGGCGAGGCAGGCGAGGCAGAGGCAGAGTTGCAGCCGTGCCCGTGCTTGTTGTTTTGACTCGCCAAGTTTTTTTTTTCCCTTTTCTATTTTTTCTCTCTCTTTCTCTGCTGGCGCCGTGGACAGGTACCTGGATGGCTAGGCTGGGCTGGGCTGGCCGCCCTGCTGCTCGCCCTGCTGCTCTGGCACTCCGGGTAGGGACCAACCTGGGCACAGTCAGCACGCCTGGGGCCCTCGGGCACCTGCCTGGGCGGTCTTGGACCCCTACCTGGACTACTAGGTAGGTACTGGGGTAAAGGCAGAGGCTGCTCGTCACCTGGGCAAGGTCATCTGTTAGTCTTGGCCGTAAGCATATATGCCCGCACTAACAACCCAGCCCGGCTTCTGTCTAACCTAGTGCTGTTTCGGTATCCGGCCCAAGGTCCCAACATCTCAGGACCGTGTGTCAGGCCTTCGAGCAATCCTCAATCAGGCATGGCTCCCGCATGAAATGCCGTACGCCGTGCATACCCTGGTACCTGGGTACTTATCTAGTCACAGTCTGTCTACGTAGACTATATAGATATTCAACTGGTCATCACAAGCATACAAAGGTAGCCAGTCTATACACAGGACCTGTCTGAACCGTTTCTTCAGGACTATGAGACCTTTAGAAATAACTGCCCTGCCACCTGGGGCCGACCCATTCACCATTTTCTTACGTACTTCTCTTTAAATCGCCGTGGTGTCTGGACATTGACCGCGGGGCATCATCTTCCACACACACACACACACACACACACACACACCCCCCCAGTTTCCCACTCGGCCGAGACCAATACCCGGCTCAGAAACCCATGCGTGGCCCAGCATTCCTCAGCGACATGCATGCTCAGCCTCGTCCCTTAGGCTGCTGTATATGTGCGCATACACACCCACTTGCGTCGGAGTCAGAAGAACTTGACCGGGACCACTCTCCGGGTGGTCAGGCGTGTTTGTACTACTCTGTTAAGCGTGGATGGTGATGATCCGCTCATCAACAGTGCCTTTCCGAAAATACTGGGCAGAAGTCGACCTTGGTATGCCTTTTCATGAGGATAGTTAAGTTTCACCGCCCTTTCTCCTAGGCTTCTTCGATGTAAGCCCACCGCGACAAAGCTTGTTACCCGTCCAGGCTCATCGCCTAGGGCGATCAATTGCTTTGCAGCCTCGGCGCCAGTTTAGATGCCATGAGATACTCGGGGAAGTTTGCCTGCAGCTGGAGTCGGCTGAGGGACGAGATTGTTCCAAATTCATATGTTCAAGAGGAAACATTGAGTCTTCGATTGGGGCACGTGGACTCCAGTAGTGTGTACATTAGTCTGGCTGCTTCAGCGACGTCCTCCACAAGCTCACCTCTAAATCTGAAATGCGCATCTATTCCCAGAAGACTTACCTCTAATGTATGACTCTTCACAATTGCGAGCAGCGGGACGACTTGACGAGTCCGGCCATCATGCTGGCTATTGGGGAGGAGATCAGCATTACAAATATGCATGTCATGACCGTGGCTACTTCCTTACTCTCGGCGACGGGGATATCGGTGTTAAATGATAGGCTTTCTGATTAATTATAGCTCATGCATTTGACAAAATTCCTCAAGAGCGAATGAATTCCCTCTCCGACCAAGACCGCAGCAGTCACTCGACAGTAGGGACTCGGTGTGGGGCTGGGTTACCTGGCCAGTCCATGATGTCAACTCATGGTTAGAATAGCTTTCTGGTGTCATGATTACCAACACATGGTTGATCCGAGTAAATTGGGATTATCAGGTAGAAGTAAGTGATAACTCGCACTGTTGCTCGAAAGAGAAAACCCCACCGGCAACGACATTTCCTTTCTCGATAAGCGGAATTTTTCACGGGAGGTTTGATCTGGGAAAACCCTCCTGACCTTGAATCAGCCATGGTCCTCAGCCTTCCCAATTCATATTCAAATTTAGCCTCCGAGGTTTTATCCCTTTGTTGTTAGTTTTTTGGTTTGCCAAGCACACACTTCGTTTAGTCCTCCTACACAATATGAGCGACCTGATCGATTTGAGAACCTCCAAAAGATTGCCCCTGCTCTACCTAGACTGAGAAGGCTCTGTACAGAGCGATGTTATGTCCAAAAGGATTCAATATTAGTATTTGCCTCATCTGTATAAAACATACCCGGGAAAGTCCACCTTACGCTGACAGAAAACGAAATCTATGTTAACAAAAACACACAGTGTTGTGATAAGTACTAATGTTTACGAGTCGATATATCCGCACATATCTTGTCGCCTGATTTAGTAGTGAATAAGGGGTCAGTGAATAAGGGGATCAGTCACGTGGGGGTCGTACCGTTTTAAATAGGGTGCCCTGGGGCACTTCTACCCTCAGAACCACAACCAAGCCCACTTCGAATACAAACAATCGCTTATTTGCCAGACCCAGTCTTCCCTACCACACCTGACCTCTGAAACTCATTGTAGCAGGCCTTGCTGCTGCTTTCTTTTCCTTTTTGACACAGTATCGTTTTGATCTTATGGGTGAGAGTACAGGCAGACAGCAAGTTTTGTGCAGAATTTTGGACACGATTATCGAGCAGCCCAAAGCAAGCCGAAGTGAGTGCCCTAAAGTCAATATAGATGTTCAGGTCAAGTCACTTTTATATGGCGCATGTTTAAGCTACCTACGCAGTTTAGCCGACCATTCTTGCTTCAAATGGTCAAAATCCCAAGGGACCGTACGGATTTGGTTGTGGACATCAGGTAGGTCACAATAGCTTGGAATTTCTTGCCCAGGCCTCGCACAAATTATGTTTGAATGAGGGTGCTACACTTCTAAGCCTCGCCTGCAGCGCAGCCATCATATGACGCAGAATTCATCTGGAAGTAGCAAGCTTTTGCATTGATTAGTCTACAGCCAATCATTCAGGACGAATGCTTGCCACTGGGAACCAAAGAAAACCCATGAATCTCGCAAGCCAAGGCATACCAGTCATTTTCCTAACCACATACCCACTGAGCACGCTACATGCCACTCCTACCCTCTTAGACTTCCATGCACAGCGCACTTTACTTGTATTACAACGGCTCGAAACATGACGAAGCAGTATGCCCTTCGATAGGTATTTCTGAATATGATGAACACCAGCAAAACATTACTCTCTGATACGACTCAACACGAAATGTATTACATGAAAGTGTGATAGCGAGTAGTATCTGTATTAGAAACTGAGGCATTATGTAGGTCCCAGTAGCCGACACATATTTCGGTTCACCATGGGCTGCACAAGGTATCAAATCTGGCTTGTCACCGTCTGAAGTGGCCGGACCTTTGTGGTTTTGTATCCAGTCCGAGTAGTCTGGCCCCGTCCGTTCCCCGAGGCTGGACGCGGATACTGATACTGGAGACCCTCAACCCGGGTTCGAGGACCTCGCGGGCTTGTTGTGCGATGGTATTTGTATTTTGTCTGGATGGAGGAGCAGTGGAGCACTATGAATAATTGAAACTGCAGGAGAACACCAAGACCGGGCAGGAAGACCAAAATATGAGGTAGGCCAGGGACATGCGAAAGCGCTTTACAGCTCAAAAATGGGCTCAGTGGACAGGCGCTCGCCCGCCTTCCATGTTTAGCCTTCCAAGGCGAGTCTCGTATTAGGAATGTTGTTTGACCGGGTTCCCGGTGTGCTCACCCAAGCTGTCGCACGCATTCGGCTGCTCGTCCGTCTCGCATCTGTATGACTTTGTGCGGTGTAAGCTCGGCTTGACTCACGCAATTCACCACCACAAATAATGCTGAATGTTGGGTATTGTAAAATATAATTGCGTCTGTATCGGCACCAGGAAGGTAGAAGAGAGCTGATTTCTTGTCTAGCATTGGCAATGCAGCCTGGATGTATGCTAAGCGCCCATCACCAGTCACCCGAACGGTGGATACTTGTGTGTATAAGACCTGTATGTATGTATAAGTGTATGTATATATGTGTGCTTGAGTGTGTCTGTATCTGGCCTTGTTCCACCAGTTCTTGGTAAAAGTGACGCCGACAAATGACGGTCTACAGAGAACAACGCCGCCCCCGATCCAGAGAGCCATGCAACCTCGAATAAAGTGAGCGTGAAGAGCTTTCGTCCACTCAGAACAGCCTGTGGCCAAGCGACCGAGGCTCGCCCCAAGTGACACCAGGAAAGAAGGTTTCACCCTGATTAAAAGTCGTGCCGTACGCCTGGTCAAGACACAATGCCATCCATGTTCCACTCAGCCTTCTGTGCTCGCCTAAGGACCTCCTGGCCTTTCTCGGTCAGCTCGGGCTGGCCGCCGTTCCCCGTCACCTGTTTGAAGAAGACCGGCTTGAAATCCTCCCCCTTCTTTTCCCTTTCCCTGGCCTTCTCGCGTTGCGCTTCTTCCAGATCCTGCTTGATGGTTGTCGCCTTGGAAAATTGCTTGCTGACAATGGCATCTGTCACCCCACTCCAGAGCTTCAGCGACTCGTGAGGGAGCTGCTGTTCCATGGGCGGGAGACACTTGGGTGCCACGCTGAGAGGTTCAATGTCTATAATCGTTGTTCTTGCCTCTGGAGGGTGAGAATCCTGCACGTATTTGGTCAGTACGAACTGTTGACAACCTTGGCAAAAGTCTGGAAACTTACAAAGGGCTTCGGGCCTAGCGTGAATTGAATCTTCTCCTTCCATGCACCGTGTAACCTTACCACAATGTCCTCTTCAGGCACATCCTTTATCTTGGTCTTGTTGTCGTTGTCGGGGTCGTATTTGAAGACAATTCCATCCATTTTGTTGGTCGAGCCTCTCAGCCATCCCTCGTCATAGTAGTTGAGTATTGCCTTCAGCTTTGTCTGCGGGCAGGTGACATAGGCCATGTCTCCCACGCTCACGCTGAGGGCCCCACGGAGGAGACCGCCCAGATGAGCTGCGGGGTGTTTCAACTGGTATGTCTCATTGTTCCTTCTTTCTAAAGTAATGAAAATGCCTAGGTTGTGCTCTCCCGGGCTGACTTTGATGGACGTGCCGGTGAACTTGGCACTGATCTGGTCAAACCCACAGGCATGAAGACCCTTGTCGGGGCAGTCGACATAAAAGGCACTGACTGGAGGATGGTGGGATGTCTGCTCCGTCAAATATGAGATGCGCACTACCGGGGCTGTTGGGTCCTTAGCCGTCTGTGGAACCGATACGGTAGAGGCTGCTCGTGAGCCACCTGAGCCGAGTCCGGCAAGCTTGCCAGACTTCAGGCTGGAGGCACCACTGCCAGGGATACTGCCGCCGGCGGCGGCGTCCTTGGTCTTGATCCTCGGGGCGTTGTCTTCGGCCTCCCAATTGCACTGCACAACGTGAACTGATCAGTGACATGTTGTGGAGAGCAAATAAGGGGTACGTACCCTGAAGAACTCGCCGAGGCAAGAATTGTATGGTTTGCATGGCTTTCCTTTTGCATACTTCAGATCCTTTGTAAACCAGAAGCGTAGAGCTTCCAACATGCGATCGACGGGTTCGTCGGAGGTGCCGATGGCTATGAATGCATTGGGCGCATCGAGATAGTTCCAGTACTCGAGGTTGGGCGTGGGCTCCAAAAGTTGGGAGGGCAGAGAGAAGCGAACAGAGGCGAGATCGGCAACACCGATGAACCTGCACGGTTGAAAGTCAGCATCGTCAACGCAACACCACAATGTCTGCCTAGCATCGCATCGCGGCAGCACCACGGTCAAGCCTCGGACAGCGGGTGGTGGTCCGCGCAACCACAATCCTGGCTGGGGTCGGGGACCTGATGTGGTATTGCGAGGTCTTGCACCCCGTGCCAAACGAGATATGCGCAGGTGGAGCGGCGGCGGCGAGCGAGATGAATGGATGGCGGTGGGCGGGTGGACAAGACACTCACTTCTTCAGGATGCCAATAAAGATGCGTAGCTTGGAGCTGTCGCTGTGGTTTTCCTCTGTATCAGGGGCTATCGTCGGAGGAGCAGCAGATGCTGACATCTTGGAGGGCAGGAGGGGCGGCGAGACAGCGGAACAAAGGGGCAGAGGCCCGGTTTGCAAGGACGAGCCGTCTCTCCTGTGATGACGGCTGCGGTTCCGGGGTGATAGATGGCAACGACTAGGTGAATGTTACGATCAGAGATGGGGGGCGAAGCGCCTGCTGGCTCCGTGGAAGGTGGCTGGACCTTGGTAGGTGTTAGGGACCGGCGGTGTTGCAGACAGATTCGCAAGTCGTTTCAGTCTGGACAGGAGGAATATGTGATGAAGGGGGAGTCTGCGCAAGGCGAGCCGAGACGAGGCCAGACCGCAGCGTAGCAGAATGCGCAATCGGGGGGCCCGATAAGATAAGCAGCTCGGGCCTGAATAGCATCTTTGTCTATCTACGCAGTCAGTGGTCTAGTCTGTCTCCCTCCTCCTGGCACATGCCATGCTCTGCTGCGTGGCCTGGGTGTTGGTGTCCCTGGCTGCGACAAGCACGAGTCCTAACACAGCAGCTAGGCAAGCTGCAGTGGCATACCGGAGGGGCAGCTGAACTCGCCGGGGGGGGGGGGGGGCTCGCTTTCGCAGCCTCACTCTATGCACCACATGATGGGCGGGACAAGAAGAGACACAGAGGCGCACCGGGACCAATCATCCGGCCACGAGCATCCTCTCTCCCACCCTACCCGCCGACGACCTCAACTCCAGACACCACTCGCGCCCGCCTCTGCTTCTTCTAATTGGCAATTTCAACCTTAGAAAGGACTTTAGAAAGGGTGCTCAATTGCGCGATCGCGATTTTTGGGACATATGATGCTCGCGGGTGCGTGCCATGTCAGCATGCCAGTACTATGCCTCAGCACGTTGCCGTCATCTCAGACTGCATTTCCCCAATGCCTGGGATGAGGCTATCAAACTGAAGACAATAGATCCTCGGATCCCGATTTCCTGGGTCGACCTGATTGGGGACGCCGTCCGCACGGAGAAACGTATGTCCACAACCAAGATGAGCTCGTACGGAGATGAATGGAGCGACTGTTCTTTATCAACCTGGCAGGCCGGCCATTGTGCGCTTCAACCATGTAGGCGGCTTCCAGCGCATCATTTGTATCTATGGTTTCCACCCGGCGTCATCATCCGCCTTGCGACAATGGAATATGGCGACCCTGAGTATGGAAACGGTGATGGGAGTCTTCTGCTCACAAAGCCAACCAAGTTTGGTGCGAACCCAAAAAACTGACTCGAGGCTGACGTCAAATCGCATCCTCGTTCTATGCCCTTGGGGGGGTTGGGGGCAATGCTTCGAGGGTGTGTGTATCATCAAGCATGCCCACAACGCTTTGATGACCTCTACCTCAGATACACACAGAGACGCGAAATCTCAAGCACGGTTGATGCGATTCAGCGTACAACAGAGTCATGGTGGCGATATGTCGTGAACCAGGGATGCCTTTCCCCCAAGCGATTACCGCCGGCGCAAGATGAAGCAATAGGGCAAGGATTGGCCTCTTGGGGGGGCTCGTGATCGCACAATCATGAATGAAGATCTTGTGCACACAGACGATGTCACGAGGTAAGCATAGGTATAGACTACCAATCCTACCTACATGTATACCTACTGTGTGCGATGCTGGTTGGGACTCCTTTAGCCGACGGGACACAACCACGCGCACATTGTACGTATAGTTGTGATTCTTGGGGACCCCGGCCACGACCGCCGAAGCCCCGGGGCGGACAGCCACCTGCCGAAGGTCCCCCGTCCCGAGATGTCGTATCCGGGCAGCAATTGTTGAACACGAGGTCTTTTCACCTGCCTCACCCACGTCCGTGGCAGCCGGGGGGCGGGCTTTGGGGGCCGGAGAGAAGGTTTGCACCAAGCGGACGGTCCCATACCTACCGACCTTGCTCGAGAGACCCCTGAGCATGCCATCCCACTTTACACAGTTTACTGCACAGGCAGGTTCACAGGGCCATCTCGGTTGGTTAGTGCGTCCGGGGGACCCAACACGACCCAAAGATGGCGGCGTGATATTCAGGGTCCAACGAGCCGCAGGCTAGCCCGCACAGCAAAGCTTGGATATGGCACAGGTGTCACCGATCGGGGTTGACATGTCATCAGGCCGTGAGTCCCAGCAAGACGATCGTCGTGCCAAAAATAAGTGATGCACTCATGGAAACATATCTATGGTTATCTGGGTACGAGGATGAGACGCAGGGTCCATGCGTGAGCCGTTGCATTATTGACGCCCCGGCCAAGTTTGTGTGTGCCGTGTGCAGAAATGATCGTCGACCATCTCCGGCCAGCAGCTCAAAATCGACAGCCGGCCGCCTACACAGCCAGGACGCATTCCGGAGCGGGAGCCGTTGGGAAGCCATGGTCAAGGGTGTTCGATCCATCCCGTCATCACCGACACTTTTCCATGGCTGACCCCATTCCCTGGATTCGGCGTTCCTTGCCGGAGTGGGCAGCGGACGAAGGCACACGAGCTCGTATCTCGGCACCCAGACGTACACCTTGGATATATGTGTACCATAGTGGGAAAAAAATGGTTTGATGATCGGCAGCCAAAAAGCGCTTCTAGAAAGAAATCCTGGCTTTAGCCCTCCGGCATTGTGACATGGTTTCGTGGACCCTGGATCGGCACGTTGGCTGCACTCGGTTGGACGCATTACAGTATACACACACACACCCACCCCCCCCATACATACACACCAACATACTTGCAGCACTTAATACATCGCATTGTTGGCGACGGTGAGTATCTATGTGGCGTCGGGTGAGCCAGGCTGTTTTGTGTTGTGCCGAGCAGTTCAGTTGTTTGAACACTTGCAACACCAAGGTGGCCATCAAGCAAATCCCATACAGTGTACGGCAGCATCATCAAGACATCTTGGGCTGTTGGAAATTATTCTCTTGGGGTTTTCCTGCCCTTTACAGACACGGAGGGGCCAGGTGGCGTATGCGCACACAGAGCGTGGCCGGGCATGTAACGGTGAGATTTGCCTCTCGCTATAACGTGCTACGTCCTGCGTTACTTGGTCATAGCCCGGCAGTCTGTCACCTTGCTTTCGCGGACGCTTTTGTAATTATTGACAAAGCATGGTGGCCACATGGTCAGGACGCCAGGACGCAAGACTCGGGGCTCAAGACTCACAAAAGGCCCCCCGTCCATGCATGCAGTCCCTGTCGGGGGCCCGTCGGGAGGTTTCGCTGACATCTCGCGTCGCTGGACGAAAAGAGGTTAGGGCGGAAGAAGCGAGCTGTCACATCCCCACAATGACGACACTCTTATGGCCAAATGAACTCCGTTGCTGAGGGCCGTATTTGCACGGTATACTGCGACAGCCGATGGGCCGGGGCGGACGTGCACGACCGCGGGCACAGACAATCTCTGGTCTCTGTGCCCTGAGAGACGCCGTGTGGAGAGGCAGAGACTGAAACAGAAACAGAGACAAGGAGCACCACTGTTGAGTTGAGTGGTGCTCGCTCACACAATCTATTCTCGGCAGGTCGTCATACGCTCACACATGTGTACACACATTAATACGCACACACGCGCGCACACACACACAGACACAATAAAAAAACGGTAGCGTGCGGAAGGTTGCGGGCGGGGCCACTCTCCGAGGGCGAGCCATGAGTCAACTTCCCTGGGCCTTCTGCTTCGCCAGGAGGGACTCGCGCCGCAGATGTGCGTCGGGCGTGTAGACTGTGACGCAAGGAGGCTGTAAGAGAGCCCCATCCTGCTGGCGAAAAGGAGGATATTCCGAGGCAACCCTGGACGTCCATTCAGGCCATTGCAGGCCGTGCCTTTGCGCTGTTTGCCAGAGACCAAGGGACAGACGGAGGCACGGGATCAGCTCGATGAAGAGGGTGGTTTAGCCGATACAAGCCCATGCTGGGTGTGCCGGGCCGACACTGCTCTGTGCCCACGTGCCTACAATAGAACAGATACAGTATATACAACTGGTTTGCTGAGACAGATGGCCCTGGGTGTGTGTTTCCTGGGTGCTGTGTTATGCTTTCTTTGCTGCTGTGGACCTGTAGCCGTGGGCGTGGGCGTGGGCGTGGGCGTGGGCGTGGGCGGGCGAATGGCAGTTCTGCCCGTCCATCTGGGGAGTTGCCAGTTGCCAGTTGTAGGTTTTGAGTTTTTGGACATGGCATGGCAATCTCAGGATGCGGTGACGTCACAGCCGAAAGCCAATTCGCAAGTCAGTCTCGGCAGGTGTGTACCCTGCGACTGGGATTGCGCTGCGACTGGGGGACTGCGACTGTTGTACGGAGCATAGCCAGTGGGGGTCAGACTTGCCGGGCAGGGAACTCGAGTTGAAATGTTCGCTGCAGGTGGGGACGTCGGTGTGGCTGCAGGGGGGTGGTGGACTCTGGTGAAAATGTTTTGACTGTCTTTGACTGTCTGGATAAATTCTGGCTGAGGCTGGCTGGCTCTACCATCATACTGAGCTGTCAAGGACGTCTGGTCTGCACCGGTATGCCCTGATGCCCCCCCCCTCCCCAGGAGGTGGGGCCTGGAGACATGGATGCGGAGATGGGAACGGGTGGATGGATGCCAGCCATGGACCAGTGATTGGATGGCCCGCTTGATTGAGGATTGGAAATGGCATTTTGCATTTCCGCGCCCGCGCAGGTCCGTCCTCGACACTGCCCTGCTGCCCTGCGGCCCTGCGGACATCTCATCTCGGTGCTCAGGGACTGGATGGTCGGTCAGCCAATTCAGTCGGTCAGTGTCAAGTCAGTCAGTCAGTCAGAATTCCAGTCAAGTCAGTCTCTCTCAGTCTTCAGTTCAGTCTTCAGTTCAGGCTCGGGCTCGGGCTCAGGCTCAGGCTCAGGCTCAGGCTCAGGCTCGACCGCGTGGGTCGGGTGTGGGCCCCAAGCTCCCCTCACACACACGCCGAGCCTCCCTCGAGAGGGCCCAGCGCTGAATTTTGTGATGGGGAATGGCATGTCTGCACTGTCTGCACGTCTGCACGTCTGGAGGGATGGAGGGATGGAGGGATGGATG